TATCTTAAATTCGATAAACTCTATGCAGATTTTTCATGTCAAGAGTTCAATTCTACCGTATCCACTTGTACCATTGAGGTCCCATCATTCCATTGCACCGTAATCCTTGAGTTTTCACCGTAATCTTGACACGTTGAAATTGTATGCCATAAGACCGACCAAATTATTTTGAAACGTTTGACTAATATATGAAAGTTTCAAGATTTTTTACTTTTTTCACATTTTTGACAAGTATGTATTTACGCATCCTTCAATTTCACGCTTTGATACGTTTTCTCTCCGAGAGTCTAGACAATTCAATGATGATATCTAGTAGAAAAAAAGAGAAAAAAACATTAAGATACGCACTCTTTGAGATTTTTTCCAATTTATTCCATTTATGATGTTGTCGCAAAAAATGTTTGAATTTCACGTCTTGTCAAGATCCGATTCACAAATTTATGGTATGCGTCTTTACAAGCTACGGTAGCAACAATATTATTGAGATAAGTGAAATTAATGGCTAAATCAAAAATATACCGTTGTTATAGACGTTTATTATGAATTTATGTGTCGGGTCTTGGTACGAACTGTATCCAAATTCCCTCTTGTCAAAAACTGACTTCTTTTTCAAATATTGTAATTTTTGTAAAAAGTACCAAAATGTTTCGAAAATGATTGCTATGAGCATTAAAAAATCGAGCGCGAAATTCAAAATTTTCGAACCACATGAAAATATTTAGTTGTCTTTTTTGAGGATTATGAGCATAACCTGCTGCTGCTGCTCCTCAATTTATCTTATCTATTTTTAACATCAAAATCTCTCAAACGTCACTTTGTATTCCAGTCGGTATAATTTCTCTCTTTAGCGATACAATTTTTTTTGCGATTTCTCTGTCTCGACTTAACTCAAAAATTGTCAATTCTAAGCCATCACAAAAATTCGCTTTTTTTTTGTTCATTGCATCTTTTCTCGATTGAATTGTTTATAAACAAATGGATTTCGAATGTGGGTCTAACGAATAAAAAATTTGCTCTGCTCAGCCATCAAAAAATTGCAGAGCCAATGTTTATTGCGGGACATCTTTCAATTTTTGCAGCTGCGGACAATTTCCTGTTGCATTTCTGTTTTCTCGACCCTCGGAGAAATTTGATTCGATTTTAATCCTTTTTTTTAATCGAGCCGAATTTGATCCCTACTTGCACTTATATAGAAAATCAGCTGTTTTTCGTTATAAGACAAGATTAAAGAAAAAAATTTGAATGTTTTCGCAAGTGGCTTTTAGTCGTGAAATTTTTAAATTGGGCGCCAATTTTCACTAGTAATGAAATGTGTGCAATTTTGCGTGCGTATGTATGCACACGTGGACCGCGCATTTTGGATTGTTTTTTTTTTTCATCAATTTAATTTTTCTGCGCTCAATCAAACTTTTCTAAACAGCGTGCATATAAACCATTTATGGACATGTTGAATTAATGCCGTCAACATCTTATATCGCATGCCTACACTTCTCATGTTTTAATCCAGAAAAAACAAACTCGTGATTCTTTAAGAAATTCAGACTTTTATAGATCAAACTACATTTTCGCAGGAATAAATTAAATTGTTTTCTATTAAATAAAAAATCATGCACATTCGCACATGTTTTAAGTTCTAATCCACAAGTCGTTTGCAAGACGAACAAAAACACACACACGCGGTTACTGTAGATAAGGAGACTAAAGAAAATCTAATTTGGTCGACAGTAAACCAGCATTCTATGTTATAACTCGCTTTTTCGGTAACATTTTTCAGAAAAGGTGTCCAAATTTGCACAAAATTGGAAAGAAAATTGGTTTCATTTTGATCAGCGGACAACTTTGTTAGGGAGAAACGTTCTAATCGCGAGTTGACTTCGCACTGTGTGCCTCGACGGCGGCGAATTCTGTCGCCTCGGGGCTCCCTGCAGCTCATCCACCCACTGCTCCAGCTCGCCGCGTATTTTCATCATCCACATTCATCCCCCCCCCACCCATCATAATCCGCTTGATTTACGAACTTTCCCACATGTTTCCCTCCGCTAGAAGCGGATTTTTTCATTTGTTTTTTGTCCCCTTCTCACGCCGGAGCTCGAGCATTCAAACAAAAAAGAACGAAGCTTACATCATTATGTGCAGGTGAAGACGACCTTTTTTTTCGTACATCGTGCCTCTTTTCTCGTTGTCGTTTCGATTTCCATTAAAGGATTTTCTCCATTTTTTTGTCCAGTTTTTTTTTCGTCTATTTTTTTCTCAAAAACTGCAGCTGGAAACCCGTCGATTTTTGATTGATGACATCATATTCTCAGGCGGCACTCTTCGATTTCTTTCACATAATTAATATTTTAGGCACATTTTTTTTTATTTGGATGTGATTTGTGATGGCGAATTTGATTTCCCGTCAATGATTGTAGTTGAATTCGAAATTCTTTCTAAAATGTCCGCAGCTAAAAATAATATCGATTTCAAATCAGGGTTGCTAAACGTCGGATCCTGTTTTTTTTTTTGAGAACCATTTTTCAAATTGTTCTCAATCAATCATTGTACTTTTATACATCTATGCGGCACTTTCAGACTATCCTTTCGAGCAAATTGTGTTCGAAAAGTTTAGCTAAAATTATTTGAAATCGATAAAGCTTTTGTGTAGATTTACGGAAATGCACGTAGTTCGAACACATCTGGCTTCTTATTTTTTCTATGAAATTTCTTTTTTTTTTTGCATTTCCTTGACTTTTGAACTAATATTTCAATCTAGGAAGCGAAACCTAGCTCAAGACATTCTAATAATTTATGACTCTAAATACATCATTTTTGCCACATTCGTCGTTTTTTAAATAATCTATTTTAGGTAGGTAGGGGGGGGGTCCCGCTCTAAATTAGTGTCTCATTGGGACCTGTTTTAAAATCAAATCTAGAGAAATCACATTGTATACGTCTTTTAGTTAAGCTGTAAGCTTTTGATTTTTTAAATCTACATATTTTCAAATCTTGAAATGGATTTTCAACTGAAATTGTTTATTTCCGGCCTCTTTTTTGTCACATTGTTAACCTTTTTTTTTTCTTTTTTTTTCGTATTTTGCAAATCATTTGTTGACTATAAAAAATTTTGGGTGGCCTTCTCGCAAGATTAGACCGCACTAGGGGGGGGAATAAAGGGGCATGCTTTAAAAGGTGAATGCGAATGCCCTCGTTTTGGTCATTAAACTCCAAGCGTGCACATTTTACGGACAACAAATTCGGGAAATTAGGCCATTTTTTTTGCAAGAAAAACGAAATGCTGACGTACGTAACCAGAATTGGAAGTAATCGTTTTCCTGTAGTTGAAACGAAAAGGTTGTTTGTTGATCGCTCGGCTTTCAGTCTCAATTTTTTGTAATTCCATTAAACCAAATCGAGTTATGTGCATGTATGTTTGGTTGGTTGGTTGGAACTGGCTTCAATGCCGAAGGTGGCATTTTTATTGTGGTGGGAGAGATCTTGGTGCAACCCTAATTGTGGATTTTTACGGACGATATCAAAAGGACAATTTGAAGGCGCACGACGCCCGCCAAGACTTTTGATAAAATTGCCAATTTTCCGAAATCTCACGCTTTTTACCATATTTGGTCGTGTGAAACTAAACCCCGGATTAATTGGCGTCACTGTGAATTTTTTTTAAAGACCTGTCGCTTCGAGACCTCACCCAACGGTATTGCTGTCGGCTGATTCGATAGAATTATGGCTATATGAGGGGTCGAATCTATAAACATCGGTCTTTTCCTCAGATACCTGTATATATTAATTTTTTGAAAACAATGGTTTCAGTGATTCCATATAAGGTCACAATTTTTTCAGAATGCTGAATCTTCAAGATTCACGTCGTCTGAAGTTAATTCGAGTTCAATGTCTGGAGTCGCTTGTTTCATTGATTTTCCCAATGAAATTTCCTTGAGAAACCAAAAAAAAGGAAATTGAAAATGTTGAAAATCGATGGATCCAACTTCTTCTAATCTAATGATAATAGGGTTACTCGAGGGCATCTAATTTCCTCTCAATTTCTTCCATTTCGCGTTTTTTTTTGTCGTCGTCGCCTCATTTCCCTCGATTTTGACATTTTTTTATTTGGCGAGTGTTGTAGATAGTTGATTCAGTTCACAGCTGGAAATGGTGGCGATTTGATTGTGGCGCAATTCGCCATGTTTTCGCACCAATGTGTCACCACCAAGTTTTTTGATTAATTATCCAAACAATGACCATTGTTCGATTCTGAATATTTCGATATTACGATTGACGTCTGAATTTTTTGAATTTCGTTTTATGGTGCAGGTGAATGACGAATGAAAAAAAAATTTCAACAATTTCATGATATTCAACAATCCTTAAAATTTTGTAAAATTAAAATTCTTCTATATTTCGGTTTAATTTTAGATGGTCCGAATAGTGTAATTTGCATTTAAACAAATTTCGCCGTCAGAAGCTAAATTAATTACCACATTCTATTTTTAGATTGCTCGGCATCGCCATTTTTCTGATTTCTGGCATTCAGAATACATCTAACAAATGAATTTGGCTAACTCGATTGTTTCTAAATTTTATTTTTTTTTTGCGTAATCTAATTGGGCGTTATTATAATCAGAATATTGAAGTGAAATCAGAAACATGTTTGCCTTCCAGCTCGGCTATTTTCTCAAATTTCTAATCTTTCTAATTATCTATTTTGTTTTTTAAAAAAAGTTCAAAAATTTCCAATTTTAATTATCTTGATTGTTTTCAGCCGTCTTCCAGTTAGTTCAGACTAATTTCTCGTTTTCCGAATCACACTTGTCGTATTTTTTTTTGTTCTCAGACGAATTAAATGGTCCCCAATGCTGTTTAGACAAGCAATTATCTTGTAAAAATGCAGTTTTTTTTACAGCCGTCTTAATTCTTGTCTGCATTTTGTTTCTGTTCGACTTGTTTTTTTTAATCTCCTTCTCTCTTGTTCTCGTTTTTTTTTGGTTAATTTGTGAAATTTCAGCATCAAAATGACCACAATGGCGATGCTTGGCGACGAAATGTCGAAGAAAATCTCGTTATCCGAACCATCGAAAAGTCCGAAGAAGGCGAGCGCTGTCAGCCTCTTGTCAACATCATCGAGTATGTTTCCATAGCATTTATACTTCCAAATATGGCGACCTTGAACTCTGAAAATTGTGAGAACACCTGGAAGAGAAAACGAAATATTCGTTGTTTTTGGTGAAACTTTTCACTTTCGCCGAGCAAATCCTCTGGTTTTATCCCATCGTTTTTTAATATTGGGTCTATTTAGAAGCTTTTTTGAACCCTCATTTTTATTATGATACCACTCTTTCCTTTTTCACTTCTAATTTTTCAATTTTAATTTTATACCGAAAAAAGAAAATATTCAGAAAAGCTAGTACGTTAGAAAATGTTACTAAAACGTGTCGAATGGCGGGGGGGGGGGGGTCCGAATTCGAAATTTTTGGAAAGTTCAGAAAAATAATGATCATAAATGACACACTTTTGAAATGTAAAAAATGAGAGTTACCCCATACGTGGTGTTCGGAATAATAGAATTAAATAATCCTCTAATTATTTGCTACGGTAGGTGATGAATGGAATGCTATTTTTGCTTTTATTCATTCTTTTTTTTCCATGATTGGAAATTATGAAATTATTTGATTAACAGCAGAAACAGCCTGCGATGTTCGATTAAAATTTCAAAAAAATATCCCATACAATTGTTTTTTTTTTATTTTGAAATCAATAAATTTAGATGAAGACCCTCCACGGAAGAAAAGCTCATTAAAGGAAAACATCGCGAATGTGATCAGATCGCCAAATTTCATTCTTCGACGAGAAGCGACCAAGTGAGTCTTGTATTTTTTTCTGAAACTCAAAGTGATTCTGATGTGAATTTGTTGCAGAACTCGTTGGGATCAAGTACGCGATCGTCTTAAACTCAACCGTATCAAAATATCGATTAGAGAGCGACGAAAAGCGTATCGTTCAAGTTCGTTTATTCAATTCGTCTTCATTTCCTTCATCAATCGGGTGAAAACGATTCGCAAAACACTGAAATTGTGCCCTAATGAAGCCATGTTCTGTGAGAGGCGTCACATTAACGCGGTGTTTCCTCGCCCGCATTTCTTTTTGATGATAATTACTTTTCTGTTCGAGGGCGGAGGCGTTTTTCTGCGCCAATTATCGCCAACTCATCTAAAAATAGGCGCGTTTATTTCCATGCGTAATTACCGCTTATTCTTCAATCAATCAACGATATGTCGTCCTACCATTTATGGTAAAGAAGATTTGCGTCGCGGTACCGAGTGACGTGCACTTTACTGCTGCTCATTTACGCGTTATTAATAAGTTTGAGAGAGCAAACCGATGTGAGCATTATGATGCCCGATTTGGATCTTTTTTTATTTGTTTTAAGACGTTTTTCTTTTCCAAAAGACCGTGAATTGTCCGCAGATGAGTTTAAACAAGTCCACAGTTTCTCATTGTTCTAGAGAAGGTCTATAAAGAATTTGAAAAAAAGAAAATCAATTTTTATATAAATTTGAGTTTTGCGAGCTTTAAGATTTTCAATCTATCTATTTCCATTCGCGACACTATTACTTTTTTCTCGTATAAGAAATTAAGTTTTCTTTGTTATCCACGAATTTTCCCAATTTTCAGCTTTATGCGATGTGAAAATTTTTAGTTCTATCGAAAACATTCACCGATTTTCATTAATTCATAAAATATCGCGTTTTTTTTCTGAGAATTCGGTATTGAGATTCAGGTTATTCAGCTGAAAAATGCTATTTCATTCGAAATCCAGCCACGCAGAAGTAGAAATTGTATTTTGGATTTGTTCGTCGTTATTTTTTTCTCGCTCAACAAATAATTGGAAATCGGCACGAACGTTTCTTATCTTTTATTAAAATAATCTATTTTTGTAAGCGATTTTCGACTTTGGACATGATGATTCTTGGTTCTTTTTTGCTACAAAAAACGAATTCTAGAGACGACAGGAATTATCTTTTTGGCTATATTTTTGAATTTTAGAAAAATTGGGAATCTCGAAGAAATTTGAGTTTAGAAAAATGTTCAAGATTTTACCAACTAATTCCTGTATAAACAATTTTTGAGTATTCTGCTCATTCAACTTCTCCTAATAAAGAAAACAATAACAATTCTGGAAACGAACTACTCCACGTTCTAAGCGTCAGCTTTTTGAGAATCCATGAGACAACCGTCGAAATGGGGCGCTGCCTTTTTTTTGTTAAATCTTAAAATGTGAATTTTTATTTTACACATATGTGGACATATTCCGGGATTCGCCACAACCGCTTGTTTGTTGCTGCGTGAAATTACATAGCTGTGGCGGCCCTTTCAAACAAGGGCTCTACGAGGACCCCCGGCTCTACATGTTTATTTATTTTTTTTGACAACCCTGGTCCACTAGATTGATCTTGGCGAAAACCCCCAGCTGAAATTGAGCCAGTGATTCTAACAATGAGTTTTGAAAAATACGACGCCAACTGTGAGAATCTCTCTCTCTCTCATAATTAGCGAATTACCCACTCAATCATCTTCAAAGAGAACCGAAAAAAAAATTGTGAAGACTTTTTTTTGATTTCTCGAAAAGATATGAGTGATGATTGATTGCATTCGGACTCGCTGAGATTATTTTATTTATTTTTTCGCTTCTTTTTTCTTACGCCTAACAAAAAATTCCATATTTGGTGGTATTAAAATGAATAATTTTTCGAGACCTCCGTCATGCAATTTTGGTGGCGAATCGAAATCGAATTGAAATAAATAAATGAAATAAAATAAAAGCGGCGCGAGATAGGCGAATGAATTAAACCGATGGGTAGCCAGCCTATTGCCAATTGTGGTGTTTTTGTGGCGCAAAAAAAATGAAATGAGGAAAATTTTTGCGGATTTCTTTTTGTTGCTTTTGCGTGCGGCCATAAATATTCAAATAATCATGACGAATATGGTATATGTTTTTCGAGAATTTTCAATTTTTTTTTGCACTTGATATTCCCATAAACTTTTGGTTGTTTTTCTATTAATTTTTACCCAAATTGGCTTGTCCCTTTCAGATTTGTGTCAATTTCAGCAGCGGATACTTGAATTTGTATTTTTTCGTCTGAAAACGCAAAAATAAAAAAGATTGATTATTAGGGCACACTCCTTGGAAATGTTTAGTAATAAAAAATTATATGCATTTTTTTATGGGATGACGTTGCCTAAAATCGAATAGCCTAATTACTGTAGAAGAAGAAGGAGCCGGCAATTACGATTTATGCCTTCCTTTCCTTTATTTTTGCGAAGGTACCAATTTTATGAAAAATCGTGAAATTTTCTGCCAGTGCGTCTTTAAATCTTATCGAAACTTGCTTTAATTTTTGTTTCGAATCTGAACTGCATTTTAAAGGCGCATCAGATTATTGAATGAAACAATAATAGTGAATTGACTAATTATGCGAGTACCTCTATGAAACAAAACGAAAATTTTGGCACACCTTTTTAAGGACCTCTTAAAACCTGGTTTAAAGGTGCACTTTGACGATTCTCTTACAATATGAGCTGCGGACAATTTTTTTGATTCGACGCTACTCTTAAAAATGGCGATTTTTGATTGTTCCATTCCTTTGTTTTTTTTCTTGTCGGTCAATTCCCATAAATCTGATGCTTGTTGGTATTATTGGCCATCGAAATCCCAATTGCTCGTCAATCTTGGTTATCATTGTTTGCGATCGGCTCCTCCTCGAAGAAGCCCCGCCCATTTCAGGATCGTTTAAGACACATGCCAAAATAAGAAAAAAAAAACGCATGTATAAATGTTTGGCGGTTTCGGTGTGCTGGCCCTGGAGGGCTTTGCTTGTCGATGGGCCGGCTGCTGCTGCTACTGCTAGCTGCTGCCGCTCGGTCCCAGACGGGGCTCGCCGAGCCGACCGCCCCCACCCGCCGCCCTATCGTTTCTTCGACCCGCCGCCCAAGCTTTTCGTTTCCTCCCACTTTTCATTCTCGCCTCTTTTCTCCTCCCATCGACTACACTACACGCGATCTGTCATGATTTTTTCCTCAGCTTTTTCGCACACTCAACTGATTTGAAGAAGATTTCCGCGTTTACAATTATTACTATTAGTGTCATCTGTTCTCCTATATTTTTTTAGCTTCGAGTCCCACTCGAATTATCCATTTTTTGTGTTTTTTTGATCTACAGTACTCCACTGTTTGACTTTTTTTGCATTTCATTCTCCTAATGTAGAATTCATGGAGGATTAGAAATGAACCATCTGCAGAAATATTTCGGAAATGTCTACAAATGAAGTTCTCACTTCTACTAATGGATACATTTTTTTGGCGAAACGAATGTTTGCAAAGAGGAAAACGTAATAAAACTCGACAAATTGTTGTTTGCCAGATGTTCGATAGCCGTAAATGTTTTACGCCGCTAATAACGAAAGAAGAAAAAGAGATGATGAGCAATTGCTTTGATATTTGCATCAGCGGACAACTGGGACCCCTCAATTGTCCGCAGATGATTTCCCATGTTTGTTTTGTCGTATTCGTTTCTGATGTTCCTTTTTCGTTCTCTTGAACTGGTTGTCATCTCTAAATAATCAGATGCCTCTCAAACGTCGTCGTTTGCCGCGCTCCGTCTCGGCGCCAATTTTCGAGAAGAGCTCAAGATCGAGCGTTATCGATATTCTCACACTCAAACTCAAAGGATTCTTGCCATTCCGTAGGTTCTTTTTTTTTCTCTCTCTCGCTACATTTGACTTATGCGCTTTTAATTGATGTGGTTTCGACCCGAAAACAGCAAAAAAAAAAGTGAAAAGAGTGAGAGGAAATGCTGGTATTAAAAGATTACTTGTTTCTCGCACCCTCGATTTTTTTCCCATCTTATTGTTTTGTGAAGAAATTTGGAAAAAAACGAAAACGGTTGCGAAAAATCGGATTGAAATTTGAATTGCAGATCAAAAATTGTTTGTTTGTGGGGCGGAGACGCTTGAGAAATCGGAAATTCGATTTCCGTGGTCCCGAAAAATCGAAAAATTATTTGAGGCGAGGAACTAAAATAACGCTGACGAAAAAAATGTGGGCGGTCTTCGCTGATTTCGAAATATGCCCATATTTTCGTTTTTCGGAGAAGTTTTAGATACATGGAAACTAATCTAATTGAATAATTCAAAAAAAATCAAATTGTTGGAATTATATTAGCTAAACGAAACGATTTAATTGCTCTTTAGTCTAGATTCGAAAATTAAAAAAAACCCTACGCCATATTTCATTTTTGTTATTTTAAAGGTGCATGCTTGTCAAATCTATCACAACAAGACCAAAACGTGTTTTTTCTTGTTCAAAGGATAACCAAAGGGGTCCTTTTAGTATTTCCGTTTGTTCTTAGACGTATGTATTGGTTTGTTTAATACAGGAAATGGGGAATTTATGCATAATCTCATAATGATATCTATTAGTAAACCCATGTTACGATTATCCTTTTTTGTTCGAAAATTAAAAAAAAATTGACGCGATATATCGTAATTCTCCGCAATTTATTTTCAAAGGCGCACACGAAAAGTTGGGCGGGTCACGGCGCGAAGTCGGTATTGGAATTTTTCATTTTTTTTATTCTGTGAAATATTTTTCCGTATTTTTTGAAAACTTTGAAGACAAAAATGAGTGACGAACGAGGAAAAAAAATAATTTTTGGTATAAATACTCCTAATTCGACAATATATGTCTATTTTTCTTCATTTAGATACCAATTATCATGAAAAATAGAAATATTTGGGTTGATTTGATGAAGACTTCGCTTGATGACGCTTCTGATAAACCTTTAGCGTTGATTAAACAAAATAATTTTATTTTTTCCAAAAAAATGTTCAAAAGAGCTAAAGAAATTTTAAAAAAAACAAACATTTAAAAATTACAGTAACAATTTCGCTACGTGACCCGCGCAACTTTTCGCGTGCGCCTTTGAAAATAAATAGCGGAGAATTACGATACATCGCGTCAATTTTTTTCGACGTGCGTGGGGAATTCAAATTTAAAAAAATTGATTTTTTTTTGAATTTTCTTTTTCATTGCGTGAATGAGTCCATTAGAGTTTTGAATTTCATTTGAATTTTTCCGAACTGGTCAGATTTGCTTTAGTAGGTCGGTTGACCAAACGAAATTGCATTCAATTGTGCTCTAGTATATTATAATTTAAAGCATTCCTGCCCCCTGACCCCGATTTTATTCTTTTTTGAGACAAGGAAAAGCAGAAAGTGACAACACCAGGAGGGTCGAATCGAATTTTCGTCGCCGACGATTTTTTTTTCGCTCGTTTTCGAGTAAAAATCGAATTATGTTTCGTTGCGTTGCGACATTTCATTTTGCAGGAATATTTCTTTCATTCTTTTTTTGCTTATGAATGTCGATCAAACTACAAATATACGGTATGAATGAGCAGCGGCGATGGTCTCATTGGGGAGCAATTCGTGAGATTTTGAAAAAAAAAGGACTGATTTTCGGGATTCCTATGAGAATTGATGCGGGGGCGTTTTCGTTTTTCCATGGCTTTTTCTTCTGCAAAAAAGTGCACAGCTCGCACACAATGTTTTGCTCATTTACAATGTTAGAGACTTAAGAAGAAAAACAAACTGTTATATTCCAATTGTGGATAATTCAAGATTGAATATTTCAACTTTGTTTTTATTTCTCTCTCTCTCTTCCAGAGTCCAACCAACTACTGATTCATTTTGCGCGTGTGCCAGATTATAACTAATTCAAGACGTAATTAAACGAATTATCGTTTTCGAAAATCGGATTAGTCGCCTCCTCTCTTCTTCGTCTTCATCTTCTTCACCATATTGGTGGAAAAATGCATCAATCGTATGAAAAACAATAGACGCAATATTATTGAAACAATATACCCGCAGAAAATTAATGGTAGAATTGAAACGCGAATTTACGTCATATTTGTTTTTTTGGAATCAATTTGTTATATTGAGCAACTGTGAGTATGAGTCGTTTGAGCCGCGTGACCTCTGGGGGATTTTGGAGGCAAAAAATGAAGTGGGGGGTTTGTCGATAAATAACACAAAGATCCGCTTCGAAACGTGCATCTCATGGGGTCGAAAAGTTGCCAATTTTTTGAAGGGTTTAGTTCTTCAAGAAATCCTTAAAAGATTACTTATTCTGAAACTTTGACAATTCGTGTTCAGAAATCGTTGCAATTGCTTCAATAATATTTGCTTCTTGAAATTTATCATCTGTCGTTGCGTTCGTGCTTAAAAAATCAGAAGCCAAATCACGAAAATGCGTTCTAATCGTTCTCTCGTCGGCATAATCCAGCATCAACGTCAAAAACGAATTCGGAGCGGCGAGAATGCGAGAGGAATCACACGCGAACAAAACAACGACTATAGAGATCATATAATAAGAGAAGAAAAAAAAATGTATGCGCGCATAATCGGCGACCTCCGTCGCGAGACTCCGCCCATTGGCATCTGGAGGTCTTCCGTGCCATATTAGGGCAGGGCAGAGCAGTCGATTCACTTGCGCTCACCTTTTTTTTTGTCATGCGTTCGCCTAGAAAATTGCTTAAACAGCTCTCGATTTCAAGAGGTTCGTGTCTTAATTAGAATCATGCCATCTGCGGACAGCCTTGAGGGTTTGAATTGTGTTTTTATGTTTTTTAAGGCAATTCTAATGGTACTATGCAGATTCCGCAAAAAAATTGGTTTATCGAATTTTTCGGATTTTCTTTGCACCCAAAATCTGCATGGGACCATAAATTGCTTGAAAATGAGAACGCACATTCTGATGGAGAAAAGTGCGACTAAAATTGCAAAACGAGCACTGTAATTTATAAGGTATTTGGATTGGCAGGATCGCTATTCCGACTGTCTAAAATTGAAACTTTAATTACAGCGCCGACAACATTCGATGGTCCGTAGCCATCCGGAGTGCTCACTTTTCCACATATTGTAATTCAATATGTGAAAAAGTGTTGTTTGTGTGTTTAGTTGAGAGTCCATAAGCTTAAATATTTTAATCCGATTCAACAATTTCTCAGAAGTTGCTCAAAGTTCGAAACATGCGAATCAACGTGGGGGGAGGGGAGGGGAAGGTCGAACGCCAGTTGGAATCGTTTATTTTTCAGGAGAACGCCGCCGTCGATCGAATGACAGTAATGTGCCGACACCGCCGGCGTCGGCGAACTCGATCGGCTCAAACATGCCGCCGGCGTCGCCGCGACTAAGGTGAGTAGTCGAATCGAAAGTAATTAGGGATTAAACAGTGCGGCGAAGCTCCTTAAAAGAGGAGATCGAAGACTAATCTTTCGAGAAATGAAATCGAATAGTTCAAAAGTTTGTTACATTTGCAATATCGCAAAAATCGAAAGTTTTGATTGAATGTGTGGTCGAACGACGGTAATTCCGGAGATGATTCTTAAACTTTTTACTTCCTGCCGAATCTCCCACGCCACCCATATGAATGATTTAATATTCGTGCGCAATTCGCTCATAAAAGGGGAAATATCCACAAATAGCCATTATCGAATTGTTTTTCAACAATTTTAATTTATGCGCGCATTTCGCGAAATACCCATGCCAACCAAATTCTCATTATTTTTAATGCTGTTTATTTTTAATGGGTCAGTACCAAAAAAAAATGTGAATCATGTCAGGATTTTGAAAGTTCAGTGAATTTCGCTTAGGGATATTGAGGAAATTTGTTCTAGAGTAGTTCTTAGGCTCCTTGATGGATTTTTAATTCATTCAGTCGGCAATCTTTGAAGTTTTAGTAATCAGCATGAGGCTAGATTTTCGTAATACCGATTCCCAAGGCGTATTTATAGACACCGTAAGCCTTGAAGAGTACGGTAGCTTTGGGGTCTTGCAAAGTTTAAAAAAATTTTTAACGTACTATATTTTAGGGATACTGTAATTATCGTAGTGATTTTTTTATAGTATTTATGTGAAATTTTCCTAGTATATAATTCAAACAATTTGAGACTCAAACAAAACTGTGAGATTTTTGTCTCAATGATGACGATACTGTTTGGTCACTCAAACACCTGTTCCCGTCACATATTTATTTATGCCGGAAGCGTTCAATGAGCACAACTTTTGTGCGAGCCGAGAGCTTGCTGACCACTTGGCGGCGGCGAAATGAAATGTTATCCGGTGACGGGGTGTATCTGTTGCAAAATGAAACAAAATTAGGAAGAGAATGGGGGGGGGTTGCGTTCCGGCTCGAATTTCGAGACGACGTGTTTTGAAAGAAAATGGACCGAAATGAGCGACGTGGTTTTTTTTCTCTTCAATTCGACAATTGAAATAAGGGAAGAATGGAACCCTTTACAGGTTTCTTGCAAAATTTCGCTCAAATCGATAATTTCTTCCAAAACATTGCTAATCCCATCTGTCCCCTACATTTTCAATTTTTCTTTTATTCTTTCTTGATACGTCATCCTAATCGGATTAGAAATATAAACTATGTTAATCCGAGATGATAATAAACAACAATCAGGATAGTTTGAGTTATTTTTTTTCAGCCCAAATGAATGGCAATTCGCGTTTGATCACGTGATTTTCGATCCGGATGGTCGCGCTCAATTCACCAAATTCTTGCAATCTGAATATTCCGAGGAGAATATTCTATTCTGGTAATGAGGAAGCAAGACATTCAAAGATTTCAACGACTGCATTATAGGTGGGCTGTTGAAGAGCTGAAGGCTGTGAGCTCGACTGACGGCCGCGCCAAATTCGAGCAAACCGTTCAAGAGATGTACGACACGTTCATCGCTGCCGAATCGCCGTTGGCTATTAATATTGATCATGACACCAGAACTGATATTATCGAAAGGTGTGAATGAACTTGATATTTTTTTTCATATGAATCGTCGACTTTTAGAGTCGAAGGCAAGGATCCCAGCAGCTTCCCGGAGAACATCTACGAGCGAGCTCAGGCTCATGTCTACCGTCTCATGGAGAAGGACTGCTTCTCACGCTTCGTGCACACCGTCGCTTACAAGGACGTCGCGAAGAAGCTGAGCCTTCCGCAGACGTTTCGATTCAACGTGCGACTCTCGCCGGGCTCCTAAGCCAATCGCCTCGCCGCAATTCTCATCCTCCTCACCGCACATAATTCGATCTCCCCACATATAGACACGGGTTTTGAATCCGATCCGATCCGATCCTTAAATATTTATTAACGTGAGCGAGATTAGGCTGGCTGTGACCATTTTGTATTCCCCCAATTTTTATAATTTTTTTTCGTGTTGTGTGACCAATAATGACTATATTATAATAAAATTTACAAAATAAATATGTTTACCCATAAACGATCAAGATCAAACAGTAATTAGCCTGTTCGCAATGGAGCGAATTTCTTTTGTAGATTTGCGATCATTGTCGAATTGGTGTCGTCGAGATCTCGTCGACTTTCTTCGTCAAGCTTCAACAGCAACAGCTCACGCTCCTGCTCATCTAGGTCATTCCACTCAATGTATGTGAGAATGAATTCCCTTAAAAAAAGAGTTCAGCCGACGTCTAGGAATGAAGAAACCTACCTGATATACTCCAATTCCGCCAACGGTTGATTGTATGATACAAGAATACCGTAAACTTTAAGAATTGTCTTGGTGAGAGCCTTGGCATGAGCCGCTGAAATTTAAAAATCAATTATTACTGGCTCATTCAGAGCCGAGATTTTCACGGCTTTTGCCTTTCTTATGAGTTTGAATTTTATTATAGTTATTTTTTTGATACTAATCCATATGACCCTCAAAAATTTCGACATTTTCGATAATAAACTTTTCCTTTATTGTTGGTAAAGACTTTATCGAGTCTTTTTGGAATTATTCACTAAATATTGTTTCTTTTAATGATTTTCACATGTTTTTTTTTTCGTTGTAATGCTCATTATTTTGGTCCAAAACATGCTAAAAATTTCGGAGGTGTACATGATGTTTGATTTAATAGGTTTATTCGGTTCTATTTTTGCCGAGTTTTTTTTTGGATTTTTTGTTTTAGTGAACGTCATAATATTTCCGGCGAAATTACTTCTTGGTAAATTGTGCAAAAAAAACTCGAAAATTATAAGGTATTTATCCAAATCAATTTGGTCGATGATTCGCACCATATTCGTCATTCGAATGTATTTTTAGAAATCTATTCTCGTCGTTGGAACTCATTACTTACAGGAAATTCGGTCAGTTCAAATTTTGCTGGAAACGGAACCGCCGCGATTTCAATGGAACTTCCGAACCGAAAGGATTCTTTTCCAAAAAAAAAAACTCACGACTATCCTGTAATGTGTATGAAATAGATGTCAATACTCGAGCGGCTTTTGCCGAAACTTGAACATAATTCTTTTCTTCGACGATTTTCAAGAAAAGCTCGGGACCCTTGAGCTCACGGAATTTGCTGAAAAGAAACTAGCTTTTATTTCGATTTTCTACTATGAATTCCTACTCAAATGCGGCAATATTCGAGCGAACTGTTCCCGATATAGCACTGAGGAGACTCGAAGCAAGTGGCTTAAATATTTAATAAAAATTGTTCAATGATTTTGTTTGAAAATATCGAAAACCTGTTTGACTTCATCCTTTGATAGTAGATTCAGAAGTTTTTCCAAGAATCCGGCTTCGACTATACCATTCTGCGCAACTTCGTTATTTTCAGCCCAGGTCAAAATCACTTGGGCGAACGATCGACGAACCTCTTCGTTGCGTGTTTGAAACTGAACAAGTGATCAATAAAACGTGAAATGATTGAATTAAACCTTACAATCATGGATTCAAGAATTAAAATTCCACCATTATTAAGAAACATTTTTGATAAATCCGCAATCGCCAAGAGCTCGTCGAGTCTGTCGCATAAGTTCTGAAATATCAAAGTGATATCCTAATAATTAAACAAAAATAGCAAATACCAAAATCTCATCAAATTCGGCTCCATTGACCGTTGCAATTCTTGATGAATACTGGTGGAGACCTTTGAGAACTCCATCGAGCTGTTTGAATGGGTCAGTCTCATTAACCAACTCTTTCATAACTTGTTCAAGCCATTCTTTATTCTGAAAAAAATCTGTAAAATTCTATTATTGACACTTTATTTTACCTCTGCGGACATTGGTGCTACAGGTGTATTATCAGGATTTTCCGCCTGAGCTTTCGTTGTGATAGCGAGAAGATTTTTCCAATAATGAGCCGGAACTCCGTCTGACATGATTTCCGTCTGAAATTTTATTAACGATTTAATGGACCAATAATCATTTAACACGTTTTTAATATTAAAATAATAGATTTCAGCATAAAATGCGGTGAAACCGCAAAAATCGACAAAAACTAATTTCTGAATTAAAAATTTTCTAGAAGTACGCAAACACTGACACGCAACGCGGCACCGCCTTAATTGTAGGTTTCTTCTTGTCAGCTGACTTTGTTCGCATTTTTTTCCAAGAAAACAACAACTTTTTGGAGAGGGTTTATTTTCCGAAAATATATGAATTATTTTCCAAGTAATGCAAATGATGGCATCGCCATTGGACTCAACACATGCGGAATCTGGCCCCACCCTAAAAATAAATTATTTTTAAGCTCAATATACATATTTAAATAAATACCAAGAATCGAAGGGCCGCCGAGAATTGGATTTTGAACAATATTCCGATAGATTAATTGCCTTCGATGTCTTCTCGAAATTGCCGATTCAATAGAAATAATTAGAAGCAGAGAGATTAGGAAAACACAACGGAAATTCATCGACTGATTTGCCGAATTCAGTGCGAAACTTCGATTTATAAAGGAATTGCGCTGACGTTGAAGTGTACGCGAAGGTCGAAAACACTAAAACCGTGGGAAGAATCTCGTTCTTTAGTGTCAAATGTGTTGCAAAATCAATGAACAAAAAAAGAAACACAGACTTTTATTAATAATAATTACAAAGGATTAGGTGGTGTCCACCCTTTAAATTCCTCTTCGAGGTCTTCTGCAATCGCAATCAAATTGCGTTCGGAGTATCGGTTTCCAACAACTTGCACACCAATCGGGAGTCCGTTTGAATCAAATCCGGTTGGGCATTGAATCACTGGAACAGCCACACAATTCCAGAGGGCAGAATAGCACAAATTGAACATTGTCAAGATTGGCTCATTGTGGAACATTGCAGTGCTTGGCCAGGCAGGGCACACAAGAACTCCGTTGTCGCCAAGAAGCTCTCGAACTTGACGAACCAGGCGATCCCGTTTTCTGATCGCCTCCTCCTTTTGATGGTCGGATAATGGATCAAGCGAATCAAGAATCCCTCCAAGTACTCCCGCCAATGTGTGTGTGATTCGATTTTCCACAAATCACCTTGATCAGCTCCGTATAGCAGTTAACATGCCCTTTTGTTCCATTAACGCAAAGCATCATTTTCGTGAGCGGAGGGTCCGTCGAATCTTGATGCATGGAAACCGCCAGAAAATCCATGATATGTCTTGTCAATGGTAGATCAATTTTTGTTGCGATGACGTCATATTTGCGCTCAAGAGCCGCTACAGATTTTTTGATTGCGTGACGCATCTCGTAGCTGACTGACTGCATCAAATGCACGTTTTGAATCTCCTCCATATAGTAGATTCTAATTTGATTCCGAATCACTGGCTCTTTAAAATTCAATTTCTCAGCCGATTCAGCAGCCAAAACCTGCAATTCAACAAAAGTTTTGCTTGATTTTCATTTCGTCAAGCTCCGATCACCTTCATCATAAGCTCCAAATCCTCAGCATATCTACACATTGGTCCAATTCTTCCCATTTCCGATTTGTATCTCGTCACATATGGAATATGACCTTCAAGGGGAACAATTCCAGGTGTCGGCTTCAATCCGAATATTCCGTTCATCAACGACGGAATGCGAATACTACCGCCAATGTCGCTGCCGATGCCCACAACACTACCGGCGGCTCCGATGAGCGCCCCTTCACCGCCACTCGATCCTCCAGTCATTCGGCGCGTATCGTAGGGATTTTTGGAACGACCATACACGGTATTGTTCGATTCGTACCACATGCATAGCTCGGGAACATTTGTGATCGCCAATAGGATTCCGCCAGCGTTTTGAACCCTACAATCGAAATGAGGTTCCATACGAAATCACACATCGGACGGATTAACCGTTGAACAGCTTCAGCGGTCCTATCGCATTTGACATCCTTCCTGCAGAATGATCCACTCGTCACTACATGTCCAGTGACTTCCATTGAATCCTTTATAGTGAAAGGAACACCATATAATGGTTGGGCCTCAAATTTCTACAAAAAAACATCTAAATATTTCTCCGGGTTTGAGCTCAAACAAACTTGGGCGATTTGCTCATCAGAACTCTCGGCGATGAATTCGTCAACCTCTTTTGCCTGTTTCCTCGCATCATCAAACACTTTGACAACGACCGCATTGATAATAGGGTTCACCTAAACGTTCAATGTACAACCAAGGGGGGAATGATTAACAGAAACATCGATTTGCGTTCAAAGCGACTTGATAACAATATCTGCAAAACGAAAATGATACCTGTTCAATTCGTTGAATATATGATTCGATTAATTGACTCGACGTGATCTCTCGATTTTTCAGTTTTTGAATTATCTGAAACCAATTAATTCGTAGGCATTTTTAAAATTGAAATATACCAACCTTGGTTGCGGATAATAAAAGAAGAGGATCAGTGGGCGCCGGCCCGGCACAATCTTCTTCTCATTGAATAGAGTGTTGTAGCACCAAAAAAGGAAATGTACAGTGTAGAAGTAAATGTATGTAATGAAGGAAATCACCAGACCCAATCTCTTTTTCACCCAATAAGGCGCCATTCTGAAATGAGCATATTTTGTATTATAAATTTTGATATGCGGAAATTGACGGTGTGGTTGATTCGAGTTGGTTTTTTTTATGATCAAGACACACAAAACGCACTCGTAGAAAGTCGGACTTTTTTGAAGTTTGATTGAGGGTGGGGGGTGGAGTTGAACACAAACTACGCGGTAGTCAAACACAAAATACAGAGGGCCGAGAAGAGATAAGAAGCCACATTTGACGATGCTGTCCGCAAACCCGACAGGATTCAAAAAAGACCAAAACTTAATTGCTAATTGACTAATTAATTATGACGATGTTCCTACCAGTTCTCACTTAAAACAATAGGAAATGATGAGAATTTGCCGGTAATTGTTGGTCGAGGCTGGGAATCATCGAACACTGAAATGGGGGGATGAAATAATTCAGCTACTTCAGCTAATTCAGCTTCTCGGGAATTTTCACAGATGGTCCTCAAAAATAATTTTAAAAAAATATAGATCTTTGAATTTAATTCAGAATCGAGAATTCTTCATTTTTACGGATGAACGACGGAGACGAAGAAAACGGATTGACAAGCTACATAATAAATGGAAAAATGGAAAAGAAGGAAAATGTTAAGTTGTTTGGTTACGGAGAAAAACGATGGCGATATACAAACAAAGTTCAAAAGTTTGGCAAAGTCGGTTCAAAAGTTACTCAAAACCGGTTTACAAGGATGATTGTTTTAATTGAACTTTTTATCTCTTTACTAACAAGAGGGTATTTTCACAGTCCGTCAAATTTGGGCAAAAATATGCATTTCAAATTGATGACATGATCAACTTATTTCAAGCATTTCTATAATGTTATATTTCGAGGATCGCCGAGTTCCCGTGATCTTTTCAATTTTGTTTGTTTAAAAGTTCACTAATATCGACTCAAAAGCTGACATGAGAGGTTTTTTCCGAGTTTTTCAAATCAAAAATTTGTCTGCTTTAGTATATTTATATTGTTATTCGATTATCATCTTAAACTTCCTGATTTGCGAAAATTGTTCAAACTTAGGCAAACAATTTTTATGGCAATTTTATAATATACGTGGTGATATAACTTAAATCTGAAAAAATTTTTGGCAAACTTTGTTTGACTAATTATAGGTGACGCTAATTACAGATTACTGGGTGTCATTTAAGTTCCCGCACAACTTTTAAGGCATATATTTCTGAAACTAAAAGTCCAAATCAAACGAGACTCGAAATATTTTTTATCTATAGTATAACAAATAATTATCTATTAACTCTTTTTGATTCGGTCTCCTTTCGCAGCTATGACTTCACGGAGACGCTTCGGGTAGGATGTGACTGTGGTACGCAGGTATTCGATGGAAAGATTGTCCCATTCCGCCAGTAATGTCTTCTTCAGAGCCTCTACACATGAGTGGGGTTTTGCGTTGACCTTCTCCTGCAAGAGCCCATCACGGAAAAGTCAAGCGGGTTCAGGTCTGGGGAGCAATCAGACCATTCGGATGACTTGATGAAGTCGGGAAAATGGGTCTGGCACCACTCCTGAGTAGTTTTGGCAGTGTGGGCGGGTGCTCCGTCCTGTTAAAAAACCTATTTCTGCCCACCGAAATGCGTTTGGGTACAGGGCATCACATGCTTCTCCAAAATGTCCCGAACGTAGACTTCTTTGTTCACTTTCACCCCCTGATCCGCGAAAACCAGGGAGCACTTCCCGGTTGAGCAGATGGCACCGAAAACCATCACACTGGCAGGATGTGAGGCTGGATGATATGTTCTTCCTTTCTCAGAAGCTTGCTGGGATGTCTGGGCAAGTACTCGATGGTTTTGTGAGTTGAATGCCGCATCCACACTGAACAGCTTCTCATCGGAGAAGACAGTGACGAGGTGTTCTCCAGACCGCGTGCGAGCAAGAAGTCGTTTTGCTTTTTCGAAGCGTCTCTACTTGTTGGCGGCCGATAGAATTGCCGCTTTTTGGACCCGATATGGGGTCAGTCCAAGCTTCGTTTTGACGATTTGTTCCAAAGCGAAGATGCTCATTTCCACGTCTGACGCCATCTTTCTCATGCTCCTGTGTGGGTATCGCCTGATCTTCGATTTAACGGCGTTGAACTTCTGAGGAGTGGTTACCGAGACGAGTCTTCCTTATCTGGGACGGTCACTGGTCGTATTTAGTTCCTTGAAACGTTAGATGATGTCGTAAACCGTTCTAAGAGGCACACCGAGGCGTTGAATGATGTCTCTCAGGCTCACATTTTGCTTATGAAGTTCGATAATGGAAGCGCAATGGATGTTAGCCTTCGCCATTTCTCGGAAACACATCCGAATGAGGTGAAACTTGGAAAGTAAGTAAAATACACCTTATTTAACAAAAATAAATTGTATTGGTGCACGAAAAGTGCGACAGCCAAGCTCTTCATGGCGTCAAACTTTTGTGCGGGAACTTAAATGACACCCTGTATGTTTGATGGTTTCCAAAAAATGCGAAAAATATTTCAAAAACAACAAACTCACAAGGTTTTTTTTAAATATTATTATTGCTTTTGTGACGATATTATTAAACAAACAAAATTGAATTGCCGAGTCTGCTACCAATCTGGAGGTGATTTGCTCCCGTTCAGGCGTGATTTTGTAGTAGTTGCGCTGTCGAACGAGAGTCGAATTTACGAAAAAATCACATCAATATTTCTCTACCGAGTTTTGCTCGTCGCGGAAATGACATAATAAGCATTATATTCAAATATACATTTTTAATTTGTGAAAAAAAAAACCAGTCGGTTAATTTTTATCGTTTGGCAATTCGTTACAGTATCCTCGATTGAGTATTCAAATAATTCGCACCTCACCTTTTGCACCTCAAAGGTCGCGCCGCTGTCATAAACAGCTTGTAAATCAGTGTTGATGCGATAGCACATGACTCAAAAATAACTCAACGCCTAATGAGGAAATAGTGAGGAACAGAGGCGAGAATTTGCCAAAGGGAAGACTCCGCCCACAAAAATCCGAATAAATAGGCAGTAACTGTTGAGTTGAGCTATCATAATCTCCTATTCGCGTCAATATGACTATCCCTGTCGGACCCCGTCCAATGACTCCATTCGAACTGGAAAACATCCTCAAGTTCGTCGTTCTTCAACCGGCTCGCCCTTGCGTGGCTCTCTGGATCCTCGTATTCGACAATATTCTACAAGGCAACGGCTCAATGATCTTCATTGATCCGATCCTCTCCAACCCGATATTCTTTTCTATGCGTTTCCGTATTCCCGATGCTCAACTCATCTCAAGATCCACGTATGTATTCGATCAGACCGGAATCACTAGGCTGGTTTCGTTCCGACTTTCCAATATCATAAGATCTTTCGGGCGCACGTTGCTGCCGGCTTTCGATTTTTCAGGCAACGATCACATCGAGGAGGAGCTCTTCACAGCAGTCTATTTGGAGGAGGTGAATGAGACCGAATCGCACAGTATTCCCGACTTGAGCCATCCGGTCCTAGGCTTTATCATCGCGGGAATCAATCGAGAGATCTATGGTGAGTCTCATATTTAATATTTGCACCAAGTCTGTTTAACCAAAAGCACCATGTCCTTATATGTATATTCGTTTTGTGTATGTTCTAAATGTGTGTGAAGTTCCTAAAATACTCCACACTATCCCAATTTTTGCAATTCTATTTTTTTCGAACAATTTTCGCCTAACCGTTTTCTAATTTAATAGTTATTTAGTGTTGGAGTTTAAGTTTTTTCTAGTAGAATTTATAAATTTTGATAATTTCGAACAAAAAAAACAAAATGACGAAAGAATTTGAATTACATGAAGAATTCAGCAAAAAATGTATTCATTTTCTTTTGTTTTATATTGTTTTTTTTTAATTTTTGTTAAAAATTTAATGTATTTTTTTTAAATTTCGTGGTTAATTTTTTTGAAAAAAAAGTGCATACAAAAAGAAAAAATTTTTTTGCATTTTTTGTGAAACGAATCGCCTAAAATTTAGAAAAATCGCACAATTTCATAAAAATGAGACATCTTTGAACTTCCTTGTCAGAAACATGATTGAAAATTGTCCGATTAGTGGAAGGTACGAAGCTTGAAGAAATGAAAGAGTTATTTGAAATAACGCAGAAAAAATATTATATTAATATTCCTAATTTGATTCACGTGACCCTAGCGAAATTCATTCATTTATGACGATGTGCTCATTTTTATTATTTTTTTATTCCTTCGACATGTGAGTTTAATTATTTCTTATTGATAATTTGCGAGCATTTTGCTCGTATTTAACCCAAAAATTTTTTAAATTTATAAGAGTTTTGAAAAATGCGTTTTGATGAGCCCCGCAACGATTTTCTCGGACCGCTGTGAGCGTGTCTCGCGAACATTCGTTGAATCGGATTTGAGAGAGCCCGCACGGGTGCCGCGCTTCTCGGGCCACGAGACGCGGACCAACACCCCGCATCGGTGACCCGCAAAGGGTCCGAGCCAGGAGGGAAATGCCTGGTGAAGTCTAGGCGCACACAGTGGAGTGGCGTCGAGAATTATCGTTGGTGGGACTCGCCGAATTGGCAAATCATATTTTGAATGTATTTGAAGAAGGCGCAATATTTGAAAATTTTAAAAATGTGTTTTAATTGAGAATTCATACCCGATTAAGAGAATCAATCCAATTTTCTTTGTATTTCTAATTTAATTTTGATTTTTTTTTTTCATAATCGATTTGAAACGAAGGATTCTAGAAGCGAAACAAAGAAGCAGAAGAGAAGTCGGGAAATATTAGCATACCTAAAAACGGTATCTCTTAAAACTCATTTGTTTCGAATTTTTTGATTTCAGATTGGATGTAAAACACCGCTTTTTTGAGTGCGGCGGAAAACTCTTGTGTCATTTCACCGCCAATATGAATTCTCCGCATCAAAAGGTTGAAAGAAAAAGAGATTGGTAATATTATTGTCGAAATCAATATAGGGGGGGGGGATGTCCCTAAATTTCCTGAGAAGAAAATTTTAACGCAAAGATTGGTGTAGAATTTAAAGGTACATGCGGAAACCATGAAATACAGCAATAATTTTTTTTTTCAAATTTCAACAGCACTTCGGAAAATGGATGAAAAGGGGATCTGTGGTAGATCAGTTTTTTATGCACGTCAGTCCGGAAACCGATTCGATTTAACGAGCGTTTTCGTCCACCTTTGAGAATTTTACGAATAAAGAACAGATGAAAAATTGAATCAAAAGTGGATAAAAAACTGATCGGATTCCATACATTTTCCAACGCGCAGTGGGGTATCTACAAATATTCATCTGCTTCTGTTGGCTAATAGGCTTTTTGTCATGCTTATAGCAAAAAAAAAACGGATTTTTTGGATTTAGAAAAATGTTTCCCAAAGACGCTTCGACGAACACTCCTGATTTACGTGTAAATCATAAGGATTGATTAAAGGCACATCAAAAACTCGCCTTGAATTTTTTGCCAATTTTCCAAAATGGCGTGACGTCGATAATGTATTGAGATAGTTTCAGGAGACGCAAATTCAATGAACAGTTCCAAATGACGTTCCATGAAAAGGTACCAATTGATTTCCTTAATGAAAATTTTAAAATAGTATGTATTGTCGAAGACAAATGACTTACGGGAGGCGGGGCGTGAAAAATTGACAGAAAAGACGATTTGGTTGTAATTTGGCTGCGTATCGTGCATATGCAAAACTACCGTATTCATCAAAGGCGCATGCAAAAATTTGTTAATGTCCCACACAGCTGCCTGTCTTCGACAATATTATATTACTATCGCAAAAAATGGGGGTCTTGTATTTTTTCGAGGCGGTAATTCAAAATTAATTTTAAACAGTGGGAGTACGGGTACTGCATTTCAAATAACCTGCATATCGAAATTACCGTAATCATCAATGTGTTCTCGTTTTTTGCGATAAAACAACTAGTTTTCAGTCTTCGGGATGAATATATTTTGAAACGTCATAATGAATTATTTTCAGGGAGAAACTGAAACAGACATGAGACGATCTTAATTTCTTTTGATTTTTTTGTTTTGTTTTTTTGTAACGTTGAACGTTATTCAGCCGACGGGCTGAACGGGATTCCCTCGGTTCTTTGGAGTCTGAAAATTGTTAACAGGTAGGTGTCTAGTATTTCAATTGTCGGTTTTGTGCACAAGCATTTGAGTATTGAAATCAAGTAAGTTGTAAAATTATTTGTTGAGAAGGGCTCCGGAAATTTTCGGTTCGGACGCAAGTGTAATTAGAGGAATATTGTTTAGCTTTTTTTATTTCAAAAAATGCGATATCCAAAAGTTTTGACCCATAAGTTGAAAAATCTTTCGAAAAATCGCACACAAAATGGTTTCCGTCAACGGTTTTTTATAAGGCAAACAAGCGAAAATCATGCACATTACGTCCAACAGCGTTCTAATTTTTTGCTTCTTTCTATTAGTCGTCGTGTATTTTATTTTAAAGAATCAGTGCAGAGAAAATTTTTAAAAATGAACAAAATTTCAATGGAGAAAAAAATTTTTTCCTGTATTGAAATTTTTGTGTTTTGTTCTTAAATGTTCGTTTGAATTTTCACACAATTTTTTTGGTCTTTAATTTTCACTGATTAGCATTTGAGGTAGCGGGCCAAAATTCGCGAAACACCGCAGTGAAAAATTTCATTTTTGCTGATTAAAAAAATTCTCTCGAAATACATTGTACTATTGAAAAGAATTAAATCCATATAAGTAGTTTAATCGGCGTATCGAGTTTAAGGGGTTTTTTTTAACGAATTCGAAGGATCGATTATACGTGAATAATTGAAATTAGAGCAAAATTTCCCGAGAAGCCGACTCCACGTTTATTTCGAGAATCTGAAATGATTCGAAAAAGAGAAAACGAAGACAAAAGACTATTGATTTTTTCAAGATTTTCCAGCTTAACGAACAAGCTTATTCCGATACGGCAAAGCGAATTTTTGTGCTGAAAAAATCCCCGATCTTCTTCAGCGACTTCTTCCTCTTCGCTATTTTTTTCGTCGATTTCGACATGACCACTCATATGTGTTTTTCGGGCACATTGATCTTCGAAATTGGTGTTTTTTTTTTGTCGCAAGGGCGTGATAGTTACATCCTTGCTATCATGATATCTATAAACAACACATGTGGGTTTTCAAGTTCAAAGTATTAAAAGACCAGTTTGGAGAAGTCGTTTCGTGATAGTTTGGTCTTATCATTCAAACGTCTGCACAAGCAATTTAATAATAAAATGCCGATGTTTCTAAACAATAAAAAACTGGGAAAATGGTTTGATTAAATGATTATAATTAAGGTCCGATGCATTTTTGTGTGATTACTGTATCATTTGAATTGCCGCCTTGGGTCTCGGATGGAAAAAATACTAATGAGCGAATCAGCAATTTTCAGCAGAATCAGCAAAAAAGTTAATCAGCAATTTTGCGAGGTACACTGGTAATATCTTTTAGTTTTTTACGTTTAAAATAATAAAATAAAATTACATTTGATATTACGGGACGAATTAATTGGCAACCCGCGCAATTCAAATTTGAATGGTCAAACGTGTTTAGAATTTCTGATGTTACTCGGTAGAGCCTTGCAACCCGTACTGAATAATCTCAGCAAACCGAGTTGACGAATTTGAAAAATTTGAACAATCAAACACTTAAAAATGTAAAGCTAATGGTGTAGATTTACGGGCCTAAAAGTTACCCCCCCCCCCTGATCCAACCTAAAATTAGAGAATAGGCTAAAGCCGCATACCGCGCACCGAGACCTGTTTTTAAATATTTTGGCATTTAGCCAATTTTCCGGGGCAGAAAATTTGATGTCGCAAAATCCGTGTAGATCTACGAATTTGAGCTATATATACGTTCTATCAATTGCGCGTATGCTAAAATGCAGAGTACGCAAACACGCAGCGTTGTTTTTGCGTCGAGAAACCATGGCACATCACATTCGCAAAAATGAGCACGCTGCCCTCGAGATTTACGGTGAGTTAGCTTCGCCGGTAATTCAGAATACCGTATCGAATTCCCACTATTTAAATTAGAATATTTAAATTTTTTCCCACTATTTAAATTTTTCCGCGTTGAAAAAGTGCAATGGTCCATAATTATGCAAGGCGCTCGTTTTTTTTGCGACGGTAATATTTTTTGAATTTCATTCAGTTATTTGACGCCAACAATACATTTCAATTAATGTACCTATAAAAAGGTTTGTAGAAATTTACACATTTTTTCCAATGCAGGGCTTTATACTGTTTTTAGCGGACAGTATAAAGCCCTAAATACATTTCCGGAATAAGATTATTTAGTAATTTTTTTTTCGAAGCAATATTAAAATTAATCGAACCTTGCTTGAGAACTTTTAATTAATTTATAATCGAAACTAACGAATTCAATTGAAAACAATGGAAAATGCGTCTGAAATGATCTTTGACATTTGTTAGCTGCTATTGGGCGGAATCGTTCCTAATTTGGTCATGTGCACGTGAGGGCGGAGCCTACAGTAATCGGGGCACTATTTGTTGAAGACGGACGAATTTGGTGTGCCATTTTTTTTATCATTTGCATCGCACTGGTTTCGTCTCTCATTCCGATCCACGTAGCATATTTTTCCAAGGTAAAGAGACCTCTTAGTTTATCGTTTCTTCGAAAAAAATCAGGAATATTCAAACAGATGATCTAAAGAATCAACATCGCGCAAGTGCGCTCTATTGTGTGTTTTCGTTGCGATGAATTCTATTCAAGGGGGTACCAACCAAGGCTCGCCGGAACGGCCTAGAAAACGGGCGGCATAGAAAAATTGGTCGACACTTTCAAAATGCAAAAATGCAAGTGCGGCACAATAATTCTGAGACAAACTGCAAGTGCGGCACACTAGCACAGGACAATTTTTAAAATAATGTGTGATTCTCGGTTACGATTTTCTTTTATTTCCACGAAATTGTGACTTTTATTTTGACTTTGGTTTTTCAAAACGTAAATACACAATACATATACATATTCTATTAGTTCTATTGTCGGAGTCAAACGACTGAACGAAATGTAAAATAATTATTGGCCCAATGCGTTTCGAGGAAGCGAGTAGTACCCAAGACTGCGTACATTGCATTATAGTGTACGCGCATTTGATAATCAGGCAATTATAAATTTAAATATTCCCTGATTTCGTAAAGTTGAAAGCCCCGCCTCTCTTCAGTCGTTTGACGCCGACAATACATGCGTAATTAAAATAACTAATCCATCATGTGTGGCCGTGGCCGAACCTAATTTTTGAGAACAATTTTGCTAGGCCGCACTTGAGTTGAGGCGAGCTTTTCCATCAAAAAACCGTTAACGAGCGAGGTTTGCTTTTTTATTGCTATCATAACATGAAATATCCTAATTTTAAAAAAAGTTGTTTAGAATGTTAACGAAATTGTCAACTGGCGGAGTATGGACCCATTTTATTTTGTGGGACAAATTATGTGGCATCCCATGCAATTCAAATGTTTCAAATTCATCAGTTGATGACTAAACGAAAATGAAACATTTCAAACAGGTTCGAATAATATTTATTTCCCTCTAGAGTATTCTAATAATTCAAAACTAATCTGATTCAAGAAAATTCGTCTCCGAAATCGAACCGATCTGAATATCCGATTCATTTGTTGGACGGTTTCAGATCGATTTGTATTATTCTCATTTTTCTTTTTTTCGGGTGTCAATTTTTTTCGTTGTATCAAATTCCTGTAAAAAAACGAGTATCATTTTTATGTGCACGTTATTCGTACTTCGGTACACGAATTCCCACTATAAAAATTTGAATTACCGCGACAAAATCATTCAAATACTCGGGGTGCTCATTTTTTTTTAACTTTTAAGATGATGGTCATATTAAAAAAAAATGAGGTTTTAATTTGAGTTTTTGTTTTTTCGACTCACAATTCAAACTCAGCTCCCATTTAGCAGAATGAGTTAATAATTTTTCCGAAATAATTTTGGCCAACATCTTTACAATTCAATTAATCCAAATATTCCAACCGTCTAAAATGTTGTTCCCATTTTTGGGGTTTTCCTCATTTTTCTGATTATTTATCTCTGACGTGACGATCTGTCGAACTTTTTTCACGAATTCTTATGAAATCGTAATCTCTAAACTATCACTAGCGAATTACTAAAGCGGCTAGGCAATTTTTCGACGAAACGCAGCCGTAAAACATTCGATTCGACACGTAGTCATGTGATGTTCGACGTCTCCGATTTGATGATAAAACAATGATTGATATGACACTATTTTGATGTCCAAAATACACCAAATCGACCGAACAAGAAACTGATAGGCAAACCAGAAATAATTATTATTCGGATCCAAGTAATGTGTCATAACAGCGCTTTTTTCAACCATTATTGTCAAGAAGAGAGCAAGACTTGTTAGTGATGCTGTGGTTAATTCAAGACAAAAAATCCAAATATGGAAATTTTTTAAATCTTGCGATCAAACTAGACACAATTATTTAAATATTTTTTTAAAAGTTGTACCTGAATATTTCTTGGTGATATTTTGCAACTCGTATGTCCTTAATCAGGCATGTTTTTTTAAAGCCGAGAGCGGTCGGATCGATTTTAAAAATTTGTTGATAAAATGATTAACTTAAAACAAATTTTCTCAAATAGTTAGATGATATATATGTAGTAGGCATCCGGCGACTGCTGTACGCCGGTAGATTTACCGGGATGCGTCTTTCGAAATGGTTTTGCACGGACTAACAGGTTATTTCAAATTTTAAGGACCGGTTCGATTATTTTTTAATCGAATCACGTTGGAAATTCAAAGAAATGTGAAACTCATCAAACAAATGAAGCAGTTCACGTGAAAACAGCAAAATAAGCATTCACGCGTGGCGAGACCTTTTCAAGGCGCATGCGCGTAAATCTACCCGCGTACAGCAGTCGCCGAACGCCGACTATATTATTTGATAAAACTTGATCATTTTGGCTTACTAGATGGAAAGTTCTTTTGCTCGGCATACCGAAACGACAAGCCTGCTCTCAACCAGGGTGCCCCATCGAATATGTATTCGAATAATTAAATAATTAATAGATAGTTAATGTTGCAATCACAATGATTGAATAAATTAAGCACATTCGATAGATCTTCCTTCAAAACCCCTAAAATTTTTGATTGCCAATTCTAAGAAATTCCTTTTGATAGTTTATCTATGAACTTACATTGATACTACCGGAAATTTAGAAGATTGGAGTCTAAAAAATATCTCAAATATCACGTAGGCCAAGTATGATATCAATTGTGTAGTGAATCCGTGTAAATGATGACGAGAACAAAGTTTGAATCGCATAATTCTGATTTTGATAGATTCAAATTCTTAATGAGGTCTCACGTTGATTAATGGGTTGTTTTGGGCTCATTTCGATAATTTTGAATTCCAATGATAATAGAAATTCGAGAAAATGAGAAAAAAAAACATTTGATGGCGAAATACGTAGATTGCCAACATACTCACATTGAACAGTCGCCAACTGTAAGCCATGTCAAATTATTTTCGATATTCTTTTGCAAAATGCGTTCCAAATTTAGAATCAATCTCTCAACTTCATATGCCATCATTTTTGCGTCGTCTCGGCGATGACGTTCGTCACACGATCGCCGATTCGCTGATTCAACGATGATTGATATGATGCAAGTGAAAACTGAATGAAATTCAGAAGAAGGCTAATATGCAAACTAGTAACTAACAAGTGAAACATTCATATAAAAACACATAATTCGCAATTTTAACTACAGAAGATGTTCAAACTAATTATCGTGTTGATCGTGGTTTCTGCAATTTTCGCGCAGAATCCGTACCAGGTCTATCGAAGATATCATTCGGACTACTATCGACAACCTATTCATGATTTTTTCAATGATCCAATATGGGGTGGACGATCGCAGAGTGCAGGTTTGAGGTTTCTTGAATACTATTTGAACACACTTATAAGTTCAGGTTGGGCTCAAGCAAGACATCATCATAGTCCACGGTATTACCCAGTAAATGGGTATTATTAATTCATGGATTATAACTTATAATTTATATAATAGTAAAAAAATGAATTTTTATAGAATCGTTGACCTTCTTTCAGCTCCTTCAATCTTTGAAATGGCCAGCTTTTTGAGCAAGGCTTTAATGGATCCGTTGGATTCGATTTAGATTCTAAGCTCAAGCTCTTCTCAATCCACAACCATACAAAAACATTTTGACCCCCATAATCTTTTGTGATGTCTACCCTCGTCTTTTCACAAAATTCCCAGGCCCGAAAATTTCGGAAAATGCACGTATGCAGTCGCTGGTTCGAAGACCATAATGTCATCGGTACGACTTCTTTTGGTTCCGAAATGATGACAAATAAAATGGTGTGAAAGGAATACGAGCGATGATGATAATCATAAAAGCAGTTTCATCATTTGATTGCACCATTAAACACTTTCAAAAGTCCGACTCCAATCAGAATTTCCGATTTTTTTTTACATCCGATATTGATATCATATGAAGCTTTGGGAAGTGGCGAATCTCTGAAGCAAACTAGATACTATATCAACCATCATGGTTGTCTGATCTTTGAGATATGGTCTGATTCATCATTTGATATCAAATACTAATCGGAACAGTCCGGGCGGCGGCGAAAAACGAAAACGAAACCGTTTTGCAAAAGAAAAAATCAATGCCGCGTGCCGAGATATTTCGAAGATCTTTGAAATTCATAGCGATATTATAACAGAAATCAGCGCTTCCAATATTATTGCAGAGATCACAAAGCGATGGGCAAATAAGCGATTGGAATTTGTCGACCTATCGACAAGTTTTTATTTTCAACCATCAAAATAAGGCATTTAAAAAACATATATTGCGTTTGCGAAAAAAACAAACGTCATGCGCCGATTTACGGCGATTTGAAAAAAAAAATAAAATCGAAAAAGTGCGATGGTGTACAATTATGCAAAACACCCTTTTTTGGCGATGGTAATAACAAGGCGTATGACAATATTTTTTCAATAATGAATAGTTTGGAATCCTATTGTTTAAAACAAAAATTCGACTTATTTGGTGGTAAACTATTCCAACAGACTTGATAGGTTATATTTAGAAGTATCGCGGAAAATTTTGTTCAAAAGAGGATGATTTCGGGTTGTGATAATTCATATGAGTTTCAATGTCAAACTCATCAATTCGTTCTGCGGACATTTTCTAAAAGAATCATTTTAATAATTGTTTTTTTTTAATCATAACTTTGAGTTTATTTTGCTTTAATCAATAAAATTCTCTCTCTCTCTCTCTCTGTTCCTTCTTTAATGATCAGAATTTGCAATCGGTTTAATGCGAATTTGCACCAGATTCGATCTCATTCGAGAAGGTTCGCCTTATTTCTGGTCTCTCAACCTTCAAACATCCAAACATCACTCGATCAGAATGTGTGTTATCATCAGTCAGCGACGACACATGGTTTGTCGATGACGTCCGTCGAAATGATGGAGGATGTCCCGCCCACTTTTTAGACGAGCCCACCCCGTCTGGACTACTATAAAACCGCTGAATTGGGAACGATTCAGCATCAACTCACAACAACAACAACAAACTTGCAAACAGTCTGAAAATGAACTCGACACTTCTTGCTGTTCTATTCTTCGCTTTCTTCCTTGTGGTTACCGTGGAAAGTGCTGTCATCTCCCGATCAAGACGCGCTGTTGAAGACTACTATTACGGAAATGGAGTCGTCCACAATGTTGTCAATGATAATCTGATTGGAGGACCAACTAGCCTTGGTAAGAGCTTCAATAATTCCATTCGAGACCATAATTGGATTGTTTTACAGGATGGGCTCAAGTTCCACACGTGCTCAGCCCAATGTTCTCGCCAGTCTTCGGCCGTTAAGCGTCGTCAAACAAATACGGATTCCAGTCATGTACATACGGCCAAACAAAAAACAAAATTCGGGATCTCAAATGCATAATTGCCATAATTCATTTCTTTATTTTCAAATAAATATTCGACATTCTACTTTTTTAATGGTGCTGAACAATACATTTAAAAAATGGAAAAATGTTTCTCGATTCTGAGAAGAGCTTTTCCCGCAAAATGTCAAGCATGTGGTGGCGTCTTAAATAATAATATGATATTTTAGAAACAAATCAGTATCACGAATATCTGAATATTGAAAAATTAGAATTTATTTTTATTTCCATAAAATATTTATCTTGTGAAAACAACAATATCCGAATTACCTGGTGAGTAGTTTGCTTCGTGATTTCAAAGACGGTTTTCAATCAAACAGGACCATTCGAAGGATCGGTTGACCATTGTGGTTTGATTCGGGGAATGCCATTGATGATATCGAAGTATTCCAAGCCACCTTTTTTCAAAAAAAGGGAGCCCTGGGGAGGATGAGTTAATCTTCACAGATTACTTTTAATACAGTACCCGAATTCCCAGTGTAAATTCAAGTTTGAATCGCCGCCTTGAAAAAGTGTGATGGTCCACAATTATGCGAGGCGCTCGTTTTCCGGGATGTAATATTACCATCGCTGTCGACGTTTTTCAACTTTTCGAATTTAAACAGTGGGAATTTGGCTACCATACTCTGGATAACCTGCGAAGCTAACTCACAGTAAATCGGCGCAAGTTACTCGATTTTTTTTTGCAAATTTAAATATGAAATTTTTTGCACTCATTGAGTTTATTAATTAATTCTCTACAAGAACGTTGAATTATCGAAGAGTGTGTTATTGGAAATTAAAAATTAGATTTCAGTCTCAATTAATGCTCAGAATGTTTGAATACCTCAGCTATTAAAATTTTCTCATTGCAAAAATTTTAAGCTCATTATTTTCACATTTCCCAACACTTTTTAGAAAGGGCATAGTATTTTTTGGTATCCTTCCATCTTTTGACCTTGTGAAATGATCAAACCCGCAAAATGATTGTAATGCTATGTAATGGAAAACACCTCATAAACTAGGGGAGATCGAAATAAGGTGAAAGAGTAAAATTTTTATGTTTACTTCGATTTTGACCATGTTTTCTATCCCCGCAGGTCATGTGTTTCGTGCGTGATGAAGGACGGTCAGATAACGAACGTCCGAGGGCTTGAACTTTCGGACATGACGTTGATTATCATCGAAGAAGGCGCCGCCCACATTTTCGATCGAAACCCGCCCATAATTGGTATTATAAAAGGGCAATGGCAGATCGGAAAAGACAACAATTCGAATATCGAATCAACAACAACAACAACAACAACAACCAGCTATCAAAATGAGCTCTCGACTTCTTTCTATTCTTCTTGTTCTTCTCGTTGCCGTGGCCACTGTTGAGAATGCAGTGATCAACCGAGACAGGAGGGCAATCCAAGACTATTTCTATTCCGGATATGGCAACAACGATGTCATCCACAATGTGGTCAGCGATAATCTCGTTGGGGGACCAACAAATCTTGGTAAGAATTTGTCAAAACCCATTCGAGACCATAATTGGATTGTTTTACAGGATGGGCTCAAGTTCCACATGTCTACAGTCCAATGTTCTCACCAGTCTTCGGCCGTTGATCAAATACTCTTCACTATGTCTACATGTCATTTTTTTGATCTCATTTTTTCAACATTCCAGTCAATAAATATTCGTACAATTTATACTTGTATACTTCCTACAACAAAAGTATTCCTAAATCGACTATCTCCCAAAGTTCCAAAAAAAAAAGTGTGTGCGCGGTGAATCCAAACAGCGGCCGACAATAATCGTGCTCGTCGGAGCAAACAATGTGTCAACTCATTTAGAACCTCGGCCGATTCTCGCGGGTCGCTCCTCTTCATTTCAAGTGATTTGATAATCATGATACTCATCACACGCCGATTGATTTTCTCCATATTTCTACTAATATCGCCAATATTCGCCTATGAAATTCAAAAAATGCGAGGTAGTTTTTCGAAAAAAAATTCTTGAAACTAAAAATTTAGGACGAAACCAACGCTTCTCCACCATGAATCATTTCCTTCAATCCATTCCAGTCCAACCGAAAATCCTTCTATATAATCCACAAGGCAAATAAATCCGTGTTGTTGTTACAAGGTTAATGGTAAAGAAAAATTCCGCGGAATTTCGACGTGATTCTCAATTAGTTTTGTCATTTTCTCAAGAATTTCAATCGTTTCCAAGCTCTTTCGACATCCAATAATCACAAGCTTCTGCTTGGCGCGCGTCAGAGCAACATTCACACGACGTTCATCGCGAAGAAGCTCATTTTTCTCAAATAAAATGTATTTAAAATTGGAATTTTTGAAATAAAAAAATACTTTGTTCGAATGAGAAGTCCACGCCATCGACCAAATGATTACCCGTTTTTCACGGCCCTGATATGAATCGATCGTATTCACCTAAAAACCAGTAATTATTCGCTCTACCAGCAGTTTGAATCTTTTTTTTTTCAAAATCCGTGGTTAAATTCTAAATTCAGCATATTCTTCTTATTAACTTTCACTTTGAAAAAAAAGTTTATCACAAATTGAGCTCATTTAAAAAAGCAGTGCTTAAAAATGTAAATTATACATTTTGCTTGGAATAAGTTACAGGGTGTCATTTAAGTTCCCGCACAACTTTGAAGACGTATATTTCTGAAACAAAAAGTCCAAATCAAACGAGACTCAAAATATTATTTATCTATAGTACAACAAATAATTATCTATTAACTCTTTTCGATTCGGCCTCCTTTCGCAGCTATGACTTCACGGAGACGCTTCGGGTAGGATGTGACTGTGGTACGCAGGTATTCGATGGAAAGATTGTCCCACTCCGCCAGTAATGTCCTCTTCAGAGCTTCTACACTTGAGTGGGGTTTTGCGTTGACCTTCTCCTGCAAGACCCTATCACGGAAAAGTCAAGCGGTTTCAGATCTGTGGAGCAATCAGGCCATTCAGATGACTTGATGAAGTCGGGAAAATGGGTCTGGCACCACTCCTGAGTAGTTTTGGCAGTGTGGGCGGGTGCTCCGTCCCGCTGAAAGACCCATATCTGCCCACCGAAATGCGTTTGGGTCCAGGGCATCACATGCTTCTCCAAAATGTCCCGAACGTAGACTTCTTTGTTCATTTTCACTCCCTGATCCACGAAATCCTGGGGGCACATCCCGGTTGAGCAGATGGCACCGAAAACCATCACACTGGCAGGATGTGAGGCTCGATTAATTGTTTTTCCTTTCTCAGAAGCTTGCTGGGATGTCTGGGCAAGTACTCAATGGTTTTGTGAGTAGAATGCCGTCTCCACAGTGAATAGCTTCTCGTCGGAGAAGACAGTGACGAGATCTTGTCCAGACCGCGTGCGAGCAAGAAGTCGTTTTGCTTTTTCGAAGCGTCTCTGCTTGTTGACGGCCGATAGAATTGCCGCTTTTTGGACACGATATGGGGTCAGTACAAGCTTCGTTTTGACGATTTGTTCCAAAGCGAAGATGCTCATTCCCATGTCTGACGCTATCTTTCTCATGCTCCTGTGGGGGTTTCGGCTGATCCTCGATTTGACGGCGTTGATCTTCTGAGGAGTGGTTACTGAGACGAGTCTTCCTTGTCTGGGACGGTCACTGGTCGTATTTAGCTCCTTGAATCGTTTGATGGTGTCATAAACCGTTCTACAAGGCACACCGACCCGTTGAATGATGTCTCTCGGGCTCACATTTTGCTTATGAAGTTCGATAATGGAAGCGCGATGGATGTTAGCCTTCGCCGTTTCTCGGAAGCACATCCGAATGAGGTGAAACTTGGAAAGTAAGTAAAATATACCTTGTTCAATAAAAATAAATTGTATTGGTGTACGAAAAGTGCGTTAGCGAAGCTCTACATGGCGTCAAACTTTTGTGCGGGAACTTAAATGACACCCTGTAAGTGGTAATTAAATTGTCACCAAAAGACTTCCATAATTTTTAATATTTAGAATTCTTAATGCCGACAAATTTAGCTCGTTTATAATTTCCCACCTCAACAAGACCATTGTTCAAATTGCCCCGAATCTCATCAACTTGCTTCCGATATGCAGACATAATTCCAATGTCCGACGATTGAAGACCGCCCTGTAAATTGAAATTCTATAAATTTCGGAAGAAAGTGGGGAAACCTTGAGGAAATGCTCACAGAGCATCGAAACGAGTCTCGCTTCTCCTCGATTGGTAACACCTCCATTTTCGGAATCGTCTGATTTCAAATCTTCACCAAATTCTTCGCTCTTCGTGTCAAGAAATACACATGACTTCTCCAAATTCTCAGAGAGAATTGGATGCAAAAACTCTACAATATATCTTCTTTACAAGGTTACTTCTCTGAAAAAAACCTGGAACATTTTCCAAATTTGGAGAATAATCTCCACATCGTTGAAGACATGATCTTGACACTGCTTCATTCCCACACGTGAGCTTATTATCATAGAATAAGAAACTGGAGAGTTTCGATATTGGTCTGAAGCTCGAAACCCTCAAAAAAATCTAGAATTGAAGTCTTACGCGTTCATTCGATATTGTGATGTTAATGAGACTACAATATTTGGATGAGCTTCTTGAAGTTTCTGCATCGTCGAAATTCCGGCGCCTTCATTTCTGCAATTCAAAAACATTGCGATCTTTCATTCGGACGCGTCGTAATTTTCTTCGGAAAATCACGTATCATGTTCGACACAGCTTTTTTCCTGATTTTTCCAAGACAACAGATGTTTTCCGTCATCAGAATGTTTGTCATCTTCACTAGTATACAAGATTGGAGATCGAACCGTTCAACGACAACAGCGTTTGATTTCCTTATCAATCACAGGTTGTCCCGCCCCTATTTTCGATCGAAATTTGTCGAAACCCGCCCATAATTGGTATTATAAAAGGGCAATGGCAGATCGGAAAAGACAACAATTCGAATATCGAATCAACAACAACAACAACAACAACAACCAGCTATCAAAATGAGCTCTCGACTTCTTTCTATTCTTCTTGTTCTTCTCGTTGCCGTGGCCACTGTTGAGAATGCAGTGATCAACCGAGACAGGAGGGCAATCCAAGACTATTTCTATTCCGGATATGGCAGCAACGATGTCATCCACAATGTGGTCAGCGATAATCTCGTTGGGGGACCAACAAATCTTGGTAAGAATTTGTCAAAACCCATTCGAGACCATAATTGGATTGTTTTACAGGATGGGCTCAAGTTCCACATGTCTACAGTCCAATGTTCTCACCAGTCTTCGGCCGTTGATCAAATACTCTTCACTATGTCTACATGTCATTTTTTGATCTCACTTTTTCAACATTCCAGTCAATAAATATTTGTACTTTCCAAAATGTCTCTTTTGAAAGTTCAAAATGTTCATAGTAAAAAAAGTAAGCACACAAGGGGTTTCTTGGGTTTTCTCGAAGATCTCTTATTCTACATACACGCATTGGGAAGATGCCAAAGCGTATTGTAAGTCGCTTACTTGGCAGATTTTGATAAAACCAAAGGTGTCAACTGCTTGCAATCTCCGACTAAGATGAACCTCGAACTCGTCGCCAATACAGGAAGAATCAGTGGCTCGAGAACCATAGAAGCTTCATCGACAATCACAACATCGAATTTTCTATAAGAGAAGAGCAATTCCCTTGGAACATGATGACACGTACAAGCGACGATAGGCTAAATCAAAAAATTTCTTTGAAAGTCGTAAATTTATTCGCAATTCTCACCGTGCATCTCATGATTTTCCTAACAGCGGCATAGTGTTCATCTTCGTTAAACTTTTCCAACTTCGCGTCGAGACTCAAATCAGAAATCTCAGGTTTCATCGAGTTTCTGTTACCAAGACGTAGGATCGATTTCTCATCGAGTTCCTTTCTGAGTTTCAATAGAATATTATCAAGGGCAGAGTGAGTAAATGCCGCCATGAGAACAGATTTCCCAGTGGCAACTAAGCTTCGGATCAACACCGAGATCAGCGTAGTTTTTCCAGATCCCGGGAATCCTTCGACGATGAGAAAATCGTGGGAAACCATCGCTGAGATAACCGATTTTCGCTGATCATTGTTGAGTCGAGCCTTAACAATAATTCGTTTCACTTTATCCGGTAAGTCAAGGGCATTCAAAGACAGTGGCTGAGGGGGTTGAAGGTCGACGAGTAAGCTTCTCAATCGAAGGCTGTAAATGGAAATATATTTGAGAATTTTGACAAAGAAAAATGTTTACCCAACTTCGTCGTCACTCAAAAAATAAATAAGATTTCCAAGAATCGTGGGCCAATTCGACATGCTGTTATATCGATCGAGGTAAAATGGACCCCTCTCTTTAATTCCTTTGTCGCAAATCACTTCAATAGCGTCGTCTGAGCAAATAATTTATGTTTAGCGTGTTATTTCTCATCATTATCTAACCTTCAATTTTTTGAACCACAACAAAACCTAGAGAAATCTGCGTTTTCGCCGACAAAATGCAAACGTCTCCCGGTTTCAAGTTCACAATAGACATGGTCTTCGAAAATCTCAAACAAACTTTCTCGTTGCTCGACTTCTCTTCCGAAACCTTCTCAAGTCCTCCAACACATGTCCCGCGAGCTTCTCTAAACAAAAATTAAATGATAACAACAGAAACAGAAGCAACCGACCGTTCTTCGGCTCGCTTCCGCCAAATGTCTCGAATATTGCCTTCAGTGCGATCCATTTCCGATTTCCATTCGGCAGTTATCCACCGAACCCATTTCGAAGCATATTCTGCGCATTTCAAGAGCTTATTTTGAATTTTCTAAATAATATGACACCTAAATGCGGATCCGCAAGATGTTGAACATTCGCAGTTGCAAATTCTTTCATAGTTTCGTTTGACTTTGAGAAATTTTCATCTTTCTTCTAAAATAAATTCAATTTCAAAATATGGTTTTTTAAAGGTAAAACCTGCAAAAAAGTGCAAAACGTTTTTTGGTCGCATTTTTCGCAAAATCGAGTCTCGGTTCTTGGTTCTGCCATAAAATCAGTTTATCAACAAAAGATAAAATATTTACCAGGAAGATCCATCGAAAGCGAGTCTCCATAGAATTTCGACAATTTGTTGCGGTGCTGAAGAATCGAAAACAGCTCCTGAGACCTTGGAATCACTGGCCTTTGAATTCCATCCTTTAAAACCCTAATAAAACAAACGAAAATCAAATCAAAAAATAAACTTTCAAATATAGTAAATTTCCAGGCCCAATTTTCTGTTTATACCGCGTCGAGAGCATCATAGAATATAATAAAACTTGTCCCATATGCTCAGCAGATTGTCCACTTTTTCCGGTTTTTAATTCAAGCGATTCCATGGATGTCTGCGATGTTGCCTGTGGTTTAACCTTCAATGTCAAATCGACTTTTCCCTTCACTCCTAATATCGGATCCCAAATATTGTCTTCAATATCAAACACTTCAGAAATTGTTGATTTCGTCGGAAGCGCTGCCGCTTTCTTCCCAAAGAAATTCGATTTTGGCACATGTTCGTTGATCCATTTCACAATTACCTAAAGAGAAATTACAGAAAACGTTGAATTCGTTGATTCAGATACTTCTAAATATGGTTGTAATTCAGTTTCCATCGATTTTGGCGTAAACGACAAAGCAACAAGATCCTCGCTGTATTCTGAGACCAACTTTTTCCAAATATCTAACAAATCCATATCTTTTATAGGACGTTTTGCGCTGAGAATCGCAATCTGAAAATAAGTGCCAATAGAAGAAAATATGGAAAAATATAAAGAAGAAAACAAACCTGGAATATCTGATGCATGATAGTTCCGAGGAGCATTGCTTTATTGGATGCATTTCCAAATTTGAATCGTTCACTGAGGATAATCTTTCTCTGACAGAACATAGATTGAGCTATCGAAGTGCAGGGAACAAGAGCGTCTGGATTCACAATCACGATTCCCTGATCGTCGTCTACTATAAAATCCTATAAAATGCTACCCTCTAGTAAAAATTGGACTATTTGAATGCAAAAAATTACGAATTACCTGATCAGCCCATTTCTTCGCATCAATCAAATTAATAATATCATCCTTTTCAACTTTCGTATCCGACCATCTTCCCTGAATATAAGTCGTTAAAATCGGAATATGATTTTTTAAATACTTGTAAATAAACCGTTCGATTCGCCCCATTCTCATCCTCACACTCAACATCCAAACAATCTTCTCGAATCGCGGCACTTTTAACGGTTAGGTAAAAAATTTCTGAGCTATTCAAGCTGGGAAATCCGTCAACTCCGCTCGAAATCGCTGAGAAACAATCATAATTTAAGAGAATTTTTTTTTAGAAAAATAGGCGAAATACTTTCAACTTTTGGTGTCGTTGAGCATTTAACTGGCGCATCAAAAGAGTCTTCATCATTATCGATTACTTCAATTTTTTTTCCTCGAGATTTCGGCGAACGTCCAAAATTTTCAAACGAATCATCGCTATCAGGTTCCGATTCGGACTCTATTATTTCAAAAGTGTCTTTTTTCGTTAGCAAAACGATCATGTAAACTCACTTTTACTTCTTTTCTTCACCGATTCATCGCTATTTGTAGAACCTTGCCGCTTTCTGGATCCTGAGAAAAGCATTAAACCCTGAAATTTTGAATTTGGCGCCTTGCGGCCGCGGCCTTTGAATTGGGTCGAATGACTACGGCCGCGGCCACATTGAAAATTCATATGAATGATCGATCATTAATTAATGAGAAATAATTGTAAAAAAACGGAGAAAATGAAGCGTGAAAAAGGTTTGGACATTTTAAATATTTCTTTTTGGCACTTTTTGCGAATTTGACTAATTGCGAGCCTAATTGTGGATTCTCGCGAATTGTATAAACATGAAAGAGGTTCTCGAAGCGGCATTTCTTTCAAATTTTTATCATTCAGAACGATAAGCAGAAGGATCTAGGGTGTCAGAAAGGTAAAGGACGTAAAAAGAAGCATTCGTTGGAAGAAGATAGTACAAAATGTATCGAAATCATGGTTTTAAATGTGATTTCAGAATGCACGAATTCGTCTGGAACAGAATCGTCCGAGAGCCGATGCAAGTCAGGAACTCAAACCGAGAATAGTCAATGTCCATCGAGCTTGAAATCTGGAAACTCTGAAGCTCCGCCTCGCGACATGAATCAGTGGCTTGAGTAAATTTCTATTTTGCTTGACATTTTAATTAGTAATATTTTAAAGCGATGTCGCTGTACATTTGAAAAAGTTTGCTTCTCTTATATCATCAGTACCAAAGGATGAATCTAGGTAATTCAATCACAAAATCTTCAAATCTGAACCAATTATTATAGTGTGAATTCGGGGCCACCAACAAAGACTTCAAGGAGTAGAAGCTCTTTGAAAGGAACGAGATCATCAACAAAATCAGCATCATCGACTGCAAACAAGGAAACCAATTATGATACTGATACGTCATTCAAAATCATCGAATCTGAGTATTCCTACTTTTTTGTTTCAATTGAATTGATAATCAAAGTAAATTTTAGTAATAAAACAAACCGAAAACCGAAAACGAGGAAAATGAAATCGGAGAGTTCTCACTCGGAATCATCCCGAGCCTCGAAAAAAGTTCCAGAAACGAACATTGCTTTTTAATTGGAATATTTAGAGCACTTCTTCGTCTGTTTCAACAACATCTGATGCATATTCTCACGCAAAAATTGATACAAATGTGAAACCATCCAACGTCGTTTATAAAAAACCGTTTGCTCTTAATTATGCTTTTTGCTCTCAACATAAATGTCATTTTCAGAAACAGCAGCTATCTTGGTGTGCTAAGTCGAAAAGATGCTGAATGCAAAATGAGCAAATCGGCGAGATTTGCAATTTATCACCAACTCGGCTATTCTCCGATTATAATGAATATTCAAAAGGAAATTGCGCTTGCCGCCATTTATAAATCCTCTGATGGAATATTTACGTAATTTTTCACCATGTTCACTCAAATTTGCCCAAAATCTTAGGCATTTTCGAGTTCATGAATATATTCACCATGATTCAAGCCTCTCATACTATGTTGAGAATGGAAAATCCGACAAGCCGCGCATGTTCCGATCGATTGAGGATCTTATTCAGTTTTATACTAAAAATCCGAAAAGCTAGTTGAGTTATGAATGAATACATGTGTATTTCTGCATTCAGTTTTTTTCGAAAATTCCCGACACAGACTAAAATACGTAATCCTTTGTAAATAAGCAACGACTGTTTGCACAATCCGTTTTTCCGAGGCAATTTCTCGAATTAGCCACTGGTCAACGCACATTTTGAACACGATTATGCACTATTATTAAATGAAAATGATTGGAGATGAAGCCGTTTCTACTAATACTGACTATTCATGCTCTCTTTAAACGAGCTCTCACCCAACAACCAACATATACTTGTCCCAACAACGCAAACCCTTTAATTGCAAATAGCGGAACAAATTTATTTTGCACTTCGGTTGGAAGCACATCAGATTGCCCAACAAGGTATGGTATATTATTTAAATGTATAAATCTGTGAAGAAATAATTAAGAATGAATTTCCATTTTAATTACTTATTAATGGACTTATACATGAAAAGAATTTTTTTAATTAATCGTGCATTATTTTTACATCCATTAAAAAAACTGAAAAAAAGAAAGAATAATCATTAAAAAAAAAAGATTTTTATGGGAGAAAAAATCCGTAAAATGTGATGCTTTGTGTGCACTAATCATTTGCAAAACACAGTAACTCCGATATAAAAAATTTATTGACGAAACCGTGTTGTTTTAAAATTATTTCTCAAAGCGGCATTAATGAAATTTTTACAAATTATTTTTGTAAAAAAATATATTCAATAGGTCCGTAAATAATTTATATAAATTATTTTAAATGTTAAAAAAAATTAATATTGTCGAAGAAAGGCGTCTTTCAATCGGTAATTAATGTAAGAAATTTCGTCGCGCAATTATTGTCAACCACTTATTTATTTAAGTTTTTTTTCTGTCGAAAAAAATAGCCTATTTTTAGTTCGTCATGCGTTCAATCTGCAAATATGCCAAGTATTCTCATTTGCTGCTCTTCGGCAAGCTCAGTGACGCCGGTGTGTCCGAATAATGCCGTTGCTCAAACGTCAGCCGAGGGCTACGTCGCATGCAATATTAATAACCCTATATGCAATTCTGGGTGATTTCTTTAGTTTTTGTTTTAAATAATAGTTTCTATGTGCAACTTTGCAGATATCAATGCGTACAATCAATGAATGTTCCTTCATTGAGCATCTGCTGCTCAACTTCTTCCCAAACTACTATGTGTCCCACAGATTTTACGCCTGTCATTGATACAAATGGCCTGACAGTAAAATATCGTATTAACATACATAACTATTTATTTTAATATTTTAAGATAACATGCAGTCCGTCATCTTCAAACTGTCCGAGTGAATCTTCGTGCATGCAAAGCACGTTCAATTCAGCATTTATTTGCTGTAGGTCATCAACATCTACGAGAATTTGTCCAAATCAGCAAAATGCATTGATCACTAATAATAATCTTGAAATGTGCACAACGCCGGGAACTCAATGCTCTCAAATTGGCTACACATGTCAGTTTTCCAGTCTTCTCGGAGCCTATGTTTGTTGCGGAAATGGCGCGATCGATAACGGAGTTCCAAAATGTGCCGACAATCGACCGACGTATCAGCAAATTGTTGGGGAGACGTACACATGCGATTCGAATGCTAGATGTCCCAGCGGGTATGATTGTGCACCATCGGATGATCCATTCATAGATGTTTGTTGTTTGACGGGAGCGACGCCGATTCCCGAAAATATCGCTTGCCCCGATGGCTGGAATCCATACCGGAATGAGGTTGACAACTCAGTAAGGACCTGCGACGCTGTTCAAGACACAAGGTTAGCAATCAAAAAAGAAGAAAGAAAACTTTCCACAGATTATTTGGTAATGAGAAGTCATTGAATTGTTCCAGTTGTCCGGTCGGGTTCTCTTGTGCTCCGTCATCTCGTCCATCCCAATTCCTTTGCTGTCGACTAGCGTCTGCTCTAGTTTGTATCAATGGTAGGACATTGTTGATAAATGGTTCGCCAAAACTTTGCCGTCCTTCACCGATCAGTCAATGCCCTTACAACTACTCGTGCCAACAGAGTATCAATGTAACCAAAAAAACTGGATTGAACCATTATTATAGGCCATATATTTTCAGCCAACCGTCACTGTTTGCTGCTCCGACACCTAAATTATGGATTGTTTAAATTATGTAATATTTATTGTTAAGTACTTTTATACTGTCACGCACTTTTGTATTACATCAGCCCTATGTTATCAACGAGATGAAATTGTCTGCAGAAATATTTTAAAATTGATGCGAGCTTATTCGAAATACTTTTAGGTAATTCTAGAAGATATTTTCTCTTTGAAAAGATCCACAAGTATTCCAATTTTTCATTTTTCTCAAACTCAGTTGCAAATGTATCTCGCAACCCTTTGAATTCCCACATTATCCTCTTATTCTTTGAAACTTGGCTTTATTGTTTCAACGAATTACGCAACGACGAAACACTTATCAGTTTCGTTGATTGCAAGGCTTCTAATGCGATACCGATCAAATTTACCACCCCCTCACCCTTCTCCACGTGGGGATTTGATAAAAAACTATTAGTTCGTCTCTTGCGTCAGTTTGCGTTGGGTTCAATTGAACCCGGTGCAACTTCTTTCTTCCTTCTTCATATTACGTCAACGGAATTTCGTCGGTCAGGTGAGTTGAAAACTAAATGTGACACAATGGCTTGATATTTACTACCGTAATCCAGTATCGATCGACTAATACTCCCTAATTGCATTAACCTTGAAATTAGGATAAACACGATTTAGGAAAATTTCTATCATTGAAATACGATATGGAAGTTTTACAGTGTTGTGTTTTCATCTTTTGATTTTCGATAAACTGGTGAAACAGCAAATTGATAATCATAGATTGAACGAATCGAAAATAAATAAAAATATTGCTAGTTGTCTATGATCCAAGAGTGTTCCGGTGATTTTTATAAGAGTTCGCATCGAATTCTAAGAAAAATGAAGCTTTAAAAGGAATTGTGGGGAAAAAAGTGTTGAAAGAACAAAATAGTTGAACTTGTGTCCACTTTCCAACAACTTTTGAATGTTGTTCATTTACAGGGTCGGGCATAATTACCGGTAATTTTTTTTGCGCCATGGTGACTCATGATGTCGCGTTTTTTTTGAGCGCTCACAATTTTTTTCCAGTTGTTTAATGTGTTTTCTATTGTTTTTCCAAGTTTCGGACAAAAATACTAATTTTCTGCCAAATGGTAAAGGCTAGTATCCATCGTGTCACTGTTTGCTCGCTATTCGATCAGGGAGTCAAAATTCCCATGATCATCAAGCGCCTCAAACTCCCTCCGAACACCGTTTATTCGACGATTCGCCGCTATCAGGAGACTGGAGGACTTGATGACAGGCTTGGGAGAGGAAGAAAAGTTTTTGTTACAACTCCAACTAAGGTGAAAGCCGTGAAGGAACGAGTGAGACGAAACGCTCATCGGAGCCTCTCAACGATGGCTTATGAGATGGGAATGTCCCGAAGATCGACGACAAGGATTGTCAAAGATAAATTGAGTCTTATCACATATCGTGTGCGAAAATCAGCTATTCCTCTGCCGCCAATAAGCAAAAAAGACTCCAAAAGGGAAAACTTCTAGTTGAGCGCACGCGAGTCGGCGAACATTTGGTTACCGTGTTCTCCGACGAGAAGCTTTTTACTGTCAAGCAAGAATTCAACTCCCAAAACCACAGTGTTCTTGCTACGACCTCCCAAGATGCTTTTGACAATGGTAGAATCATTCACACCACTTTCCATCCCGCCAGAGTGATGGTATTTGGCGCTATATGCTCCGCGGGAAAGTGTCCGCTCGTATTCGTTGAAAAAGGCGTTAAAATCAACGAGGAAGTCTACGTTGACATTTTGAAGAATCACGTATTGCATTGAAGCCGAGATAATTTCAAAGGCCAACCGTGGTGTTCCAACAACATGCAGCCTTTGCTCACAAAGCTAAATTCACTCAAGAGTGGTGCAAAGCAAATTTTTCGAGTATCATCGCTTCAGACGAATGGTCAGCTTCATCGCCGGATTTGAATCCGCTGGATTACTATGTCAATGGAATTTTGCAGAACAAGGTCTGTGCCACACCCCATTCAAGTGTTGAGGATTTAAAAAAGAAGTTGGTCGAGGAATGGGACAAGATGTCAGTGGAATACTTGCGTGCGGTGGTGGATGCCTTCCCAAAGCGTCTTCGAGCCGTCATCAAGCAGAAAGGTGGCCGAGTTGACCAACTTTAGTATTTATATGTTTGTTACTACCCAGATAAACTTTTAGTTGAATCTCAACTTGTTCTGATTTTTACTTTTTGAAATACTTCCGTTTGAACTTCTACCGGTAATTATGCCCGACCCTGTAAAGAAAAATTTCAATAACAACAGATGTGAACTGAACCGCCTAAATTTGCTACGGTGTCTGGGGATTATCGAAAACGGATAAATTCTTTAAATTCAAATTGAAATTATCTTATCATTTTGAAAAGAAAACATCTCGAATTGATCATATTATTCATGATTCTTTGAATTCTACTAACAAGTTTGTCATATCCGACGCGAGATTGTATGGATTACGAATTTCTGTAGATTGTAGTCGTTTTGATTCTGATTTGTGATTACATTCATATATAAGATTTTTTTCAATTTTTTCGTGTTCAACCTAAAATTCATCGTAACCGATTGTAGATGTTGAGCAATTCGGATTTTATGTTTCGATTTACTACATAGAAAGGTTTAGTTTAGAAAATACTATAAAATTTGGCTATATTTTGCAAAACCAGTTTAATCTTGACATCGAACACTGATAAACGTCTCAAAATGAAAAGATGAATCCTTGATGGTCTGTTCCACAAATATGTCGAAGCCGAAAAAAAGCGCAGATGATCAGTTATCACATTCCGATCGCAATATCTCGTCGTTTTTGGTTTATGATCGATTTTTCAAAGAAAAACGAGGCGAGTGTTTCAGAAAACCAAGCTAAATTACATTTCACCGTCTTATCTTATCACAAAAAGTCCAATTGGGAAAATTTAACTCGCGATTGATTTTTTTTCGTCTGTCTTGTCGATAAAAAATGGATAAGGTGAGACATTTTTCAGGTGGGAAGGAATCGATAATTTGTGTGTATGCGAGTTGAAGAAATCTCGAAATTTTGTCATAATATAGTGGGCTTTCGGCAAAAAATTTTTGAAGAGGCGTAGATTTGCCGGGTATGCGTCTTTCGAAACGAAAAACTCAATATGAAAGATGTAAAAATTCACTTTTTGAAATGGTCAAAATAAAAATTGACGCGAAAAAAAATATTAAAAAATAAATATAAAATAAATAAAAAATAAAAAATCTACCCGCGTAGATCAGTTGTCGGACGCTGACTCTACAATATAATATGATTTCTGTTCAAATCAAATCAAAACGTCATGTTTAAACTGTAGTTGTTTTCTGAATTCCTTATTCATGTTTGTCGTTTGTTATCATTTCACGTGGTCATTCTACGTATGGTCTCTCTTCTGCCCCGCCTACCGCGGCTGATCGCCCCTTCATCTCCAGTTCATATCATTTCAAATCTTAACCAGCCATTCAACTTTGCCCATTTTCAGATGGTCGCCTCAAGAAAGAAGTCGATTGTCCATAACTCGCCGCCACAGATTGTAACTTGATTTTTTGTCGCGTCCCCCTAATTTCGCAAATCTGTATAGACTGATCATGTGAAGACACTGAACAGAACGAGGCATCCGCATCACATTGCAACCGAAAGGAAGAGGACCGCAAGTGTTGCCGAAGACGGATTGGAATATAATAAGCGAGTGAGTGTTGCAATTTATTCCAGCTCATGACGCGAAACAGGCTCATTTTAATATTTTAGGTGCGAAAAATCCAAAAGCAATTTTTAGAGGAAATTCAAGAGGAGAAAAGAGAGGATTCACATAGCAGCGATGGTAGCTGAAATTGATGAAAACTTACGTATTTCTCGAAATTAATAATTTAGGCGAGCATAAAGAACCCTTAAAAGATGTTCCGCCGACATATTTCGATCCCGATTGTGATCCCGAGAATCCGAAGAAAGTCACATTTTCTGAGATCTCGAGTGCTGCTTTCAACATCAAAGAAGGTGTTCAGCGATCGCCATGCACTGTAGGCTTGCAGACCAAAAAATCATTCAAAAAATTGCATTGGTGTTTAGAAATCGCTTCAACTATCCAATATGTTCAACATGAATCTGTACTTTAAAAAGGAGTACCTCCAGGTGACGGGATCGTTCAAAGAGCGCGGTGCTCGATATGCTCTTTCGAAATTGACGGACCAACAGAGAAGGAATGGCGTGATTGCGGCAAGTGCTGGCAACCACGCGCTCGCTTTGAGCTACCACGGACAGCAAATGGGAATACCGGTGACGGTTGTCATGCCGGTGATCGCGCCGCTCATGAAAATCCAGTTGTGCCGAACTCTTGGAGCCACGGTGGTTCTGAAAGGAGAAAGCATTCAAACGGTGAAGCGAATTGTTGTCACGCCCATATTTCGTCCGTTTATTTCAGTGCAAAGATTTCGCATTGAAGCATGCTTCGGAAAACAGCATGAAGTATATTAATGGTTATGACGCGGTCGACATTCTTGCCGGTCAAGGAACTATTGGATTGGAGATTCTTGAGCAGGTTCCTGACGTCGACGCAATTTTAGTTCCAGTCGGAGGTGGCGGATTGATTGCTGGAATTGCTGTTGCTGTCAAAACTTTGAAGCCATCAGTCCATATTTACGTAAGCATTTTAACATGATGCTTAATTGATATTTATGCTATTGAAGGGTATTGAAGCTGAAACCTGTCCATCATTCTCCGAAGCTTACAAGGTTGGAGTGCCAGTTAAAGCTGTTGCGAAGTCATCATTGGCGGACGGTTTGGCGGTGCCAATGGTGGGAGGCAACTCTTTGGAATCAGCCAAAGGGCTCATCGACAAGGTAATTCATCTTTTAACTCGAAAATTTGACTTCAATCAATTTCAGGTTATCACTGTGTGTGAGGAATGTATTGCTCTTAGTATCTTGCGGCTTTTGGAAATTGAGAAGGCTGTTGTTGAAGGCGGAGGCGCCGTTGGTCTCGCCGCAATCATCTCCGGCAAATTTCCAGAGTTGAAGGGCAAAAAGTTTGTATTCAAAATCAAGCGTTTGATATCGTTTTATAATTTCAGAGTAGTCTCGATTCTCTCCGGTGGAAACATTGACACAACCGTATTAGGTAGATCAATTGAGCGCGGACTTGCCGTTGATGGCCGCCTAGTCCGTCTGGAAGTCGTCGTCTCTGATCGTCCTGGAGGCATCGCCGAGTTAGCAACGACGATTGCGCAACTAGGAGCATCGATAAAAGACATTTTCCATGAGAGAGCTTGGATTTCAACAGACGTCTTCTCGGTGAAAGTCAAAGTTGTCGCCGAGACGCGCGGCAAGGATCACGTCGAGGAAATCGAGACAGCTCTGAAGAAAATTTACAGCTATGTGCAAATGAGCTAAATTAGTACTTTTAACAATTTGATTCCGTTGTTCATTATATGAACGTGATTTCTATTTTCTAAATAAAAATGAACCAATAAAAATAACTGCGATGTAAATTATTAACTAAATTTGTAATTTTTTATCAGCCTCTGGACAAGCCCGTTATATTTTTGGTTTGAAGTACCCTGAAGCCTTTTGGGCTCATATTAACACCAGAAATACTTTAGCGGATGTTTTCTCGAACCACGCCTTCAACAATTTGACGTCAGATGTTTATCAAATAATCACGTCTCATTTTTATGCGATAGAATCTGCGAATCGGGGACAGCGAGAGCTCCTCTTTGTTGCCGGAACAGTTTGTAATCAGAAAAATGGGAAACTTGAACATCAAGGCAGTCAAACAACCACAAAATGAGCAGCAGCGAAAAGATTCGAATAATTCAAGTAAGATCGAGAAAACTTCAGAAATAAAAAGAGTCGTTCAGAAATAAGCGATATGAGCATGAGATCGATGAAGCGTCAAGTATTCGAAAACAAATAGTCTATTAAATTTCTAGTGACAGCCTTTTAAAGAATTCGCCTTCGGACAACAATTATGAGAATTTGAACGATTTAGAAGAAGTGAGACCCGCCGCATCCAAAAGCGACGATACCATAAACGGATCACTGCCATTCAGTTGAGCACAAAATTCTAAAATTCGTAATATCTGCCCATTTTCAGCACCACCTAAGCAGCAAAAAAATGCAAATGATAGAAAGTTCAAATTGCCTGCCGATACGGTAGTGATATGGTCTTGGATTGAAGAAATTTTGTGGCGATATTTAGAAAACAAAAGTGGATCCATTCGCCGCCAATTACGACACTCTTCGAATGATGCCTGATGTCGATTGGGAGAAGAAGAAAACCTCGACGAACACTCATTAACTCAACACTATGAATGCCTTTTTTTGTTTTGTCGAGGAGGATCGCATTTATCACACTGCCCATTTCCCAATGGTCCCTTTGCAGGTCAAACTAGCAACAGAAGGAACGCCGCGAAAAAAATGAGACGATGGTCCCGTCGGGGGAATGGCAGTCTGGACGAAAATAGACGCGTGATATCATGTCGTTTTTTTTTTGATTGGGCGGTCTTGCACTTTTCCAAACATGGTTGCCAATGTCGTCAATTTCAATTTCAAATCTGGAACCCTTAAAAGCGGCAAGACCGAAAAGGCCAGTTTCGATCAAGAAAAAGCCCCATTGAGTTGATCTCATAAGTTGAACTTTCGCTCAAAAATTGGATATTTGGAAAATTTGACGAATCAATCTCGTAAATCCGACACCAAGAAGGCGTTTCTTTTTTATTGCTATTCTGTGCCACCTGTGCCAAATTGGTCCCGCCGTCAAATGTCGAACAATGGCCCGGAAATACGCATTGAAAACATATGCGTCATCATCGCGGTTTGACTAGCTCTATTACTGGAAAAGCGTCGAGGCGCGATGAATGGAAATTAGGCGGCGATTCATGCCGTCCTGAACACTACTCCATATAGGGAAAGAACAATAAGTAGACGTCATCGAGGTGCTGCGATTTCCGGGTCTTCATTCATCTCTTTGACCTATTATTTATTACGATCTTTTTTTTTAGGCAATTTCGTTTATAAGTGTCGATAAGCCTATAAAAAATGCCATAAAATTTGCGTAAATCAAGAAAATTGGCTAAAAACTAACAAATTGAATACAAGTAATAAATTACGTCATCAAATTCAATACTACTTTAAATAATAAATTTTTGGCACAATTCAATACCTTGAATAATTATAATAATAATATTTTTCGATTTATAAAAAGAAAATTTCTCAACTGAATTATGCTTAATTCATAGACATATCTATGTAGTTTGCACTGATTATATTTCTGACTGAAAGGTTTCAATGGTCCAATTCAGAATTCGACAATGATCCTTTCGCTTCAAATCGACTTCTATTAAATATTCCAAACACGCGAAAAGGTTTATTTATAAACCATTATGACATTTCACACAAATAATTGGACATTTTTGCTCCGCCCATGTCGGACGGTACAAAATTTGAAGAATATCTGCATATTTCCAGCTCAATTTTTTCTGTTTGACGACTATTCTATTTTAAATGCGAATAACATTGTCTGTTTAAGTCAATTTTAAAAAAATATTGTGCCACATTAATTGTTTTTTTATGAGAAGAAAATGGAGCACAGATTTGAAATTTGCTTGCAGCCTTTAAAAATTTATGCAATTTTTTTGAAGAAACCTCGAAAACCTAAAAAAATTATTTTTATTGTTTTTTGCAGCATAGTATCATTATAATTGTGAAATAATGTTTTAAATTATTTGAAAGCTGCTTTTCAATGGAATTCAAAGGAAATGCTCATGCTCATCTCCTCAGACACGTTCTCAGACAGAGGAAGTGTTGTTTCGAGTTCGGTCAAAGGTTGCAGCTTATTTTTGTGCAATCAAATAATCACATCGACAATAAATCACCGCCCACCGCATCGGGCCGACCCATCAAACTCATCTTGTGTGCAAGAGTCACGCTCGCCTCAAAATACATTTTGCAACATTGCAAAACTGCATCTCTCATCCCATACGGTATGTGTGTACATTATCAACGCACCTCATCTGCCGCATTCTCATGGGATGTTATGATGCGATATTTGAGGAGCCGTGTGTGCTCGCGAATTTACGACAAATAAACTCCCTGGAGATAAATCCAGAGAGAAAAAAAAAACCTACGTTTTAGTGGTGAGTCGCACACGTTTTTATTTCACACCATCTTTGGATAATTTTCGGGGTTTTTTATCGCTCGGATTATTCAGTTTTAAAGTGCAGACTGAAGGAAGCTAACTAAATGACATCAATGTAAATAATATTCCCCACTGAGACCTCTCCTCAGACTACGGTAGTCAGTCGTTTTTTTTGCAATCGAAATAAATGATTGCTGCATTCCGGAAGCTGCAGAAAAGTGGGCGGAGCCAATGCGGTGCAGCGTACTGATACCGTAGCTTCCATTTTGGGGAATTTCCCTATTCCATAGATCGTCTTTCCTCTCATTTCATCGGGAATTCTTTGTTTTGTACATTCAACAATCTGTTTGATTCGATCTGTTTGTGTGCACAATTGGAAAAAATTCCAAACCGCTAAATAAAAACACCTCCCTTGCAAGGTAAAAACCAGCTTGACGTCATGCGTTTTCCCATGCAATCCCCACAACATTTCGGGGGAAATACAATGTAATCACCAAAATGAAACAAATCCGGCTATTTTCGAATTGCAAAATTGTGTGGTCAGTGATTACTGAGTGACCACGTCACCAACAATAATCATTTTTTGATCAGCTGACTTTTTGGGAGTTTGACGACGTGGTCAGTAGGTCACTATATAAAATGATGCAAGTTTCGGGAAATGGAATGAGCACTGGTTGACCAGGCTATCAAGATGTTGCTCCTGTCGGTCAACATTTTATATTTTAAATACTAATTGAGCGGCCATTTGATGTCCGAGACCGCGTTCGTTTTTGAGAAACTATTTGCTTTTGAGTTTAAGCATGGATACTAGGACTATACCAGTCGAAAAGCAATCAGGCAACCGTGTTTGCGTCTCACCGCCACAAAATCTATTTCTCAATGTAAATAAATATTCAAACCATCGCTTCTGTAAATTTCAAAGCTTTCTGATCCACAATCGTTCTCTATTCTCTATAAATCATAACAATCAATAAAAATCAATCACCATAGGGCAGTCAAGATACATTGGATAATTAATTAATTTTCATTTGACACGAATCAAATTTGACAATAATGTTGATCATTTTGAAAGCATTTTTTTCACAAAATTTAATCTTTTTGAACTTTTATTATTCATTTATAACAGAATTTCAACGTTAATCGCGATTATCTCAACTTATATCAAAAATCTATTTGTCCGAAATGTATCCTTCTTCAAATGCTTCTCCCCGCTCCAATAAAATCTCAATTCCCTTCTTGAAAAAAAATAAATCCCAGATCCCCATTTACTATACTTTTTTGTGGTGGGTGAAAAGAAGGGGCGTGACCAGCGTCGGGACGGGACACATTTCGATTCGTTGCAGGAGCTCCTCCTCGACCAACTCTTATTGATGTACGAGCAATGATGACACTTGCCTCAAGCGTTTTTCAATTTTCACTATTCATCGTCGCGATTTTATCGCTTCGCGTGCCGATTCGAGAATATGATCAACTAAGTGCACGACGGGTCCTGAAACGATTGCCTTCATGGATAAATGAGCAATTCGCCGAAATTCGGATAAAACCTAAAAATAAAGAGGTAAGCTACGGGTGCCGCAATAATGGCAACGATCAAATCTCCAAATATGAATTCTTTCAAATCAGTGAAGATTCAAATTACTAAACAATAAATGCTATAATGCAAAGTACGCAGCCTTGCCAATTACATTTCAAATTTCGATCGGAGGTTTGAAACCGACAATAGGAACTCTTTTTTATGCTATATGTATGAAATACAACTTTTGTTCCAATTTTGCAGCTACCTGAGCGCGGCGAGGCTCGCATCGAATTCGGCGACGACGGTCGAAAATATGTGTATGCTTCATCGCCGGTCGACGCGCTCTATGCGGTCAACGTGCGTAATATTTCCGCGACCAAACAACGAGTGTAATAGTAATTGATGGATTCTTAGGCGTTTCTGCGAACCGAATGCCTCACACAAATCACATGGACGAACAGCTCATTCAGCGGCTACTGTAGGAAGCGGAACGCCGGAAGTGAGCCGATTGAGGTCACTGCTCCAAAGTAACCATTTTTCATATAACAAAAAAGGACTATGTGGACATTCTTAGACGCACACTTAAATAATAGTTACAGTAACCAACAATTTCAGAATTCGCTACTTTGGAAACATGTGCACATTCTCATATTCTTTCGTTTGGTGGCAATGGTCCGAATGGGAGCGATTCATTGATTGGCTGGCATTAAGTAATATTCATATTTATGTTTCAGATGATTATTTTTATTTGCAGATGGATTTAATACGATATTAATGCCGCTCGGCCAAGAGTACATTTGGCGGAATGTGTTCGTGAAACTCGGCGTTTCTCGCAAATCCTTAGACCGTTATTTCACTTCTCAGGCATATTTGGCATGGTTTGTTGAAGCTTGCCAAGTAATTCGTCGCGACAAAAATCGGGTTCAGGCACCGAATGGGCAATCTCAAAGGCTACGGCGGCGGATTATCCGACATGCAATTGATGAATGATTTGAATTTGGCGCAAAAGATTGTCGAAAGGATGCTCGAGTTGGGAATGGTGCCGATTCTTCCGACGTTTGCTGGATTCGTGCCAGATGAGATGGAAGCGTGAGCAGTCGACTTTTTAATTTCAAACCTTCCACACTTTCCGCTTTCAAGAATATATCCTTCTTCAAAATTCCACCGAATGCCGACATGGAATCGATTTGACGACGAGAATTCGGGACTTCTCGCGGTCGATCCAAAAGACCAACTTTTTGAACGAATTGGCATCGCATTTTTAGACGAGGTTTAAGAAATCGCTTCAAAAACATCATAATTGTATAATTTAAGCAAAAACGAATATTTGGAGACGTGAGCCATATTTATAGTGCAGATCCTTTCAATGAAATCACACCATCATCTTCACCGCAATTCGACGCCAAATATTTAGAAGCGACTGCACAAGCAATTCTGAATTCTTGCCTCAAAGTCGATAAGAGTTGCATATGGTATTCATATGACATCTTCAATTCAATTTTTAATTGATGTTGACATCTAGGCTTACCCAATCGTGGGCATTTTCATACGACAAATGGCCGAATTGGGCAATCAAGTCATTCCTGACGGCAATTCCTGTCGGCCGCCTTCTAGTCGTTGACTTGTACGCGGAAATGCTTCCCGGTTGGGCAACGACCTCGCAATTCTACGGTCACAATTTTATTTGGGGATTTCTGCACAATTTTGGGGGCTCTCGGGAACTTCGTGGCAACATTAAGGCAGCCAATAAGGTTCGATTTCATCAATTATTCCGTTTTGAAAAATCGCTTCGAATTTTAGGGATATCAATTGGCTTTGGAGAATACGAATATGATTGGAGCTGGTCTTACAATGGAAGCAATTGATCAAAATTATGTCATTTATCAGTTTATGATTGATCGAATGTGGTCTGCTGAGCTCATTCCGATTAATCAATGGTTTGAGCGCGCTCCGTTCTTTCTATCTCCTCGTAGTTATTAAGGATACATAGTTATGCCGAATCGCGATATTCTTCAAATCATCGAAGCGCTGAAAAGTTGTGGTCGATGCTTGAAAGAACCTTCTACAGCGAGCCCGCTCGTCCCGATGAGCCACGATTTGAAGTGTTCTTATACAGACGACCTGGATTTGGAAAGAAGCTGAATTATTGGTTCCCGATTGAATCAGTATTCTCTGTAATACAGCGATCGCTTTCTATTCTTACAGAGAATTTGTCTGATAATCCATTATTTATGTTTGCAAGCACATCTTTACTTAAACTTCAGATTTTCTTTCAGGGAAGATTGGAATGATCTGATGAGAAGCATTCTGCAGTATGAAATGGCTAATAACAACATTTTGGGGATTTACGAAGCATATCTTATGGAGGATAAGCCGCAAATAGGAGAGAGCTGCGATGGCCTTATGAGAAATTTTGAAAAGCTCGAGAGGATTTCCAACAACGATTTCAAATCTTGGAAAAGTAAGAATTACGCAATTTGCTGCATACTTTTCCAGTTTCCAGGGTTGGCTAGGAGTTTGGCGGCTACAGTCGAAGAGCGAAAAATTTTTACCATTTCTTCGGGCGAGCTTTTAACAACATGGGGTCCACGAGGTGAAAACCTTGATTATGCTCACAGGGAATGGTCAGGATTAATCAAAGATTACTACGCCAAGCGATGGGAATACTTTTGTGAATGGATATTGGAAAATGATCAATTTAATCACACTGAATTCAGCTTAAATATCTTCAAGTACGTAGAGAGGCCGTTTTCTTTCTCGTAAATAAATATTTTTTTGTTTTTTTGAACAGTTTGAAATCTTAACAATTTATCGCTTAACAATAACAACTTTTACTCGTGATCGCTTCCAGCATCATCTCCGTCATTAATGTGGAAGTATCTGATCTCGTAGGTGTTCTTGTTGATGGCGACAACACGGAGCCAGTCACGAAGAGAATTTCTCTTGAGGTACTTCTTGGTGAGGTACTTAAGGTATCTGAAATACACTTTTTATTGGAAATTCAATAAATAAATTCAACCTCTTGGAGAATGGAATCTCAGAGACGATCGAGATCTTGGTCTTGGCAACCTCAACCTTAACGTTGTTGGCAGCCAAGTGTCCGGTCTTTCCGTTAACCTTGATCTTCTCGTTCAAGAACGTTTCCTGAAAAACCAGGACTTATTAGGGGCCACAAATACCCTATGCCCGGTTTATGCGATAGAGACGGAACTCTATCGTCTTCGGGATATAGTAATAGCTCATGAACTTACGAAGTCTTCGATTCTGATAATTCCATCTTCGACAGGGTTCTTGCATTCAACATTGAATTTAAGGTGCACCTTCTTCTTGCGCAAGTTCCTCTTGGCGTTCTTTGGAGCAAGCTTGGCAACCATTGTACCCTAAAATTATAGAAAATAATTTCAATCACCAGAAATGAAACAACGATAATTTGAGAAACATATTTTCAGACTGAATTGAGTATTTTCGAAAAAAGAAGACGAGTAATGAAAATGTAATTAAGGAATTGTTTTGATAATACGAGAAAAAATTATCAAAAACACGAAAGAAACATGAAACCTTTAGGCATGTAGAAAAAATTTAGGAGGATTGCAGTGCAGTGCGAACTCTCATTGCGAAGACTACGGTCGCAGTTGTTTGGCTGTGTCGACTCTCCTCGATTCGCACGCTCTATCTTTTCGTGCCAATTTTTTAATAATTTTTGAGATTGCAGGCATTTTGAACCGTGTTTTTGTTTTTTTCTAGTCGAAATAGGTGTGGAAGGACTATTTTTTAAAATATAGCATCCCTATACGTATAAACATTTCAAGAAATTTTTGAATAATAGAAATAATATACAAACTTTCTGTTTTTTATAATACGTTCAATTTAATATTTATCAATTCAGTCGCTGAAAGAGACATGACCTTCTTTTTCCATGTTTATCAATAATATTTCTGTAAGAAAAAAAGTTCATTGCAATGCCAACTTTTTCGTCATTTGAAATAATCTATAAACTCTTGTTTTAAATGATTTATTATGTTTTGATTTCTCTCAAAATTAATGAATTCTACAAAGAATGAAATTCATCGGGATTTGTTGTCGACCATGTGAAAGAATACTGTGGAAAAGCAATATATAATGGAATTATAAACTAAATTATGCATATCATTTGGAAGTTCCTTTAGATGTCAAATTCTTATTCGATCCAAGAATTCCTTTCAATTTTCGTCCGAGCGTCAATCGATCAGGATTTCCAGAGCTTAAGCTGACGTCTCCACTAGAAAAAAGATGATTAATATTAAACTCAATTTATTGTAGCTAACCGAATATCATCAGAAGATTTTTGATCATCTTTCCTTGACATAAACTGTTTTCTAAGCCATTGCAAATCCATCGTATGTCGGCCAATGCTTCCACGGGAATGCTTCTTCTTTTTCTTGGAAACTTCTTCACGGGCTGTAAGCGGAATCTGCTCATACGGACTTATTGGCTTCTCGGTGTTGTTGTTCTTTTCGCCAGTAGCAATTTCAGAAAGCATCAGACCCGTCGGGTGAGGTATTCCTTTCATATTGTACCTAGCAGGTGAGATCGGTGGCGATTTCTTTTTAATAGTCAATGAAACAGTTTCAAATGCTTCACATTCAGCGATAGCCTCGCACTGAAATTTCATAATAACTGGAAGCTTCGGAAAATTAGAAAACCTCTGCTCTACGGACCCTTCCAAAGTTTTCAAAGTTGACACAACTTGTGGTTTCAGCTCCAAACTCAAAATGCTCCTCTTTATGAGACACTTTCTCCGGAGTACTTTCACCTGACAATCGCTTAGAAGGAGTATCTTAAACATAACATTTTTGAAATCAAAACAATCAATCTAGTGTTCACCTTGCTGATTCTGTCGTCCAACTTCATACGCAACAACCGAAGCATGATCGAGTTTTCCAGGCATCTCCGCGATTTTCTCTCGAACCATTTTTCTTCGTTGCTTCTGCTCAGTTCTCGTCATTTTCTCTTTCTTGTACAATTCCGGATTTTCGAGAACACGTCGTTTTGCCCTAAAACGAAATCATTTTATCATTGCGAAGGAAAATAAGTTTCTCGTACTGGCTAAGTTGTGTGGCAAATTGAATAAGTCTTTGGCACAAAAGGGAGGCAGTCACATCAGGACTGCGTATTGGCAGTGTCGGCGTCTGATTCTGGAATTAAGCAGCTTATCATGATTTTCATGAAGTTGGATTTACCGCTGGAGTCAATCCGTTTGAAATAATATCCCTCATTCTAAGAAGCATAAGAGAATGTCGTCCAGCGGCATCTACACAAGGCAAAGATGCGGCACAAGTGCGATTTTTGGCAAATTCGCGATTTTTCGAATCATTTGTTGATCTGAAATATTCCATCGTGTCTGGCTTGGTTAATTTTCCAGCTTACATGTCTAATGCACGATTCTGTCGCGGCGGAAGGTGACTATTCTCTTTGTTTTCACTCTCCGATTTTTTAATCACGCAGAATTTTCCAACAACCGGATCAAAGTTGTCGGAAACGCCATCGGAAGTGATAAAGACAATGTCACCCGCCTCGACAAAGGTCATGCTACACGTGAGATTATGCAATTGCGGATTTCTTCCGTCTACTGGGCCGAGAGCTCCACCAGCGTCGCGCATATCCCGCATCTATAAAATTGTCGAATCAACATTCGATCAAATATGCTTAAAATAGAAATGGAAATTTGCATATAAATTGCATGTTAATAAAATGACAAATACTTTGGACTAATTAAACTGATCTAAATATATCTTCAAATAGAGTAAGACCATTTCAAAAAAAGGTACCTGGTCAATGTCGTGACTTCCAAGCGTGACCTCTCGTACTCCATAATTTTTGTTGTACACGAAACAAAGCGAGTCTCCGACGTTGCACACGCAGAGCACCCAACTATAATTGAAAATTCACTGAATAATTCGTGGCGAAACTCGCAAACCCGTTGCCGCATTTCATCGGCGCCACTAAAGCGAGACACAATGTGGTGAGCATTCCACCTTCTTGTAAAATTAGCGAATGCGCCGAATGGAAAGCGGCGAGCATTTCATGGAAAACTTCCTGGAATTTTTTTGAAACCACTCTTTCTTTGAAATTCCGACTTAGACGACATACCGTTGAATTGCTCATGGAATTATTGATGACTTGACCATTCATATGATCAATGGCTCCTCGAATAGCACATCGAGCAGCAAGACGTGCACCTTCACCCCAATTCACACCGTCAGCTAGAGCGAGAATCTAAAAGTCAGACAGGATTATCCGAGCAACATCGACTGGTTTTTACCCCATTATTATTACGACCTACAACTCCCCACACATCAGCAATCGGATCTCCAGCATTAACTCCAGTCAAAGGATTCTTCTCATACAGCGAAACACTGATTCCAAATGCAGCATTCGAGTCTTGTGCTGTCCAGTCATAATCATCTGCAGATGGTTTTCCAACTCGTTCCTGTTCCCCGTTCGGTCCCAAAAGTGATGAGCACGAACCAAGAAGCAACGAGTTCCTCGAACTCTTTTTCAGATTGGCTGAGAGTGGAGCATCAAGATCCTCATCCTCCTCGTCTTCATCATCTGTTGAACCGCCAATTGACAGAGACATTTCATCATCAATATTCGCCATTTGGATCATTTGTTGAGCTCGAACTTCGCCAACTTCTGTGAGACCACCATCGGGTCCAGTGTAAGAAGCAAAAACATCACATTCTAATGATTCCAATGGAATGCTTGGAAGATCTAGACCCGTTTTGCCGAAGTAGACCTAAAGATGTTTAAATTAAAATAAAATAAATAACACGAAAAAAATTAAAATGTATATATTTTTTGATTATTTCCGGTCATATATGTATGGTTTGTTTAAATTAAAAAGGAACTGAAAGGGTTTAACGCTTGTCAGTATCAAAAAAAAGGTTGCAAAAGAGTTAGAAACTGGTTTTGTGAAAACAGGAAACCACATTGTATGATTTTCAACTAATACAATCTTTGGTAAAAACTGTTCGAAATGGCGAAAACTGTTCAAAACAGCAAATTTCTAAAATAATCGCTTTTAAAATTTTTAGAAAAATATGCTTGACCTAGCCTATAGAAGGAATATTTAAATTTAAATAATTTTTATTTGCTGTGAACTCCGTCGTCACCGTGGTTACACAGACTATTATCTACAGTAATTGAATCTCAATAATAGGCCAAAGCAATTCTTTTGCTTAATGAACAAACTATTTTTTCGGACTTCCAATCCGTCGATTTATCAGTAAAACGGCGGCAAAAAAAGATGCGAACCTCCGGAAAATCCTCTTTCCTAAGCGCGATCCCGTTGAGAAAACAGTTGGCTAGAAATTCGTTGTTCTCGTCGCCACGCGGTGTCGTTGCCTCGTCGGAGTCCTTCAATCAAAAACATTTAGTGGTCGCCACTAAATCATTTTTACGCGCTCGCGGTCGTGCGCGCAGATGCGATTCATCAATTTATCTCTCAGTTTATCAAAACTTAATTGGATGGAATCGATCACAAGACCACCTACGACCGATAGGATAAATACCACAAACCTCAGCTGCCTGATTTTCATGGTCCAGGCTCGTCGATGGTCCGAATTTGCTGCGCAATAAGCCTCGGACATGTTTTCGAATGAACGAGGATGGCATGGTTTTGATCAATTACCTATAAAAGACGACGTTGAAACATCAAAATGATAAAATCAAAAGATAGAGAAATTGTAGCAATTAATAGGCGAACTGTATTCGAAGTGACACTTCAATTTCGTCGACCCGCACTTGATTTAATGAAGCATTGATGATGATGATGAACCAGAATTATGTTATGCGGTCGAATGAAACAAAAATTGGTATCGAATTAATCCGCTAGTGAACACAAGCGAGTTCAGTTCAAAAAAAAAACACCGCGTATTGAAGAGGGTGAACTTGTTTCGCGCGCGAAATTCGAATTTCTGTGGTCTCAAGTGATGAACAGATGGTTTTTGTTTTGCAATTTTTCAAGAGTATATGAAAGAGTGGGCAGATGGGAATGGGCGGTGTCGAGACATTTCCGGAGCTTACCAAAAAAAATGAAATATGAGTCATAGCAAATATGATTTGGTTTTTTGTTTATATTGTTCCAAAAATCGTTTTTTTTTCCTGAGAATCGCAAGGGGAATTAAAGATTCTTATCGGTTTTCAAAAAATTGTCTGCGCGTTCCATCGAGTTCAAAAAAAAAGAAAGCCGAAAGTGGTTCTCGAGAACTGTTTCTCTGTAGGCATACAAGTGCGGTCAATAGTAATAACAAAGACAATAATTTGAGAGCGGCAATGGAAATTTGAAAATGTCGCTCGTCGATTCGCCTATAATTGAATAATAGACGTGAGTGGGGGCGGGGTTTTCATAGAGGCGAAGCGAGTCATATTTTTTTTATAATCGTTGTCGTTGTCCTCCTCATACTACATAGAGAAGAGCACATAATTGACATGACTACTCAATTTTCTTGCGTACACGTATTAGTCGTTGTCATTTGATATTCGCAAAGGGCAACAGGAGTCTTGGCTTGGTTGGCGTGGTGTGTAATTGAATAAGTGTGTGTGTGTGTTTTTTTTTGGTCGGTGTCATCGTTCAAAAGAAATGATAGCGGTAATCATCAAAGGAAAATCATTTGAGAAAAATCGTATCTTTTATGGCGCGAAATAGATCAAGGAAAAATCGACATCGACGGATTAGCATGACTATAGAAGCGTCTCGTCCCGTGTTTGGTTAGGCGTCGACTATTTTTATATTCATTCACAATTTGTGTATGTGCAATGTTTGACCGTATCAAATGTTGGTTGGAACGGGAAGGACAAAAGTGCGAACAAAGCTCAAAACAGATAGTCGAGGCAACACATGGCCGGCTGAGAGAGAGAGAGAGGCATTTTTTGTTGCGGCCACGCCGGCTGACCGTTTGAGATAGCGGAGTACAAAAGGCAGAAAAAAAGCAAAGGAATAGACGGCAAAAGTGGTGGTGGCGGTGGATGGTGGAGGGTGCAGATGACCACAAAAAAACTATAAAAAAGATGCGAGGAATAGGAAAGGAGTGAGTAGTGTATGGGTGTGTGTGTGTGTGTGAGCGGACGCGCCTCACTCCGCGCGCGCACATATACATAGATGTACATACACCGACGAAATACGCGCTTGAAGCACACGCATGATAAAAAATGAATGGCAACTATTTTTGAATGAATTGCTTCTTAAATATGATTGTACTTTGTTATACGTTGCTTATAGCTTTTCATATATATGCGTTGTGATGCGCGAACAGCGTTTATTAGTTGAAGACCAACGAAAACCGGTCGTCGATTGAAAAGCTCACAATCGGAATTAATTGCGCTGAAAGTCTTAAATCTTTTGTAAACCTTAAAATTTGAAACGTTTTATCTCTATGATGATTCGCGACAACATTAAATTATCCATCATCGGGCAATTTCAATTCGCAAATCAAGTTGTATTATCAAATTTTTGATATCCTACATATGCGGACATATTTTTGATATGCCCACAGATGTTCTATTCAATATACATCAATTCTCAGGTGTTTATTTTGCTGTTGAACCAGAAGAATTAGCAGCTGTGGGCAATAGGGATCAATATTTCGTTATAAATAAATGAAATTAGTTTTTGGTCATGAAATAAATCCGCGAAGAATCACGAGAAAAATAATACATTTCTATTATTATTTTTTAAATCATGGGCGAGACATTTTTTGTCATTTTTGAAAAATAATTTGAAGAGAAAACAAACGAGATTGCGACTATATAGTAAAAGGCAAAAGAGAATACTGTTGTCGTATTCCAGTCGGTCACTGAATTCTGGAATTCTGGAATTCTGGAATTTCATAAACAAAAAATTGTCGTTCCAAAAAAAAGAAGAGAGAAGAACACGAATCGAATCGGCAAAACAATTATATTTCTTCTTCTTCGTCTTATAATCGACGATTTAAGTATAGTAAATTTTATATACAGCGATCCAAAAAAAGAAAATTGCCGGCTTATATGTTCTTCCTGTTTATGTTTATAAAATCTAGTGGTCCCATTGAGTGGGACCAACAAAAGAATTGTTTACAGGATGCTCACAATTGATATTTTCTTTGGGAATGCATATTTGAAATAAGTAAAAAATGTCCGCAGATGAAATATTTTAATTGAAAATATTATTTCATGCTTAGTTTATATGTTCAATTGTATTTTTAAAAATTGAAATCTTTATAATTTTTGACAAAAATAAACATCTTAAAAAATGAACCAGAATTTCACGGATTGACTGGTTTTTGAAGCAATTAAGCGTAAAATTGAGGGGAGCAACTAGAAAGGAAAAGCGTCGTTAGAATAGTATTTTTTTGGGAATCTCTCTTCAAATTTCAATCTTGTATAGATGCCGAAATGAATAAACATGCCGAGAAATCACTTAATAACAACATCAATTTCACTTATGTCACGAGACTACAAATAATTGGAGAATCAGAGAGAAACGCCATGTGCACTACTCAACATGATTGAGTGTTCGTAGTGGCGGTTCAGTGCAAGGATTATGAATGAATTAAACACTCTCGGTTGTGAATCTTCTTCGCCACTTCCATATAAACATTTTATGCGAAAAACGAAAGGCAAGGAAATGGGAAAGAAACGAATGAGGAGCAGAAGGAAGAAGCAGCAAAACCAATTACCCTTCGCTGAACGCTTTTGTCGGCCGTTGGCTGGATCGACGGAAGTCCACATTAGCTTCGCGTTTTCCTGCTCCAATTGTTTTTTTTTCTATTAGGAGCTGCGCGGAGCTCGTTTCTACAAAACCGGCAAAGATGGGAGGATATATGTGGAGTGCGGAGCTCGGCGGCCAGGTGGTCGTGCATTAATTACATGGCCAGGTTGTGGCCGCCGAGTGCGTTCATCACGCGGACGAATAAATCATTGCGAGTGCAGAAGCTTCTCCACAGCCCAAAAAAAAATGTGTGTAGTCGGCTAATAATACAATTTTTCTCTTGGCTACAATTCATGAATAATTCTATCAAATGGCCTCCCAAATTTTGCTTGTTTACACAACTGTGGGGGGTCAAAAGTTGTACAATCATTCTACTCTCCCTTTTTTTTTGAATTGAGCATTGAAAATGGGCCAGCGAGAGCAATTGCCAACAAAAAAAAAGTTTTTTTTAACAAGAAGGGAAGAGAGTCGAAACATCTCAAAGAACAAATTGAATCTCGAGAATTGCAATTTGGAAATTTTATAAAGTGACACTCGTTTCGATCAAAAATTCGAGACTCTCAGAATATTTGAAAAGAATCGAAGTGGAAACTAGTACGAGTGTCGAATTTGACCGCCCGCGGACTCCTCTATTATTTTCGATGATTCTCGCGGACCTTCTTTTGCATATTCCTTTATATGAATAGAAGAAGACGAAGACGAAGTCAAGTCGCTCAATCATCTTTCATAATGCCGCAATGGGGCCACTTGTTCGAGGGCGATTGAGATGCAAATTCGGCAAGGCCGTCGGGATTCGATCACCGTGCCGTGAGACCAATTGAAAAACGTGTGAAGTGAAATTAACAGCAACTACGGGATAGGCCGAAAAAATGTGACCGGCACATTTTTTTTGCTCCTTCATAAATACACATAATGAGTGCCGAAAAGCCTCCGAGTTGGCCAAACTATTTCGGCGAGCTGTCGCCAGTCAGGCTTGACCGCCGCTCGGACAGGTGGCAGTCGCTTTTTATTTGACGCGCGGCAACATTTCGCCTCGCTTTTGTTCTTCTTCCGCCCGTTTCAAGGTTTCCATGACACATAATTGACATTGTGTTTGACCGGAAATTGTATAATTATAATTCGGATTCGGCCATTTCCGGTATTGAAACTCTACAAAATCGAATTGTTCACACCGGAAGGGATCAAATTGGGAGCATTTCTGCCGAATGAAAATACAAAAATGATACGTTTGCGCCTACCGAGTATACTGTGTTTGCCTATAAAATTCCAATTCTCCATATTTTATGACCCATATGCTATGGGGCGTTTTTGCCCTTTTCGGCGAATATCATATATGCAATGGAATCGGAATTGAGTATTCCTTTTTTCAAAGGAATTGAAGTATGAGCATCGATAAAAACCAATATAAATGTGTGATCTATGGGAGGATCACTGATAATTGCGTACCGGTCCCGTTATAGTCATAAATTAATGCTAATGGAACTATAAAGAATTAAAAAAAAAACCTTGAAAACTCTCAACAATCGATACAGATATTGCCAATTTTTAGAGTTTCTTTTCAAAACCGCATAGACATCTTTGATATCACATAGATGAAAAAGACGAAGAGGGGGGGGAGGGGGGTATAATTTAAGAAAGATTATACAAATTGCTAATCAGATATGAAATCCAAAATGTTTGCATTTGTGAGAAAACGAAAAATTTCGGGTAATAGAAAAAATGATTTCAAGATGCCATTTAAACTCGATGCATCATTTCAAATTCTTATGTCATTACTATTAGGTCCAATAATAGTGTGGAACTCGATAAAAACTTTTTTTTAATTAAATAAAATTGAAATGAGATGAGGGTTTTTTGAATTTATTCTGTGACGTTTGCGTCACGGTGTTTTCACACATTTTCGCGCGCTACCATTTTTTTTAAATATTTTATGATATTTTTAAGCCACGATTGTTTAAAAAAAACAAGCTATTTTGGCGGCAATTCAAACACCTTTCTCATTTCTTGGAAATTTTCGAGTTTAGTTGATATATTTAAGATTAGCAAATAAATTTATTTGAAACGCGACAATCGACCGAAATCCAATTTGCTGTTAAATTTTCGCGAGAAAGTTGTAATATGATGAAGAAAACATGCGGGTATATAAAATAATGGTGGGAAACAAAGAATCCATGCTACTCCCATCAGTATCCGTTTTATTACTTTTCCCGATCATACCAATGTCGACTATAGTCAATATTTTCAGCTAGCAATCTAGAAAACAGGATTTCTTGAAAAAATGTAATAAATTGAGGGATGGGAGCTGTATACTTGATTTATACCTAAATATGCGGAGAATGAGCATTTGAATGTTTTTTGAAATCCCGCGAGGACATCAAAAAGTTTGGTTTTTAAACGCGTCCAGGGACAAGATAAGAAGAGAGGGTATTTAGATTTTTGGCAGTTGTCTCAAAGTTTTGGATTATTCGCCAAACATTGAAAATCTGAGAATTGTGGGCGTTTTATACATTCAACCAAAATCTAGATTCGTACTAAATAATTCTAGGTTTGACCAACGCCGGCTCAAATTATATGTACAGTGGGTTGAAACGAATACCCTCATCAACGAAAACCTAATTAAAGTGTGAATTCGACGAACCGAATTGGTGAGTTAATCGGTTTTATAATGAGATATCGGCGAGGGAATAGAAATGTAATAAAGTTTTTAATATAAAACACCGAAGAAATGAAATCGAGGTTGTATTGATTGCAAACAATTGTAATTTGATTTCAAACTACGCCGCCAACACAATAAAATCCATTTTTGGGCAGCGAAGTGTCTTCAAGCGTCTGCATTGTGTCGACTGCTGCACTAACTATGTAGTATATACATACATATATGTGAATGTGAGTAGTAGAGAAAAACGACTTGCGCGGTGCAATATTTTTTTGGGAATTAGGAAGACAAAGAGTGAACTGCTCTTTGCAACTAGCTGAACACCAGATGAACGACGTGATTTATGAGGGTTTTCGAGTCGTTAGTGCTCCGATGAGCACCTCATAATGCACGATCTTTAACGGCTTCGTCTAAATAACAGAGTGCATTTTAAACAATTGCATCGCTGAGCGAATTTCCGCGTCGTCTTGGGGGGCTCTAATTACATTGTCTTTTTTTGGTTTTTGTGAAACAAATTTCAAACAAAAGGGATTTATGAGAGCATCACGGAACATTTACCGAATCAATCACCATGTAACTTGGAATTTTGTATCGGTCGATCGGAGTGGCCCGACATGCACAGATCGGTAAAATTTTTGTTCTTTTTTTGGAGAAATATGTTAGATTTTTTCGCAAAAATTTCAGTCTCACAAAATTCCGAAGCGGCGACCGTAAATACTTCTAATGTGAAATTTTTAAAAACCACTTTATTCACTTTTAATATAATGGAAAAATAAAGAGAATTTTATATTTTAGGAGAATACTTAATTTAAGGGTTTTGATTCTTTTAGACAATTTTCGAGATCTTTTTTGTCAAAGCTTGGTTTAAAGACCAGGGTCCTATAGGACCCTTTTGAGGTGGTTTTTGAAAATGGCCGTTCCACTGTGGCCGATAATAGCATGATTTCCTCGGCCATCAAATATTTTGTGGCTATTCGTACATTAGGTAATCGCGTCATTTTCAGACAACGTGCTTTGTTATCTATCTTCAACTATAAACGATGTTATCAAATTCAGTATAAGAATATCGAACAGTTTTTAAATTTTATGAAAAAATTACTAAATTTATGTGTATTGTTGAAAAACGATTTATTTATTACTATGTATTTCATAATTTTTGCGTGTTTTGACAAGCTATTTCGAATTTTTTTCCATCACTTATTTCAAGCGCTGAATAGAATTATTTTAGTATGGATCCAGAATTACTTCGACAAAAAGCGGATTTTCAAAAGCATGCGACTCGAACCGTTTCAGTTCAAAAACGACCCCAGGTAAATATCATTAAGTAATGAAATTTCCCAATAAATTTGTTTCAGCCATCGTCTTCCGGTCCATCTCACACTACTTATAGTTCGGAAGTTGCAAAAGCAAAAAAGAAAAAAGCCGGAGGATCAGCACATCAAAATTTATCAAAAAGTGTTGTATGAAATAAGCGCAAAAATAAAATGAGAATTCAGTTCCCGAATTCGACAATTATGCTGGAGCATCAACAATATCAAATGCAACCAATTTCAGTACAATGGCGAAGATTGTTGATTATATGAAAAAACGCCATTTGAATACTCAAAATTGGCCATTGACGCTGCAGGAAATCCTTGACGAGCTGCAGCTCTATGACCTACCAAAAAGAAGTGAAGCGTTCTTGAGAGAAGTAAGAGTTCCCGTCGAGACCAACGTTTCGATTTCAATTTTTCAGGCACTTCCTAAAAATCCTCGTCTAATTTGCCACGAAGATGGCAAATTTGCGTTCCGCCCACCATATAAAATTAAAGGAAAAAATTCGCTGGTATCAAATTTTATGTCAATTCCTTTCTTATATTAGAGATTTATTTTAGGTCGAAGTTGCCAAAAAGCATCATCAAGACGCGAAGGGTGGAATCCTTGTTTCGGATTTAGCGGAATGTGTGGCAAACGGCGATGCGCTTCTTCAAGCAGTCGCTGATAAAATCATCGTCGTGACGACGCAAGTTAATAAAAAGAAAGATCGTGTATTCTTTTACAATGATCCAAACATGACATTTGAGATCGAAGATGGTCGATTAATACTAAACATTTAAAAATAATAATTTACTTCATTTCAGATTTCAAAGCTTTATGGAGGAATGTGTCGGTAGATCATCTTGATGAAAAGAAGATTGAAGAGTATCTGCACAAGAAGGGATTGGATGCAATGAAGGTAAGTATTGAAGTTTTCGGTTATGTAAAGTCTTGAAGCACACTTTCTGTATATCTACATAGTTTTCTTGAAATTTAACAATAATATATTGTCAAAGCGGACGAATTAAACAATTTGAAGGATCAAAAACTTTAAGAATTGTTGATCTTAACACGCAATGAACAGATTTTTGTGTTCGCTCCTTCGCTATCGATTGTAGTTTCATGCTATATCAAATTTATGATTATTGACAAATTCGCACAATTGCGGAAAGTTGGCTAAATTCCAAAAAATTAGAAGAGAGGCCTTAGTGCGTGGGCATATACTTTGCCCCTTAAATTTGCTCGTTCTCAAAAATATGATATATTTTTTACAGGATTTGACGCCCAAAATCCGTGGTCCAGTTCCAATCAAACGGAAGCAGGCAAAACGACGCGGAAATGTCAAAGTGCACAACGAACATTTGGACGGTGTTCTCGAAGACTACGAGTAATCAAAACGTGAGAAATAATCTTGATGGACTCTCAATCAAGAAACAATTTCAATTTGTTCTTTGCTTTCAACTATCATCATTTGAACTGTGATCGTTGACAGAACACTTCATATTCTCTTCTTTTCTGATTTCTCTCGCTGTTGTTTCATTGTACCTTTAGTTTTTTATATGTACAAACGGTTAAATTTTTCGTAATTTTAATAAAAATTGCTTAATAATATTGGATTTTTTGGTGATGTTTATTTATGTCTTGATGCTCAAGATTTATCATATTTCCATTTTTTTTTTGTTTTAAATGTGTAGTATATTTTTCCAATTTTTTGGATGATTCGTGCCGCTCAACGGCTCACACTGTTATCTTCGAGATCGGCTACTACCCTTCAAAGGGATCCGAGATTCGCGAAACTTGAGGAAACTGATATCAAGGTAAAAATTGTTGCTATTTTTCGAAAGTGTGAAGACCATAGGATTTCAACCGTCTGGTGGAACCTTCAATCTCAAATTAGTGTGGATTTCCGACATTGAATAAACATTTAGTCGTTTGAATTCAACAATAAGTGAATAATCGAAAACGTGGCAATTGAGATATTTTAAGAAATCAAACAAATATGAAAAAGCACGTGTTGAAAATATTCCATTTTTAAAAGAACTTGAAAATTTAGGCATTTGAATCATGCCTTGGCAAGGATTCTGTTCTTACTTCTGATATCGAAACGTACACGTCAGATTGGACAAAACAATTTGGCGGTTATTTTGTCCATATTCGATTTTCTTCGATAACTAGAAATTTTTCAGGTAAAGGAAGCATAGTTTTGCTGCCTCGAAGTACAGAGGAGGTCTCAAAAATTTTAAAATATTGCTCGCAGAGGAAGTTAGCCGTTGTTCCGCAGGTTTTTGCCATTATTCTCAATTTTTGCACTTCTCGAGTTTAGTCGGGAAACACTGGTCTTGTGGGAGGATCGGTGCCAATTTTTGATGAGATTGTTGTGTCCATCAATCGAATTAATCAGCAATACGAGTTTGATGCGACTTCTGGAGTATTGAAGTGTGATGCGGGGCACATTCTGCAAGAGCTCGATGAAAGATTGGCACCGACTGGGTATTCTGAATAGAAAATAAAGAGAATCAATATTTGTTTTTTTGAAGACATATGATGCCTTTTGACCTCGGAGCAAAAGGAAGCTGCCGAATCGGAGGAAATATTGCGACATGTGCTGGTGGAATCAGACTGTTGAGATATGGAAGCTTGCATGCTCATCTTCTAGGTCTCACAGCGGTATTTTAAAGCTGAAAATTCTTGAATTTCTTTTGTTTTCAAGGTTCTTCCTGACGAGAATGGAACTATTTTGAACCTTGGTTCAGCAATTCGCAAGGATAATACATCATTCCATTCGCCGCATCTTTTTTTGGGAAGTGAAGGAAAACTCGGAATTGTCACCAATGTTACGATGACTGTTGCGTCAAAGCCATTGAGTGTTCAAACTGCGATGTTGGGAATTGAAAGCTTCGAAAATTGCAAGAAGACGTTACTATTGGCAAAATCGCGATTATCCGAAATCCTTTCGTCGTTCGAATTCATGGATGAAGCAACAATTGAGTGTCTCGAAGAGAATAGCCAACTGAAGCGCGTACTCGAATCAAAAACGCCATTCACAATTCTAATTGAGACGTCGGGATCGAACGAGGATCATGATCAGGAGAAAGTCAGCAAATTTTTGGAAGAATGCATGGAAACCGGACTTGTTGTTGATGGCTCGGTGGTAAATGTTATAAACTTAATATAGGGGATATTTTATTGGATATAGGCTGGATCGGCGGGCGAAGCAGCTCATATGTGGAGTTTGCGCGAGCATGCTCCAGTTGCAGTGATGAGAGATGGATACGTGTTCAAACATGACGTTTCCCTTCCATTTGATAACTTCTACAAATTGACAGAGGTATGAGTTGGCGAAAACCAATCAATGTTATTTTTTAACTATCAATTTGTAGGAAATGACAAAACAGTGCGCGGGATTGGCTAAACGGGTTATTTCGTATGGCCATCTTGGCGATGGAAACATTCATTTGAATATCTCTGCTGAAAAATCAACGCCTGAATTATACGCCAAGTATTTCCCGTCTTATACCAAATTTTTAATATTTTTTCTCGAAAATTTTAGAATGTATCCATATGTTTACGAATGGGTCACCAAACACGGTGGATCGATTTCTGCAGAACACGGAATCGGACTCGTCAAGCTTCCATATTCCCATTTCGGCAAACAACCGGAAGAGCGCGAATTGATGAGAAGACTCAAGGATTTGTTCGATCCAAATGGCATTATGAACCCATACAAGTTCATCTAATGTATAATTGTAATTAATAATGATTTCGGTTCTGCTGAATAAATAATGACCCCATCGGATAGATACGAATTTAGTCGATATTTGCACAACTGGAATCATCCATTTTCGTAACATTCACAGGTCATTATCGTTTTCAAGCACACGTCATGCTAGCCGCTTCTGTCATACTGTATTCAATGCTTTTGGGCACTGTAAGTGCGTCGTCTCATCCGAAGACAGAAGAACTGATGACAAAATATATTGATTTGTCCCTAAATCTAACGAATCTGTTTAAAGGGACATCTCTTGATGAAGCATCGCTCCATGAGGTAAATAGGTTTTACTCAAGTTTTCCATATATATGTGAATTTCAGCTTTCGAAGAGAGTTGTATCGAATGACTATAGCGAAGATAAAGTGCAGCAGGTTTATGACAAATATTTGGAGTCATTGAATGAGCAACAGAAAAAGGAATTCAAGGAGCTCTTCTATGATCAGCAGTAAGCACTTTCGAAATTCCAAAGCTTCTTGAAATGACGCGAATTCGTATTCATGTTCCTTTTGGATACAATTGCTCGTTATTCTTTTCAACATCAAATTCCCATCGTTAATCGTGTGCATTTATGAATCAAAGTGTCCAATTTGGGGCTCCTTTTCGCTCACACAAGTCCCAATTAGCAGTGAACGCGAATGCGACTCACGCTTGACCTCTCGGTGAGCCTACGAGAAAAGTGAACGCACACTGAGCGCGGGTCGCCAGTGGTTTCTATTTTTCACGCGGCCTTTCGCCGAATATGGATTAATTTATAGGGGTCCATGTCTGTGCGTGTGCGTTCGGCGTAAACAAGTGCAGATGCCTAATTACGCGCAAAAATCGATTTTTCCCGAATATTCGAAAAGGAAATTTGCACGTATTATACAAAAGACTCAATGAAGTCGAAAAATATTGGGAGGAAACTTGTAAAAAATATATAAATCTCTAACAATTCACCGACGTCGACCATTTCCCTTTTCTTGATTACGCTATTTGGGAATTCTCCTTTGTTTAAGTCTAGATAAGCCGGAGACGGCTTATTTGGGGGCACACTGTGTCGAATAAGCCCGTTTTTTCGTTCATAATATGTTTTGGTCGATCTATTCCCATTAAATTCTACCGCTATAGCCGCTCTAGTGTGTCAGCTGCCCATTTCATAATCGATTTTCGCCACCCCAGCTCCCCATCTGCGCATAATGCGACATTGATCTGAGATAATGAATGTGCACCACCGGCCATCATGGATGTTTGCCCGGTGATATGGCCCTTACATGCCTATCACCGATGGTAAATACCCACGAGGGCCAGTTTCGGCCGAAGAATAGTAGATGGTCGATGGGTAGGCGTTCGGGCCACCACAGATGTATTCCCGGTGATAGACGCTGGAATATTGCGTATCACCAAAAGAAACACCTGATGTGGCCCTTAGCCCGTGTGCCGTTCCCGTTCAGGATCAGGCCATCATGGATTTTTACCCGGTGATACAGCTGGTCTTGCTTATCACCGCGGCGAAAACCCGCGATGGCCCGATCCGATGGGTTTCGCGAATTCAGGCCACTGTGGATTTTCTCCCGGTGATATCTACAAATGGTATCACCACGACAGAAAACCCACAATGGCCCGAATCGCACCGGCAGTCGAATATAGGGAGGTTGGGAGTGAGTGAAGCAAGCGGCGTCGACGGCCTGGTGCCGTGCCGAATGACGAGTCGAGTTAGATGGTACCACGACGACGCGCGTCGTAGAGTGAAGAGGCGCAAAGAATCAGAGAAATGTGACGCGCATCGAGATAGGGACGGGCGTTGGCGGAGGGTGCGTCTCGTCCGGCAATTGCGCGGGGCTCAGGTCGACTCCCGCGATGACGAATATGAGGACGGTAACGTCGAGAAGAACGGTGAACACGTAGAAGAACGACAAATCGGCAATGACCGACATTGTGTGCGGGACCAGCGAGACCGCCGTATTTATAGCGGGTCGCCGAGTGGTGCGCAATACCACGCCCACCATCGTCGATGTGTCACGCCTACTAGATTTTGGCGAGCAATCAAGATGACCTTATGTTCGCCGAGAGAACATCTGGAATCATTCGGCCATCTAAATGGAAAGTGCATATCGCCGTAGGACCTTCAGCTGGAATACTTGTGTATTACGTGCTGTTTGATAAAATAGATATTGACGAATACAAAAAATGTAGGCAATACTTTAAAAATAGGTAGAAAGATACAAATTTAATGATGTTTAATGTGACGGGTCGAAAGCACGACATTGGTACAGAAAAACGGATCGAGTAACTTATCACGAATCAGAAAATGCAAAGTGTTTGTATAAACTAATCACAAAGAGACCAAGATAATGATGTTAGTATAAACGTTTCTAGAAGAAATTTCGAATTTAAACAACTCTGGTAACGCAAAACCAATCGGATCCGAAAAATTACAAATCGGATCCGACAAAATTCGGCTCCGGAATCAACCCGGTCTGATTGGTAATTTATCGGATAAGATTTGTATTTTTCGGATCCGATTTGAAATTTGTCGCATCCGAGTGGAAAATTTTTCTAATTCGGATCCGATTGGTATTGAGTTACCAGAGAATTGAATGTCATTATGTGCTCAAGAATGAAACGAGTAGGCTTTTAATGAATTTTCCAAGCAAATTTTCTGTTCTTTTTTATTATTCAGTATTTTTTCGACTAATTTTGTCGATTCTTATCTAATTTTTATATAAAGTATCCTTATAATGATTTTAAGACCCCGTATATTAAAATCTCAAAAAAATAACCGGCAAAAATTTACCGCTAAAGAAATACGATGACCCACAATTATTCAAGGTACTCGTTTTTTTCAATAAAATAGTTAACAATTTCAATCTTGCTGAATTGAAATTCAACAAATCAATCTTAATTTCAGAAAATGGGACTACTATTCGAAGAAGATCCATCGTGTGCTCGGATTCTATCTCACCAAGCATCAAATATCCAGGGTAATCATTCATCGTTATATATTTTTTTAAACCAAATCTCGGAAAATGCAATCTTATTATGGCGCAATCTTATTTCTTAGTTGGTGGATGACCTAGTGAGACGCAGCTGTTGTCTCCCATTGAGAGCCAAACCACAACGTCTGTTTAATATATGCTCGGTGACCTTGATTGTAAGATTTCCTCTTGCCGTCGATGACCTAGTGATTTGCATAAGAGGGGAACGAGAGTGACGTCGCGTCGGGAACCGCTGTGATGAATTGTCTTATCTGGTGACCCGACGCGAACGGTCGCAAAGTATACCGACAGATTGATATATACTATATATATAAACCTTATATATATATATATATATATATATATATATATATATATATATATATATATATATATATATATATACATTTTCAGCTACGCAATGTCATTGAGGAGAATGTAAAGTTGGGTGCGTCTAGGGCGCACATCATCAAAGGAATGGTGGATGAATTGACGAAGGATATAGGATTGAAAAAGGCGGTGAAGGCGATTGAAGCGACGAGTAAGGATCTCAAGATATTTGAGAAAATGAATCCTGGATTGGTTGACAAATATGAACAAATGTTTACAGTTTTAATTAAGCATGACGAGTTGTAAGCATTAATTGAGCAAAATATGAATTATTGTGGTACAAATGAATAGTTTATTCATAATTTCAATTAACTTTTTGATTATGTTAAACTATTATTGTTCAATATTAATTATTAAATCACATTTTAGTTATTAAAACAATAAATTATGCGAAATATCGGCCAATTGATGAACATTTTTTGGAAAATATTTTTTTAATGTAATGCGTCCCACAGTAGCATTTCTTTCTGAAAGAATTTCTGAATTGTGAATGCGCCTTTAAACACTGTATTTAATTTTTTGTTTTTTTTTCTAAATTTTGTAGACTTACCCCCAACATTTTATGCTTCACTTTGATTCGCAGTGTCATTAGTTATTTTCGGATAAGACTATTAAAATATTTTTAAAAAGAAAGGAAATAACAACATTCGCCTTTAATTCAAAATTTTCGAAATATTCAAAACGTTTCAGGAGTGTTTCGCATTCTGCGTCTCTCATTAGCCTAGCTCACCGCACCAATAAGCAATTTTATAATACGCTTCTTCGCTTAAAAACTCACTATTTGCAAAAAAATTTATTCAAGCTTTATGTAATTTTGAGAGCTTATTCAACGGAAAAATAGATTTTCAGAAAATCGATTTAAGGTTTCGTTTTTTTCTTTACGTTTTGAATAATATCTTGTGACATAATTGATCTGTGAGCTCATCGTGCCGAGATTTTATTAAATTTCTCGAATATTTGCAGGTCCCATGCTTCTCGTACCTTGTTTTTGTGAACATCTCACTTCTCGTGATGTTTAACGTCTCACTTCCTAACGCACGTAAAAAAAACCCTAGTAAGCGATGCAAAAGGACCCGTAGTTTTTTTTCTCATCCCAAAACCAAAACAGTTTTTTATTGCTATTTTTTGTGCACTGGTGTGAAATTCACATGTTATTTCCTGGGGTATTATTGACATTTTTTTCCGAACAAACATTTTTTAGCGGTGGTCGGTTAGTGTTTGCTTTTGAAATTGATAACTTCGATTTTTCGTGAACTTTCCCTCTATTTTTTATTCGCTCAATCCAGGTGAATTTTCGCTCACTTCAATCAAACAAATACTATTCGATTCTTTTAGAAATATTTTCAAAAATGGAAAGAATGCTCTGAAAATTTATAAAATTGTATAGTTGCAAAAAATAAACAAAATTCTATGATATTTCGCAAAAATTATGTCATTTTTTTCGGGAATTTATTTAAACACGCTTTTATTCAGGAAATCTATAGATGTTTTTTTTTCTATGAATTCTCTTTTTATCTAAATATTTCATTTTTATCATCATGCAATGAAATATAATAAAAATTCCATAAAAAGTCAAAGTAATGTCAATCCCCCAAAGTGCTAATATTTTTTGACAATTTCGCTATACTTTTGCACTTTTCGCTTTGCGATGCCAGCTTCGATCAGGATTAAACCCGAAAATTGTTCATATAAACCATTATATGGCCTAGAGTGATATTTTCTCTCATTTCAACCTTTATGAAATACCAATAATTTAAATGGAAAATATTCAAACTCGTGTCTTCCAAGTTTCTGTCAATATATTTGCAAATTTAATTTCATTATTGACTTTAAAAAGAAGAAATCAAAGGTCACGTAACTTATTGTTTTAATGATCAGGAAAACTGCAAAATGTCAATTTTTAGAATAATTCGCCAGCTGGAATGACTGATGTTGTCCCAAATTAATTGACATTAAATTCGCAGAGGGGAATTTCGATATCTCGTATTGTTTTCATCACGCTGTGATTAATGCGCCTTTAATCAAGTGTTGATTTACGATGTTCAAAATCTGTCATTGACATAATCTGCAAGAAATATCCGTTAAAAGAGAATCCTGCGAAATTATTAATAGCCGAAAATTTGACGCCAGTTTCGTGATACTTTATAATCTTTCGCAGCGCATATGTGAGCATCTCGATGATCTATGTCATTGAGTGCTCGTCCTAATCCCAACTTCAAATAGATATCGAACAGAATGTTCCGGACTTTTCCCTTCACTATAATGTTGTTCCTTATTCATTAATTGAATGAAAATTGTGTTTTTAATGTGTGTCGAACTCAACGTGACGCCGAGTTCTCCCCGTAAACATGTACTTCGCGCCTGTTGCAACAATCGTCGTCGAGAATGATCCGAACATTCCTTACCTAGCAGTTTATTATGACCCATTCCGACAAATATTTGCTCTTTGGATTGATTTTTTTGTTTCATTGGTTGAAGATTAAAAACTCTTCGTTTTCACTTAAAAAAAATATATATATATATAGGCGGAGTTTCGACGCATTTCTCGATAAATGACTTCTCGCTATCGCACCACATTTTTTTGTATGGTCGAAAGTCGTAAAAGTGTTTCTTTGTCATCTCGCCCTTATCACGATGACTGTAAAACTCCCATTTATAGAAATAGATATCATTTGTGTGATTTTCGAGCCGTTTCGAAAATGAGATATTTTTTCGACTCGATTTTCCGGAAGCCATCCGCCCCGTTATTCCACCACCCACGAAATAATGTCTAGACGATTTTTTGTTTCTATGTAGCGAAATCTTTGGAAACGATCAAAGAGTTGTTCACAATTTGTGAACATTGATCAAGACCATTTCGATCGATCGTAAAAATGCCCATAAAAGGGGATTGGTACCACTTGTCGTCACATTTTTTTGCATTAATACTGCCCCGTTCAAATTTTAGTTTTTTATGCCTGTACTTCTAATATCAACCATTTCAGCTATAACGTAGGCATTAATAGAGTTGCATTGATCAAACTGGGAAAGGGCGAGATGATTTTTGTCGATCCCGTAGATTCCCTAGACATTTTTCACTTTGCTCCTGCTAGATCATGAGATCATTTTTATTGTCGAGATAGCGAACAACTGATAAGCAAACCGTCATTATCAAAATGAATCTTTTCGAAATCCTTTTAATTTTTTTGACGATTCAATTTTCGTTCAGCAATTAGTGTAAAATGCTTGAGATTAAATCAAACAAGATGCGATCTCTTAAAAATTTTTGCATTTAAATCGTCGCACTTCCTTTATTCTCATCACGTTAGTGTCGATTCGTTACTTAATCGGATGAAGCATGCTATCAGACGCAAATTTTGCACTTTGCTCGTTTTATTATTATTGCCGATGATTGATAACGAAATCAGTGACTGAAAAAAAGTTGCAGCCCATCAAAAATGCCTGTTGATACGAAAGGTGTGATGTTCTTCACACCCGATCATCAGGATGATGAGGAGGAGACGTCGTCGTCATCTGTAAGATTTTATTAGTTAGCATTTTGAGAAGAAAATTCCAATTCTTTAGAATTCTTTTTAGTTCGAGATTTTTTCAGGCTCCAGGATCTCAGAAACCAATCAGCGGTTTGGATTTGCTAAAAAACTGTGGAATGAGTGAGTTTCGGTGAAAATAAAAAACGAAAATCACGTGGAATGTCTCACGTGAACCTCCGGAAATCTAGGGCATATTGAGTTGTGCCTCGTATTGGAATTCGTTATTTGCATGCATTAATTGTCTCCTTTGTTCTGAAATCACACCACAAAATGAGCAAAAATTCGTTTACGAATACGAATTTCAAACCGAGCTTCGAAGCGATGCCTCAACCATCGGACCCCACGAATTCGGTATACAAATTCACTGCATGTTTGTTTTGTTCAGTTTTGTGTTGCTTTTATAGCCCGATGTTGCTAAAAAGGTGGATATAAACAAGGAGAAATCCAATTTGACGATGAAGCTGAAGACGTGCAGCTCGACGGAGACCATTGTCGCGCCGTCAATGGCTGCGAGAGCCAGGTATTATTTTATGCTTGATGAAGGGACCATGCCGAATTTTTGGAGATCTTTCAATATGACAGAAGTCGATTATTCGCTGGCAGGAATCGCTAGTAGTTTTACCCCGGTTCCTTCGTTTAGTCTTGAACATTCAAGTAAAGAAAAGTGAGTGGAGAAGCGTTTTGATTACCTAGTTAGACGTTTGAATATGTAGATCCTCTGAAGATAATTCGAAACCAGTAACAGAGCCATCAGAAAGTTTGATACCTCAGGAAACAAAAAAAGATGAACAGAAGAAGCGAAGTGTATTGAATAATATATCAAGAATGGTGACTTAAATAAGTTTTTAGTCGAGTAAATTGTCTGAAATGGATTCGCCGAGTCCAAAGCGACGCCAGAAGAATTCGTCGGAGATTTCGGATCCGCCTAGCGAGTTTTTCAGAGCGCAAAAGTTGATTTTTTAAAATCGTCCTTACTTAAAAAATGATCGCATGTTTTTTTCGTAGAAAATTGATAGAAAAGAAAAAGAAAGAGCAGAAGAAAAATAAAAGCAATAGTGTGATGTCATCGAATACAGCGAGCGATAGTGGCTCGACGTCGATTGAAACGCCGATTCCGAAGAAGGACACGACGAAGAGGAGGAAGAAGAAGAAACGACAATCGAAGGAAACGCGAACAAGCAGTGAAAACGCGACAAGCATGTTGTGTGGACCAATTTAATCTAAATATGGAGTTTAGAGCCAAAAAGTACGGAAAAGACGAAATCGGTAACACCTTCGGCGACGACGACACCCGAGAAAGAAAAAGAATCGAAGGAAAAATCAAAGAAAAGTGGGGGGTTTTATAAAATATCAGGGATAGTAAAGGTTCATACGCCATTATTTTGTCCGCAGCTAATGCTGGGCATATTGAAAGACTCGTTTAGAAATTGAAAAAAAAAACGAGGCAATTTTGGGTTGACTCGGAACAGAATAATTACTAACCAATACATAGAAGCGTTCCAGTTTGTTCGTTCGCTTTGCATGTTCGCCCCCAGTTTTTTGAGCATTTTGCAACGCTTATGTATTTCGTTTCTTTTTTTTGCAAACCAATGTTTGTGTGCGTGCTCCGTCTGTTTTGCTTTTTTTGTTTCCAATACGAGGCAAAACAGATTGTGAGAAAATTAGTGTGTTTTGGCAAAACACATTGGGAAAGTGTTTTTTTTTTATAGAAACATTGAATGAGATTGCGACTGATCCGAATATGGGTAAGACGGTGTTGTATTGTGAACAAGTTTGATTATTTCTATGGTCTAAATTTTTCTGCGGACATGTCATCTTTTCTTTTTCCAACGCGCATAAATCTCGCACCACTGCGAACAAAAAAAAAACGATTGTTTTGAATGGAATGCTAGTCATTATTGTCGAATTTGATTTGAATATGCAGGTGTTGAGCCATGTTTTAGGCGCCCTGCACAAAGGTCACCGCTGGATTATGAACATTCTCGAATGTGATAAGTATTTTCTATAAATTTCACGGTATACAGTTGATTCTAGCGGTGACAACTGCATTTATCTTCATTTTTTTGCAAATATTTCTTGTTTTTTTTTTCGTTTTCTGCTCACTTAATCTGCGAGTAATCCCATTAGATCTATACACACACACATATACGAGATTTTTCTTAATTTCTACGATTTTCACAATTTTTTTCAGAGACCGTGGATAGCGAAGTTTTCGATACTGGGCCTTTTAAGCCCAACTATGCGGTAAAAGAAGACAGCCCTCATTTATTATTCTGAATTTCGAATTTTTTAGATGACTGGAATTGCTGATCATTCTACGAGCTCGCCGTTCGAGCTGTCGACAACACCCATTGAGGTTCATGAGAGTAGAAAACACAAAACGATTGAGATCAATAACAGGTAGGTCAAGAAACTTAAATCTCATCCCCTAGAAATTTTCTTCCCCATTCCCCCTCCCCTTTTTTTTGGTGGTGTGCTTATCTAATGTTACTGGCGTCGCTTCGGTGGTCCTTGGTTGTCGACGCGTCGAATTTTTAGAGCGAAAGGAGCGCAATCGAGGCGTTGGTCTTGCTTGTAAGCGATATATTCGTATTGTGTTGTTTTTTGTATTGAGTGCTCCAACAATTATCTTGTCTGCATGCATCCCATGCGTGTTGTGTGTGCATTTCAGAGAAAAATCCAAGGTTGCCGTCGCATTGACGCCGATACCGAAAGAGAATTCGCGGAAGACGTCGACGTCGGAATTGTCGAAGATGTCGTCGTCAACAACTTCATCGAAATCATCATCGCTGAGGGAGTCACGAAGGTGTGATTTTGTGTTTTGCGGTTTGAATTCTTTATTTCGTTTTTTTTTCAACTAACCCCTGATTTGGTTGTTTTCCCAATGCATGTTAATATGGGATTTTGAGACTTATTCTTTGTTTTCCTTTTAATGTTTGCATATAGTGAATCACAGGTGTTGTCGAAGACAGATGGCTTCCGGGAACACAGAACTTTGAAATTTGAATTGCACAACTCGGTTTCGCAATGATTTACGATTTGTCTGCGTATCGAGCATATGCAAAACTACAGTATTCATCAAAGGCGCATGCTATCATTTGTTGATTTCGCGCCAAGAAACAATACTGTGTTAAGCCGAAATTCTTTGAATTTCCGACAGCTGTCTGTCTTCGACAATAACTTGCAATGGTAGTTAGCAAAAAACGAATTTCATGAAAATCGAGACTATAGGGACTTGGGTGTTCTTTTTATTCCATAAATTCCATCTTTGGATAAACCTTGTTAAGCAGATCCTTCCGGATTTCTTATGTTATGATCTGGATGAGAATTCGTGTGAAGATAATGGAATTTTTGAACAATCTTAGACGGGGTCTTTTTGAGCTAAGATGAGGTCATAATTGTCCTTTAAATTGATAAATTAATGAAATATTCGAGAGCACCCATTGTCCGTTCAATCTTGATTTTCGTCACGAGACCCAATACGCAACCAAATCACCTCGTTGAGAAGAATGATGGTTTGTGTATATGTGTGTTGTGTTTTTTTTTTTGAAAATTAGATGCTGCGCACACGCAATTCAAGCCGACACGAACCAATAAAAAAAAAGACGTGCATTCGCGATACACCTTATAAGGTTTCTGCGACGACTAATCCGGCGAGGTGCTTCTACAAATTTTCGAGGAGGATATTATCCGCAGATAAGAAATTGTCGCGGGCGTGTGTTTTGCCGACACAAAATTTTGTGCCCCCGCAAATTGGCGGAAATCGTCGGCGATTTTAAGCGAATTGTTTTGAATGTCGTTTGATATTGAATTGCGTGTGCTTTGGAAGCATATGTTGGTCATGAACTCGTGAGTTGCTCTAATTTTTGTTCTAAAAAATCATCCTTCTTGTTTTGCATGATTTCGTGTTTTTTTTTTCAAATATTTATAACTAAAATTGGTCATCTCACTCAAATTTTGCGATTTTTCATTTTACCATCGGTTTCAGAGCTCGATTGGAATCGCAAAATGATCCCGGATGTCTGTCACCGTCGTCGTTGAAATCGGTTCTGGATGAGATTCAGAATGAGCCGAGATGCAAATCGCCTCAACAACTCGATTTGCACACGTTCCGGTAAGCTCTGAGAGCATTTCAAAAGATACGTCATTTTTGGAACTATTTTTTAAAATCGAGTTTTACTATGCAGAATCTATGAAATATTTACCGTTTATTGAATTTCGAATATACGCTTAGAACGAAATATGACGTTATTCGATTTAAGGAAATTTCTGTTATTTTTTTAATCAGAAATCTCTTTTTTCCATTTATTTAATCTTGTGAAGTTTTCAAAATACTGATGAATTTTTTTAGGAATATCCGATTTATAATTAACAAGATTATTCTTATTTGAATTTTTTAGATATGCAATTCAATTTTCGTATATTTTAAATTCAAAATTTCTAATTTGGCATTTTAAAAAGAAAGGACGCATACTCGTCTATGTTTTTATTTGACATGAATTATTTTTAACAACTATTCTCCCGAATTGCTCAGGGTTTTCCTTTTTTGCCAACAGTAATACAATTATTTCATTGATCAATTTGGTCCAGTTGGTCCCATACATGACGTATTCGAATGACATTTGCTTTGACTAATTTGCGATATTTAACATCAAGTTGGAATAATTGAGAACTAATTGTAGTGATGCGGTCGACGTCAATTATCAGCGAATGGCAATCACTGGAGAGGAGCTCAGTGGTGTACGATGAATAATGGATTATTGTTGTGGAGATTCAAATTGATTTCATTCTAGGTACCATTGGAAGACTTGAAGACGGCGTCGACACATTTGATCGAAGCCCTTCATCTTCGCGACAAGTACATGGCGAGAATTGGCAATCAATTCCCATCAACGACTCATAATTTCTTGACCGGATATTATCCGGATAATTTGCCAAAATATCGTGTCAAGAATACCGAGACAAGTAGGTTTTTAAATAATATTGTTTCGATTAGTTAGGCGACATACAGCGTTAAAAGAAGGTAGATCAATGATCTTTATTATATAGATTTTGATCTGTCTTATCTTTATTTCAGATGCTTTTTTAGTGTATATTAGACAAGTTTTTATTTTTTTTTTCAAAATTGCTCATATTTTCAGTCCGACAATTGTGTAAGTTAATTGAACATGAATTGAGTATATCGTAATGGTCCTTATTGGTCGCACCACACGAACACAAAATGTTTTATTGTCAATTGTTCTTCTTTTTCACTTTGTCTGTCATTCTCTCTACTTTTACTTCTACTTCTACTCTATTTTGTGCACCATTCCATATTTCTTGTAGACAAACCGCCGTCGCCGCCACCGCGCCGACCGAGCTGTCCGGGTAGGCTACGGCATTGGTGTGATTACCAGAAACGAATTCTTCTCACATTGAATTTGATTTGGTTTGATAGAGTTGACCACTAACTCGGTCCAAAGAAATGCCTATTCAAAATTGGCGGAATTTGTCCGCGGATGCCAGATCTTTGATCTTGGCGATTCCGAACCGAATTGTATTTTTTTTTCAAATTGTTCAAATTTTAAAAAGTTCATGATTGTCTTGACACGTTGATTTCGATTTAGTTTTAATATTGCGTATCCGACTAATTTGTCGCGTAGAGACCTCATCATGCGTGTTGGATTTGATCTAACCGAATAATCCGAATTCTACTACCTCTTTTACTTCTACTTGTACTGGTTTTTTGTTTCACTGATCTTTTAAATTCGCTGAAATCCGAATTTATCATATTTGTAACGAAGGATTTCAGCGAATTTGAACGTTTTCTTGAAAATCTGATTTTAAAAAATTTGAATGTTTCAGCTGTTCAAACGTCGTTCAATCCACCTGATCCGCCAAAGGATCATTGGGGGAAGAGTGATCCGTTGCCGGAATTTGAGAAGAAATACGTTTTGAAGCGCAATCGTGGTGTTGTCGAGGTTTGCAATGAGAATGGCGAAATTGATGAGGAGTTTAAACCATTCTACGCGACCAAAGAGGAGTTTTTGAATGATACTGAGAAGCTCACTGCGATGATTGTCGATGGGCCATTGTAAGACGAAATTTTAAAGGTTCATATCGAAGTTTTATGGTTTCAGAAAGTCTTTCTGTTTCCGACGCCTCTCCTACTTGCAGAACAAGTTTCAGCTCCATGTGTTGCTCAATGAGCTTCGTGAGCTTCACGAGCAGAAAGGCGTTTCACATCGTGATTTCTACAATATTCGCAAAGTCGATACTCACATTCACGCCGCTTCTTCCATGAATCAGAAGCACTTGTTGCGTTTCATAAAGAAGAAGATCAAGACGGAAGCGAATACGGTGGTTCTTGAGAATAATGGGCAGAAAGTGACGATGCGTGAAGTGTTCAAGAAGATGGGAATTGATGCGTATGATTTGTCTGTCGACATGCTCGACGTGCATGCCGATCGCAACACATTCCATCGATTCGACAAGTTCAACACGAAATATAATCCGGTCGGCGAGTCGACACTTCGCGAGATTTTCATCAAAACTGACAATTATGTTGGCGGAAAATATTTTGCCGATTTGTTGAAGGTTTCGATTGCACTATTTAATTCAATCAAGAGAATTTTCATTATTTTTTGTCAGGAGGTGCTCTCTGATTTGGAAGAGAGTAAGTATCAACACGCCGAACCGCGTTTGTCGATTTACGGGCGCAGCAAAGATGAATGGGATAAGTTGGCAAAATGGGCGATCACTCATGATGTGTGGAGCCCGAATGCGAGATGGCTCATTCAGATTCCGCGTCTTTAGTAATGAACTCACGTTTTGGAGCATTTTATTTAAGTTTTTGCTTTTCAGTGATATCTATCGCGCTAAGAAAATGGTGAACAGTTTTGACGAGCTTCTCGAAAACATCTTCACGCCATTGTTTGAAGTCACCAATGATCCGAAATCGCATCCTGATCTTCATTTGTTCTTGAAACAGGTTTCTGCGATTGATTCCGTCGACGATGAGAGCAAACACGAGTTTGTCCATGTGAGCATATGAAAGAGATCATCTTTGATGAATAGTTCGATTCAGTTTGACCGCTCGACACCTTGTCCAAAGGATTACACCGATCTTGAGAATCCGCCATACAATTATTATTTGTACTACATGTACGCGAATATTTGTGCGCTAAATGCGTTGAGGAGGTTCGTTTTTTCATAGACCGAAAACTTGATATTTAGTCTGCATTTTGTTCTAGAGCTCGTGGAATGAACACATTCGCGTTGAGGCCGCATTGTGGCGAAGCTGGTCATGTTTCGCACCTTCTCACCGGTTATCTTACCAGCGAGAGCATTGCCCACGGAATTCTCCTTCGTAAGGTGCCCGTCTTGCAATATTTGTTCTACTTGACACAAATGGGAATCGCCATGTCGCCGTTGTCGAACAACTCATTGTTCATCAGCTATCAGCGAAATCCGCTGCCGGAATACTTGCAAAAGGTGATAGGCTAAATGTAAGAATATTCTATCTGCCGACATTTTTAGGGTTTGAATGTTTCCCTTTCCACCGATGATCCTCTTCAGTTCCATTATACCAAGGAAGCATTGATGGAAGAATATTCGATCGCCGCGCAAGTATGGAAGCTTAGCTCATGTGATATGTGCGAATTAGCTCGGAACAGTGTCTTGCAGAGTGGGTTTGAGGATAAGGTTGGTGTATCATAAAAATCAATAAATTCACCTTATTTAATCGGCACAGGTCAAAATTCATTGGCTCGGACCAAACTACAAAGAGGAAGGTGTTCTTGGAAACGACATTCATCGCACCAATGTGCCCGATATTCGGGTGAGCTTCCGCCATGAAGCTCTCGTCGATGAACTATACAACTTGTTCCGTGTTCATCAAATTGCGAAACCCGCTATCCATCAATAATCCGTCCAAATTTGTTTCTTTTTATTATTTCATTTCATAGCCACCCGCTGAATAGTCTAATTGCATCCAGTATTTCATTTCCTCGATTTCTTCATGTATTTTCGCGTTATTATTTTGAAAAATAATATACTGTGTGATTCACGACGAACGAACTATTTTCTATTTGGGCAACTACCCAGTGTGTTGTATTCGGTTTTGTTTTTTTTCGCGTTTATTTAATGTGCTTTAAAACAACAATAAACTATCATCATAATTATCGTTTTGTAAGCGTCTTCTTTAATTGTCGGTCCATTTCGTAGAAATCACCTTCGGGAATGTGTGGGACCGACGAAACCAGTGGCTCGAACGCGTTGAAGCAAAGCACGAAATTTCCTTCACCGGGAACTTTTGAATTGGAACCGTACTGAAAATGCTGCGATAGCTATTGAGTATTGTGAAACATGGTTTCAAGTTTAAAGGAGCATACCCGAAACCATAAGAATTTTCCATTTACCTTATCATAGAAATCTTCGAGCAGTAAGCATTCGTCAAGAAATGCGCGACCGAGAACAGCGCCACTCGAAAAATCGAGATTATTCACTTTCGAGACATCTCGCACAAATTTTTTGCTAAACTCGATGATATCTTTCTCGTTTGTTTCGGTGGCCTTTGATGTGATGAATAATGGTCCTTTTAGCATTAAATCCTCCTTCCAGCAATAAAATCTGAAACATTTTACTGTTTCGCGGAGCATTTTTTAATGAAAAAAATAAATCTTACTATATATCGGTTGAGCGTTGTAAAAATAATTATACATACTCTGGTAACTCAAAACCAATCGGATCCGACAAAATTCGACTCCAGAATCAACCTTATCCGATTGATAATTCTACGAATAAGATTGGAAAATCGTCAGATCCGATTGGTTTTTTGGGTATTTTCGAATACGATTGGGAATTTGTCGGATCAGATTAGATTTCCTTCGAATCCGATTGGTAATTATTCGAATCCGCTTTGTTTTAAAATTTCAATTCGAATCGGATTCGACAAATAACCAATCTTATCCGTAGAATTACCAATCGAATCCGGCAAATTACCAATCGTATTTGAAAATACTCAAAAAACGAATCGGATCCGACAATTTTCCAATCTTATCCGTGGAATACCAATCGGAAAAGGTTAATTCCAGAGCCGAATTTTGTAGAATCCGATTGGTTTTGAGTTACCAGAGTAACTAAAAATTGCAATCTTTGTACTTGATTATACAGGCATTTAAGGAAGTTAAAAAACTACTTTTTGCAACATTTTTTGTCTTCGATATAGTCATTTTTTGGGCATTTTCCAATAACCCAAAATCAAACGAATTCGACACAATTCCGCTTCCGACAAGAAATACAGCAGATAAAATTGTAAAATTTGTAGTCGTCGCACCGTTTTATATTTTCAGTCCGAATTACAGTAGTTCGAATCCAATTCGAAATTGCTTGTATCCAATAGTACATTTTGCAAAATTTAGATGCCCTGGGTTCTAAGCTACTATATTTTATTACCTTAAAAGTCCATGAACCAAAAATGCAGCAGCTGGTTGGGGCACAGAAATTGTCAATCCTTTCTCTTCAGTAATTTGCGCTGAGAGCTCATCACTGACGATCATCAAACTCTCGGCGTCGATAATATCACCATCGGAGCATTGTTTCGTGTCAATTTTCTGGCCAGCTTCGTTTAGATACTGTAAAAAATAGTAATAATACTTACATTGCAAATAAGTTGCTTTAAATACGTTTTTTTAACTTTTGAAATCTTCAAAAATAATATAATATATATTATGTACACAAATTTTATTAGTCGCAAAAAATTCGAGCAAATTGCGACTATTTACGACAAATCTGATTCGTAGGTTATCCGTAAATGAACAAACGCAAAAAAGGATGATTTCTTGAAATACTAAAATTATTGTGCAATTTTTTTGAACCGCATTGTTTCTTGGTTTTTTATATCTAATCTCTTGCATTTTCACCTTTGGCACAAATCCAATTGGTGACCAATGAGCATCGCAAGCATTATTATATGCCACTTCCTGAGCACGGCGGCGATCGTCTGCCCTTAAGGAAAATCTTTATAAGTATTGTTGAAATATTTCAAAACGTACGATTCGAGAATCTCATGAATAATCGGGTCGTTTCCAAAATCATTTTCTGACAATTCGCTTTTGTTCGATGATTGTACGACACCGCCTTCCAAATCAATGGCAACGACGAATTTCCTTCGCTCCTTTTCCAGCAATGCCTTCAATTCGTCTCGTCGTTGTTTCAATCGCTCGCGCTCTTCGCAATTCAAAAATGAGCTACTTTCAATATTCGTGTAATCGCTTTGAAGATCGTTGACCCGTGTACGACGCTCACTGGAAAATTGAAAGTTGCGAATTATTTGCAAAATCGAGACTGATGAAATCGGAATTTGAATGGTTCCTTGGACACAAAAATGACCTACGTGTCCGCATCAGCTTCAAGTAATCGGTCTCTGAACTGAGTTGCCGCTTCAAATGACCTTCCGCCCTCAATTTTCTCAACATTCACGAAGTTCGTATTCGAATAAAGTTTCTTCTTGAGCTCTTCGCCCTTCTTGGTTCCCGAATTGATGATCGCGCGCTCTTCCCTCGTGCAGACCAATGTGTTGCAAGTGAAGCATGGCCCACTTCCTTCTTGAGCACACACTATCCGACCGCATCCGAGGCAATTGAGCACAAGCTCGTGAATTCGTGCCTGACACTGACATTCGTGTCGACCTTTTCGCAATGTGTCCGCAGCGGTCAGCTCATTTTTGGCAGCGAGCACGTTCTGTCTACCAGCGATACCACCCAACTTTAAGAATTTTGATTGTGATATGATCTAAACTTAAAAATAATCACCTTCTGGTTTTGTTGACTTCCCAGCTTTGCTGCATTTCGATTTTCCTTCTGCTTCTTTCCCATTTTTCTGAACATATCAATGGAATCGGATAAGATCGAATCAAAATATTAGGTTTCTTCACCTTTTTGATAGAAAAAAAGCAAAAAAAAAACATTTTAATTTTAAAGATTTATTAAAGAAAAACAATAATAATCCCGTTGTCAACTTCTTTCGCTACTAATTTTTTTAAATTATTTTTTTTAATTCCTAAAATTTTTATATACAATAAATGGTGGTTGATTCTGTTTAGATTCCATGTGCTGCACGAATTTTCTTGGCTTCTTCGAACGCCATCTGCTCTCGAAGGAATTTCTCGTATTCTTCTTTTCTTTTATTTGCGAGAAGCTCTTCTTTGAAGTTTGCCATTGCTTTATCGCCAGCACTGCTGTCTGGAATTTTGTAGCCGCGCATCTGAAAAAAATCGCTTTTCATTGAAAATCTTATATGATTCATATTAAAATGTCTTTGATTCGTGTACAAAAAAACTGTATTGCATGAATAGATCCAAAGAAGGTTTCAAAAAATCATTTTAAAGCAACTCACAAATTCTTTGAATATGGTTGGTTGATTGAACGCCCAGAATGCAACTACGGGAAACGCGACAAGCATAAAAAATCGTCCTGTTTCTAACTTCCAGCCTCCCATGATATACTGAAATAAATCACTAGCTCTTGAAAATATACGCGCTGAATGGAAAAATAAAAAAAAAATGTTGTCCACGCGGACTACACAAAACTATGACCGAAAAAACGGCATAGATCCTAGGCCATCACTAACTATCTAACTTTTGAAGTTTGGAATTTTCAGTAAATTTTATAGACATATTAAATAGGAATTTTTTAGATTTCATGGAAATAACTATGTTCTGCGAATTAATGTTCTAAAAATACATTTGTTTTTTTAATTACATGATTACCTCTAATCAGCTATCATCGTATTCGTCTTAAAGTTTAAAAAACAATCGCAGAAGCAGTTCTTTAGGCTATAAATCTAGAACACCATCTAGAAGAGACCAATTCGCTTGGAAAAACATGTTTTTGTGGTTTTATGCATTACATAATAACATGCAATATTGCGAAATTCGCTTTATTGATTAGTCGATGCATTGAAATAATGAATTATTTATACGTGATAACCTTGGCTCGAATCCTCTCCGATCTGAAAACAACGAAACAAATATTGAAATGAAAATTAAAAAAAAAATGACTCCAACCTTTTTCTAACTGCATATGTATAGCCAATTTTCCGATCAACCGGCTCCGGATTCATAATAGCCGGCTGACATCTCCAGCGATTCATCACAGTGATCAAAATATTCTTTCTCACTATGGTTTTGCCGAACTCATCCTCAGTGCTAAGACGGCGCTCCATGAGTTGAAACTCTTTAAGGATGACATGGAACAAATCATGGGTTCGCAATTGGCATCCCGGCGAGAATTCCTCGGCGAGCTGCGAGATCTTCTCGTTCATCTCCTTATAAGCATGATGAATCTGTTCTGAGCGTCCCGTCACGTAGATTTGAGCAAACTTCTGTAGCTCCATGATCACATGCAATTTTAAGAATCCATGAGCATTGAGCCGGCTGACCATTTTGTTGTAAATTCGACAAAGGCATCGGTAGTTCTTTTGTTGTTCTTCTAAATGTTTCTTCTCCTTTTCTGCTTTAATTTCTTCTTCAGTCTTTTCTGCTCTCGTTTCTTCCATCTGAAGTTGTAAAACTTGAAAGAAAGAATGAAATAATGAAAAATTTAACAAAAAATGCGATTATCTTTAAAATTAAAACACTTCTGGTGAATTGTAGAATATATTTAAAATAAACATTCAAATCTGGCGCGCTTTTTAAGATCAAACTTTTCGGAAATAAATTTTTTTTTTATTAAAATTAAACTTATTATTATATAAGATTCACAACTGATTTCAATGCAGTTACAAATGAGATTCAGTATATTTTTGTTGAAATATCGATAAACAAAGCTATTTTCAGAAATAGTCCGTTATTAGACGAAGCTGAAGAAGAAATAAAAAAATTTAACGCAAAGAAAATTGAAGAATAATTAATGGTTATTTCTGCCAACACTCGCGTCAGTTTCCTGAATGATTCGCTTCACAGATGCTACCGTTGGCAATCCGTTGAATTCTTGCTCATCTTCTAGAATCTTCAATGGCCCGTAATTGCTGCGCACTGAAATTAAACTCCAAAAATTGATGAAAACGTTTTGATGAACTCACAGTCATGCGTCCATTTCCAAACAGTGCACGGAACAGGAACGTCGATTCCATTCCTTTCCTTGATGCGTTCAATGATCCTCGGATGCTCTTTTCGCGTAACGATCGACGTTTCCCAATAAGAAGCGTAGCAGCCGCTTCTGAATATTAATACGTTTTTTTTCACGGAAATGAACTTCGAACAACTTACGATTCCCATTGTTCTTCGAAAATCGATGGAGTATTCTTTTTGGGTGCCCACGCAAATTGCAATTGTTGACTTTTTGACCATCCAACCATCCATTCAGCTGAAAAGAAAGTGTAAAACGTCAGGAGTTCTTCAAAAAAAAAAACACTTACGTTTCAAAATCCTCGTGATTCTGAGCCCTTTGCAAACATACGTGTGGCCGTTTTCAACAAATATCGGATTCGTCTCCTGCCTATGCGACAACACCTCCAGCTCACCAACCATTTGATCAAGCTCATCCAACGCAAATGTTTGAGCAGCGGTAATCGTATAAGGCGTAATAATTCGCTCTTGACGTCCCCAGCCAAGTTTCACCTCCTTATTCACCTAAAAATAATGAATATTCAAAAGCAAATCTCTCATCGTGATGTCTCACTAATGTCAAGGCTTTGCACATCTTCTCAGCAGCTTTCATTCGTTTCTCATACGACAATTTCGAAACATCGTCGCCGTTGAGAACAGCAGCATCCAGAATTCGAAGAATTGTCGAGCGATGATCTTCACGAATCATTTTATCCTTCTGAATCCGGGATTCACGAAATAATAGGTGACAAATTCAAAAACCTTCTCAATCGCTTTCACCTCTTCAACAACGATTATTGTGTTTTGTGGGATTCTCACATACTGTTTGTCCATATTTTCAAATCGGCCATTACGATTTATAAACACATAATCCTGAAAAAAAAACAACAACAATTTCTCCGCAAAACGGCGTTTTTTTCTAAATACCGCAGCAGCAATCAGTGTCATCGGCTGGGATTTATCGGCAAGTCTCACAAATCGAAAAGCGGCATATGGAATATTCTTTTCGATATTTGTTCGTAAAAAATTTGGAATGAATTCGAAAGGTCGGAAAGTGAATTCTGAATCGCAGACAAGCTAAAAACGTTCGATTTCAAAATTAGATTATTCTATTTCAAATTCTACCTTCGGCGACCATTGTCCCCAAACTTCAAGAGCATTCAGCGATTGTCTGATTTGCTCGCGTCCGCGTTGTCGTTGGCGATTCGGCACCATCCAATATTTCAAACATTCTTCTCTCAAATTACCCTGATCTTTGTCAAATTGTCCCTGATTTTTGGAAAAACTCAAGTATTTATCCAAATAAAGTTTTTGGCGGCGGGCCAGCCTGAAAAATGATGGAATTGTTAAAAAATATATATATTTCGGAATAGCCTACTTTTCATTATGACTAACAATCGCATTGAAAAACTCTTCATCATTTTTCAATTCATTTATATCGATAATTTCTTGAACATCGTTTGGATCATTGCGATCTTTCAAAGAATTCATAACACGATTGATTCTGAAAAAAAATGAGAATGAATCAGTAGGAATCAGGCGAAATCCACTCTTACTCTTTAAGATAATCACGAACTTGATCGCTGTACTCTTTACGCAGACCTTTACAAATAATATATCTTTCAGAATTCGCCGGACGACTTGTGTGTGGTTTATGAAGCGAAATCTCATCATAGCAGATTCGCATCAAGTAGATCAAACCGACGCTGAAAATTGATCACATTATATATGCTGAGAATCGATCTAACCGACCTGAACGGTGTGAAAATATCAAATAGCTTGCAGAAAAAGTTGCCACCTTCTCTCACGATGCAAAGCGAAACGAGTAATTGACATAAGTAGAGCCTTTTTGAGAGAATCTCCTGGATATTTTCCTGTCCTTCCACACTGAATCCACCATCGGCCATCATTAAATGAACCCCTTTTCCATGTGTTCCTTTCATCACAAACTGCTCAAGCGAATCAATGTTTTGCGGATCCATCACATCGCCATTATTCTTCACACCATAATAGGGCTCGAAATAATAAGCAGATGAAGCACAGAATTTATTCAATTTGAAATCGTCTTTTCCTTTAATAGAAATAAGAATGTACTATGAGGAGATAAATAATTAAAGATGAGATACCTGCTAAAGTGAAGCCGAATCCCTTTGCATTATAGAATCCTTTTCTCCACAACATATATTCTGAGAAACCGCCCGGACCGGCACACACGTCAGCGAAATAGAAAAGATCCGATTCGCGATCAACGTTTACTGGCTTGGATGAGTCGAGCGGATTTTTCTTCTAAAAATACTAATTACCCTTTTGAAAGAAATAGCTTAACAGGAATTTATATTATCTCATTAATCCGTGAGAGAAGACAACAGTTTGGATTGTCGAGGTTGGTAAAAATTTGGTAAAAGAAAACTGTAGCATTTTCTTTCAGTTAAAACAAAGAACTTACCAGAAACTTATTATCCATAGTATCTTCTTGCGAAAATATCCAATCGTAAACTTTATCTAAATTCGCCGTCTTCATTGCCGCACGATTTTGAAAGAATGCTGATCCAATGGTCTCATACGGATTTGCACGAGTTCTAGCTTCACGTAAATCTCGATCAGACATGTGATCGAACACATCCTTCGCTTTGATCATATCCAAAAGCACCTGCTCATCGCAAAACTCCGTCTCATCTTCGATTTTTAACTTTTTCAATGCAATTTTTATCCATTGACTGTGTCGATCGCTAGCAAGAAAATCTGCAATTTCCCGCCTTTTCTCATCGGAACATTTTGGAATCCATTCAACATGCTCTTCAATTGTCTATAAAATTATAAACGATGTAATAATAATAAGAAGTTAATATAAATAAACTTTTTCCTCTTTTGATTCATCCCATTCTTCGGTGAAATCTCTAGCCACCACTTTTCCAGCCGTACTTCCCAAACCAGTTCGACCCCTTTGTGTTGAAAGAGCCACCGGCTCTGCTCGACCTTGTGCATTCTTTCCGAGACCTTTTCCTTCTTTATAACCCATTTTCTCCATCATTCGTTCAGCTGCCGTTTTTGGCTTGACCTCTGGCTCTGACTCGAAAATGGTATCCTCTTCGTCAGATCCATCATCTATTTTCGGTACTTTCGCCTATTAATTTTACAAGATGTTTAAAAAAGCCTTTAATTAATTACTGGTTTATCATGTTCTAATTCTCTAGTGAATTCCTCTTGTAAATCACGCTTTCTCGTATTTGCAAGACGCGCATAAGCCTCCTTTTCATCTTGTTCTGACCTCTAAAAAATTTGAAAAAAAAACTTGAAATACTCCAAAAACGTACTTCGCCTGCTGCTCCATTTCCAGAGTCTGAAGGCAACATTTGTCTGTAATCATAATTTTACATTCATGGTGAAATTATCGAATTTGAGATTATTTATATTATGGACCTATTCATGCAATAAAAAATACACAATTTTTCAATGCAGATTTGTAGAAAATGTATAGTAAATCTAATTTTTTTTAATGTTTCTTGGAAAAAAATACATTTCATGAATAGGTCCATTACTAATAATGCGTAGAAAAAAAGCGCGTGTGGTTGTGCGAATCGGTGTTTGCACACAATGCTAATTATATTGCTAACCGTATTTACGTCGGGCCACGATAATATTCCTATTTATGCAATAAAGGTGTCAAAATTACACAATGTTCAATGTATGAATATAAAAAAACGAAAATTAAATGTCATTTATTAAATTTTTTTGTATTCCACAAACAGTGAATTCTTATTGGAATGAAAACTTTGACAAATCATTCATTTTTTTCACGAGGCGCTATTAAAATATGTTAAATACGTCACGGGCATATAATTTTCCCATTTCCCAAAATAGTGCTAGAATCTGTTTGCCTCGATATTCCAAATGACTATTCGAGTGATTTGCCGTTCAAATTGTGTAGCTGAGAAGCAACTTGTTTTGCGCAATCCCACATTCTACGATATGGCCGTCAAGTTGATCGTGCTCAATCCGAATATTAGAGTGGATCGAACTGAAGTTTTGGTTTTATCGCACAAGTTTTTGGTAATTGACTTGATTCGAGCTGCGAATGCTGTTGAAAATTTGAAAGCGGATGTTATTATATATGCAAGAGCCATTTTCCCATACAATCGGTTTACTAACATTGAAACGATATCCTAAAACGAAAAATTAATTATTTAGTAAAAACATTCGCAACTGGCTTGATGGCTCAATTCAAGATAAATCGCATAATATTGCAACAAAATTGAAATGTGTAGTCGATGATACCGAATTTTCAGCAAAAAGGGTAAGCAAAAAGGTTATCGCAGTCAGCAGGATTCGAACCTACGCGGGCAAAGCCCAATTGATTTCTAGTCAATCTCCTTAACCACTCGGACATGACTGCCCGACGCCGAACCGTCCGACGAGCGTATACACGTCCTACGTGCTTGATTGCGCCGCGAGGAAGTTGGGAGAAGGTTGAGGGAGCAGACCTCTAGCGTACAACTTGATTTTTTTTTCGCGTGGTTAAAAAACAGCCGGAAGATGTCCGCAGATGTTGAAATGAAATTTTTCTTGTTATTATCTGACAAACAAGGACCATATTTTTGAAATGCTCAATATTTCAGGTTATCATTGATTTGCCGGGTAAATCAGCAATGGTAGAACCAACTGGATACGCACTCCAAATGAAAAACACCAGAGATGTGCTTCGATGCTTCCTAGAAAACGGCAAACGCAACCACGAGAATGTCATAAAAATCAGTTTTCAGACATTTCGCTTTCTCGTCAAATCAATTTCGAAGAGGTCGAATCAATGATGCCAATAAAGTCTAAAAGCCCAAAGAAGCTCAAACCATCGACCCAAAATACACAGTAGCTAATTTTTAAGCAGCAAAAAATGAGAAAATTGACAACTATTCAGGCCGGTGAAATGCTTCTTGGATCCACTTCTTGACGCAATCTGTCAACCCCAACCAGTAAAGAATTGAAGAGATCTACTCAAATCCTTTCCAATTGATACTTGACAAATGAAAATTTCTTTTTGATTATTAGTTGAAGGATTGTTGCGATCAATAATGTTGCCTATGGGAATATTTCAGCTTTGTGCTACATGAAAGTTTTCCCACGAAGATAATGCTTGGCTTTTGAGGGAAAGTCACGCACACGACTTTCAAAACGAATATATAATATACTTGAAAAGTTTTCCTCTAAATAGCTACTGGAAATGAAGTATTTATCAACAATCAAAAGTTGACCATTTTAATTGTCTCTATTTTTCCGATTCGATAAAAATTGACGAATTATAATCACAGACAATTGGCGTCACAAACGTGACCACTTCTCAAATCCTTATAAAACTTGTGATCTCCATCAAAATCGCTCATTCAGTACGCATTTTGTTCATTTTTCTATCGCATTCACAAAAAAAAAACGAAAGTCATGATTCCTGTCGAGTTCGGCATTGCAGCATTGTGGACAAGTGTGGTATTTCTATTAATTAATTGTGGATCAAAGGTACGTTTTGGTTCGAAATTGATTTCAAATTTTTTTCTCTCACAGAAAAAGAATGGAAAAAATGTTCCACCGCCGGTTAGTGGTGCTCGTGAGTGTTCGCTCTCATGCTTTTTTTTCTCCTGAAAAAATTGAATTTTTAAAGCTGTCTCTGCTGTAAAGGCTCCGGTTGTTCCGGCATCTGCGCCTCCAGACAAGAAGGATGAGAAGAAAGATGAGGAGAAGAGTAGGATTTGCAGGAAAGTATGAAACGGTGATTAAAACTTTCAGAGGAGGAGAAGAAGGATGAGGAGAAGAAGGAAGAGGAGAAGAAGGAGGAAAAGAAGGATGAAGAAAAGAAGGAGGAGAAGAAGGAGGACGAGAAGAAGGAAGAACAGAAAGACGAGAAGAAGCAGGAAGGATCGAAGAAGGAAGAGAAGAAATCGAAGAAATCCGCAAAAGGTGGGGCTCCGCCAGCGCCTGCTGCAGCTCCAGCGCCTGCTGCTCCATCACCGACGGCTGAAGCCAAGAAGAAGGACGCGATTGTTGAAAATCCTATTGTGACCGAGCAAAGTGAAGTTGGAACTGTTGTACCAAAGGTTGGATTGATTTTATGGATTTTTGGAAGAAAAAAAAATGTCTGATTTAGAATGCACCACCTGAAGAAAAGAAGGATGATAAGAAAGATGAGAAAAAAGACGAAAAAAAGGATGATAAGAAAGATGAGAAAAAAGATGAAAAAAAGGATGAAAAGAAAGACGAGAAAAAAGAAGACGAGAAGAAGGAAAAGGTAATTTATTCGTATTTTTTCAGATATTACTTTTTTTCAGAAGTAAATTGGTGTTCACATTTATTTCAATAATTCACACTCCTCTTAACACGCTTTTTCCGCATTTGGAAATGAAAATTTTTATTTTTCGAAAAATTAAAATTGTCTACGGTAACGTAAGGCGCGTCGTAAAGTACCTGAAACGGATTCCTGCAACGATAAAAATGTTACTGTAGTATCAAGATATTTTTTCACAGTTTTGCTATTTTTTCCTCATTTCTGTCCGTCCTTGGCGTTTGTATTCTGTTTTCTCCATTTGTGGCAGGAAATCAACTCCGATTTGTGTAGTTTCTGTTATATTTGCCGCCTATAAAACGCATAAAACGTGCATATATACTGGGAGTATAATTTATTTGCTGCTCCATCTCTTCCCATCTTTTTGTTCGCTTTATTCGTCGTTTTTCCATATACGAATTGGTTTCTCGTTTAGTTTTCTTCGAGAAATTTCAATTTATTCCAGCACCGATGGCCCCTCTAAAAAAGGAAGGAGTCAAACGCGTGAAGAAAGTTCGCGATGAAAACGCACCGAAGCGACCAGTTTCGGCTTACTTCCATTGGTTTGCAATATTTTTTCAAAGACTTTCGAGTATTCTTTCATTCAGGCTTGCTGAGAATCGTCATCGATTTGTGAAGAATGGCTTGAAGTCTACAGATGTGGTCAAGGTAGTGAATTATCGTTGAATTGAAGCACTGGCTGATCCGTCTGTTTCCAGGCTGCTGCTGCCGAATGGCGAACGATTACTGACAAAAGCAAATGGGAGGAAATCCAGAAAAAAGACAAGGAGCGCTATGATCGCGAAGTCAGCCAATACAAAAGCGCATAATACCATTATCATCAGTCATCTGTAAAATATTATAATACTGTTCATCATTAGCTTTTTATTTCCAAATCTGCAACCATTTTGCCTCCAAATTCCGATTTTTACGAATCCAACTAAAAAGTAGTTTTAAACTCTAATAAATATAATTTTATTTCTAACGTGCATATGTATGTGACTGAAGTGTGAAAAGAGGAACCCTGTGACGTTTTGACAACACTTTGAAAAAAAAACATTTGAATGAAAAGTATCCAAATGGCACCGGAAAAGTCCAAAAATAAAAAAAAAATAACTACAAAAGGAGATCACAAAAAATAATAAAAAGGGCCAACACAACCGGTGACATTTTCCTGAGACTAGTGAATGAAAAAAAAACATGAAATGAATTATGACATGCTTGCGATTTCGTATTTCTGCCGGCGGACTATTAAAACAACAACGAGGGTTGTTAAAAGAATGCACGTCTAAAAAAATATTTTAATTGAAAGAAAAAGAAAAATTGGAAATTACCGCTGTTAAGGTTATTGAAGAAATCAATACAATTTGGAAGTTTGCGCATATTTGGAGTTCTCCCTGCTCGACTTGTGCAGCTTCCACCTGCCTTCCATTGTCGATCTCGTCTGATTGTGAGCATTGAATCGGCTTTTCATCAAAAGAATTCACTGGAAATTGAATTTGTTTTTTTTTCAAATGAAGAAATTCAATTCTACCTAATTGCGAAATTTCCAAATTTTGCGATCGAACGTCAATTGCTGTTAAATCGACGTCTCTTCTATAAGCAAGAAATATATTCTCTATAAATATTGTAAAGCATATTTACCGGCTCCGTTTAACTCCATTTCCTGAATCGCAATCCAATTTAGGACATTCTGATCCACCAATAAGCGGTTCTAGCCGAATTCTACATGAAAAATAGACTATAGGAGTATAAGATACTCCGAATACTCGAACATTTGCGCCAGCATGAGTCTAAAAAGGTAATTTTCTGAATTAATTAATTAGTGACAATCAGATACCTTATTATGATATTCCAATTGTGGCATTATGTTAAAATCTTTGGAGCAACCAAACTCATCGATGACTTCATGCTTTTGCTCACCACCGATCAGCTCACACTTTTCAACCTTCATGCAGACATCTTTGATATTCTCACATCTCCAACTATGGTAGACACTTTGTCCGAGTGCTAATCTACCGGCAAGAGGCCCACCGGGACCATCTCTGACTTCGTAATGACAATTAGGACCATCTTCGTCAATTGGTGGCGGTTTTGGTGATCCGACGGCAAGAATTGTGCCATTTTTGCGATTTTGGTGGAAACATTTCAAATTAAATATCCGATCGTCGGATGTTGTAAATTCTGGATGAAATGAGACAGATAGAGCTGATTCAAGTATCAGGCCAGATGGTTGAAGACTTCTGAAATTATTAAAAAAAAAATGAAATATGTGAAAGAATAGGAAAATAATTCAATACCTTTGCCGTGGGACCATGCATTCCTCGTGCGGTATTAAAACTTCGATTTGATTATTGGTGACAAGTGTCTAAAAATTAACAGTTTAATTTATGAAGTTAATTATTAAAAAACTGTTATAAAATAGAATTATAGAACTATAATACGAGAAAAATCAAGTTTTAAATAAAAAATTTGAATTCACTTTTCTTTCAATAAATGAGCCAAAACCGTAAACATCATCACGACATATTGCGGAATTTTAATTCTATTTCAAGACAAACTTTAAAAAGTGTTTTTTTTTTCGATTTCAGCGAAACAGTGACAAATATTGATAAAACAAGTGGTTAAATAAATAGAAAATACGTGTTTTCTTTCCTCATGCGAAACAGTGTGACCTGCCTAATTCGCCAAAACTGAAGAAAATCACGGTTGAATTTGCAGAGTTGTCCAAAAAAAGCGGCTACCAGAACCATTGTAGTTCAAACACGTTGCGAATCTGTTTAAAGTTTGTTTAAAGAATTTCGAAAAAATAAATACAGAATAATTACGGTAGTCGCTTCTTATTGGGGGAATTTACTATATCTACTTTCCTTTTCTTTTATTTATATTTATACTAAATTTTTTTTTCGTAGAGACCTAGTTCATTCGAATGGAAATTTTCTAAAGAATCTGTATGCAAAAATAAAACAATTTTAAAACGGACTACAAAAAGAGCTTCCTTGTTAGAAAAAATTGTTGACTACCTGAAAGCAGGACTTGTTTGGCGTAAATTTCACGTCGACATGTCCGTGAAACGTCGTTGCCGTGCGGAACTTGACGTAAATAGCATCGGCGGCACAACTGCAAAAACGGCAACAATTGAATTTGGTCCCCTCTCGTCATTTGAATTCAATTTCTGCATTTTCATTGATACCTCGTGAAATCGTGTTAGCACACACAAAACACACCGTGTGTATGCCTCTAGGCGCTTCCGAATTTTAATATAAAATCTCGAGATTGAAAACCGAGAGCACGTTGTTTGAGTAGAAGAGCACACGAGGGTATTCAATTTCGAGCCCTCACCAAACCATTGGTTCGCAAAAAGTATATTTATTTGGAAAAACGCTGCCCACTGACACCCTTTCCTCTCTCTCTCTCTCTCTCTTCTCCCACCGGCTTCGTCGTTTTAGGAGGGTGTCACAATACCAATGGATTAATGGCTTCTCAATGGCGTTTCACAATGTGTCCCAGTATTGGTTACGAACGAGCGAGTAAGCAGCTCATTTGCATAATGGGAGCCCCGAAGGGTCCGAGTGTCCGTCGGACTGCTATATAGGTGGAAGCCTTATTAGAGAGAAGAAGGCGGATGACGGGTTCAAATAACAACGGGTCGCGATTCGATTGGAGGGGGAAAAGGCAATTCATCAGGCAGTCGGCAAATTGGAAAACGAAGTGAAAAGTTGAGGCTTCATTTTTTTGGCTTATTTTCGAAAATTGGTCGAAAACGGTTCGGCAATATCTATGAACATCTGTAGCGTCAAAAATCTGGCGCAATCGATGAACCAGTTTTTTTTAAATCACTTTGAGCTAACCGAAGCTAATCTTTTTGATGCTCGGCCGCCATCAAAGATTGCGCCGAAAATGTCCGCAGGTGGTTTCGATAAAGGTCAAACAACATCTCATAGCAATAACGCATCGTATGGATCTATTTTTGAAATGAATTTTTTACAAAAAATTTTAAAAAATGGGGATTTTTTTTTTGTAATTTTTATATTGCATGAAAAACTATATTAGAAATAAATTGGGCTTACTTGACAAACGGTTCACCAATGACATGATTTTTCTGATAACCATCATCCTCCTGCTGAGCCGCGCATGCTCCAAAAAAGAGCATCGCCATCAGCCACATGGCTCAATATTCGATTTTTCGTTGGACGATTTTGGCGGCCAAAGCGTCGTCGTCGACACCCGCGATCGGCGTCTGTAAAACTGGGCATTTCTGCGATGCAAAAACTTAACAAAATTTTTTTTTGAATCGAGATAAGCAAGAATATTGCGCAATATATAAAAGCAGCGGCGTCGCGTCGACGGCGGTGGTTTGCGGCGAAACAAGCGGCAATTGCGATACTCGTCGGAAAAAAAGTGGGCGGAGCCACGCGCGGGGCGACAAAGAAATCGGAAAAAAAAGTGTCGCGATTCGCTGTCTTGAGGCTACCTCACCAGGAGTTATGATGATTTGATTGAGTTATGTAATGGATATGTATACGTTTTATTACTACTAGTATGCCACGTTTGACCAATTCATTGTAAAGATGGAGCGAGCAATCTAACAAGTAATAGCGAACATTTTTTAGTGTTATAACTTTGTTGCTGCGGACATATTAATGGAAATAAAAAAAAATGAGGCTCAGTATTATTTGAATAAAGCAAGGTTTTCGGAGCCCATTGATCACTATCTTATTTTTTTTTTGAATTTTCCCAATTGTTCCCAATATGCGACGCTCTATTATACAGTACATACATCCATATATAGTGTGTCGAACCGGAACACATCAAATTAATTCAAAATACATTTCTAATGTGGTTTCGAAACTGCCGTCCAAAAGCGATCATGCTAATTCGATTATCATCGCTCAAAAACCGTTTCATAATAGAGAGGACAGTTCGGGTCTCGGCGCGAAATTCGTACCATCAGATGGCAATTTTTGGATTATGCCTACGATTTTTGGCTAAATGTTGTTGTTCGACGACGGGTGAACACAAATTTTTCGAACAAGTCGAAATTGGGAAAGGGGTTCGCCTCAAAAATCGACTTTTTGCGAAATTTCAGCGAATCGAAATGATTGGAGGGGAAAATGGAAGAAAAATGTTGAGAATTAAAAATCAATAGAAAAATAATAAATTTTAAATGCGATATATTTAATTTTTCAAAAACGCACACCAAAACATGTAAAATTATTTTTTTTCTTAAAATTAAAAAGAAAAGAGTTTGAAAAAAAAAAGATTTTGAAAACCAACAGCTGGGGAATTTTTTGATCTACTATTAGCGCCCTTAAGAGGTCAAATCACTTTGATTTAACACTCTGACAGAGAGAACCAAGCAAATTTAAGAAGGGATTGGTATCGCCACGGAAAAAAAGCAAGTGATTTCCGCCAATTTGGGGCTGATACATTCGTAATCAAAAAAAAGCGAGAGGAAGATGAAGGGAAAGCCAATTAGAAATCGACGGTTATAAACCGATTTGGAACATCATTGAAGGCAGCTGAATCAGAAGCATGAAGAGACTAAACGATTGAAGGATGGAATTTAATAGCGAATGGCATTCCGGGGGGTCATAAAACAGCAGCAAAACGAAATATGAGAAACAATCCGACAACTCCAATTAAGGAAGAAGACGACGACGAAGGAGAAGTAGAAGAAGAAGGGCAGCTCAATTTTCGACGCCACCCACCAAAACAACGGTATGAATAATTCGAGATGACTTGTTTCTCTTCAACGCAAGCCCCGCTAAATGCATTAATTATTGATGAGAGCACATACATTTTGACGAGCATTCGCAGCCAGGATGACTCTTTTGTTTTGTATACAAATAAGAGGATTTAGGCGCGAAAATTGGATGGATGCTGTTGCGCGCACGAGCACACATTGTAAAGTGAGCCATATGCGGTTTTGAGGTTGATTCTCTGGATTGTTGGACGAGCGAGTGATGCGCCTTTAAATCAAAAAGAACTCATTTGGGTTTGAGTTCTTCAAAAAATAATAGTCTGCAATTTTCTCAGAACACAGTCTGGGTTTTAAAAATCAAATAGAAATTGCTAATATCAAAATTCAGAAATGAAAAATAATAATTTAAAAATACCCCCCCCCCCAAAAAACCCGATGTGCAATTTCCACTGCTTATACTTTAATTATGTGTCTGTCCGATGAAACCAATATTTAAAGTTTCAAAAATTTCAATTTTTCTGAAAAAACCTCTAGTGTTAATGAATCAAGATCAAAGGGCAACCATTAAAAATATTGCCATCGCACAAAAAATTTAAACTTACATTTTGGAGTCGAAAGTGCTACCCTGGGCCCAATCTCACTACGAAAACCACTATTGGATCTTCAAACATGACAGAGATTTGGCTCATCATTCCAGAACCACTCAATAGTGGTATTGGACTCATTTCTCTGAGTTTATCACTGCGGCTGAATGACCTTCTTTTAGCCCAGATTTAAACCCGGATTACGCGGTGTGGGGTATTTGACTCAGAAGGGTCTCACTAAAAACTATTCAAGTTTGGGGAGTCTGAAGGTTGTCCTCAATAAGGCATGGGACGATCTACACTAACTACCTTCGTGCCGTCATTGATGCATTCCCGAAGGGACTGCGAGCGGTTATCAAGGCGAACGGTGGCAGATTCGAAAACTATTTCAAAATTATATTACTAGTTACTTTATAAACATTTCGTTTGATTTTCAGAAAAAAATCTCTTAATTTGATATTTTTAAACCGTTTGTTAAGTTTATGCCCCAGCATGTAAATAGTGAACATTCGGCTACCGTACTTCACTTAGTTACTTAGTCGGTTCGCCCTTCGCCTGTTGAGCCGCGAAACACAGAATTCCAAGCTTTTTGGTCCTTAGCTTAAGGGGACTATGGCGTGATTACGGCTCTTTCAGCTGTTCTTGTGGTGATCTCCTTCTGAAGCGAGTCCGACCATCTCATGGGAGGCCTTCCTCTTGGCCGGGTCCAATTCCACGGCCGCCACTCCGTCAGAAGAATAGTCCACTCATCGTAAATCTACACAGGGCGCTCGTTTTTAGCGAATGTAATATATTTGCCAGAAAAGAAGAAAAAAAAAACAACAAAGCAAAAAAATGTTTTGGCGGCAATTCAAACGTCTTTTTCATTTCTTGAAAATTTTCGAGTTTATCTTTCAATAAAACACACAAATGTTTTGGTTCTTTAAATAAAACGGCATACAGCAATATAATTATACCAGCAGAATTTTAGAAATCGATACGTTCTAAATATACATTGATAAAACATTTTATTGAAAATCTGCTTGATGTATTTGAATTCATGGCCTAAAAATTCTCACATACTGTAAATTTAAACGATTTCTGCTAAAAAAAATGCTAGTTGAAAATGGATTTTGATAGGTTTTTGAAAATTGAGGAAAACATGAAAAAGTTGCAAGCTTGTGAATAATTCATCGCATAACTAATGATGACAAGTGATGATTTTTTGGAAGAGGAGAGCAAAAGGGAAGAGAATCATTCTATCATTGAAGCCTGAGTGAATCATACTTTTAAGAAGAGAAAATTGAAAAAAAATTAAAACAGTTGTTAGCTCAATCCAAAAAAAAGATTTCATATCCATTGACAATTTATCGGGCGACCGGAAGTTGTCCGCAGCTACATAGGAAGGCATTCAGTGGAATGACCCATCTCGCAGTTGTTGTTTGCACAAACAATTGATAGAAATGATGAAAAAAGAGCAAAATAGAATGCGTTTAAAGTCGAAGGGGGCAATTATACACATTTATTCGGCGTTGACTAATGGCATTCGGTCGGACGGACGGATTGTATCGTGCCGCCGCGCCCTTTCAACTCAATTAGTCACGCCGCGACATGCGCGTCTGCGTCTCACCGTCTTACACGCTATTCTCGTGAAGCTTCTTCCCTTTTTTGGGGGAAAGGAAGATGGGGAGGGGGGATGTTTTAGAAACAGACACTGTTACGAAACTGTAACAAACTATTTGAGGAATTTGATAATGTTTGATCAAACCACAGGCAGTCACTATGTCTAGGAAATGAGATTTATAACTAAAAGCGTTTGGAAAAAAATTGGCTTAAATTAGTATTCATAGTATTTTTTTATGAAAAAGAAGTAGATTAGGAGCCACAAAGTCGAAAAAAAGAGATTCTGACTTCCGCTTTAATTATATTTCTGAAAATGGAAAACTTAGTATATTTGAAACCGGAATGAGGGAAAATTGAATTCAATTGATTTAGATTACTACCTATAACTAGAATTGATGATATCGGAACCAGTTAAGAACAATGATAGAAACGCTGAAGAATAGGGGTACACTAATGCTGACCTTTTATGGAATCGTTTTGTTTGCTCAAAAGAGAATAAAAAACTTCAAATTCATGCCTCATTGGTCCTCGATTGCTTCGTACACGCGTAAATTGTGTAGCCTTGCAGAAAACAATTGTTTGGGGAGGGCTCGACCGACGAGACAAAATGGTGTGAAATTGCGGCCGGCAAGGTCAATTTTAATAATTTGAGGTAATCATAAGCTTCAAACAAGCGTTGTTACACTGAAAACGCGCATGTTGCAAGCATTGATGGAGAAACTCATTTCGAAAAGGAGAAGCGGACAAAAAAGGAATGACGGTGTCGGTGAGCGAGCGAGTGAGTCTTGACCGGGATGGCGAAGTAATTCAATTTGGTATCGAAGTTTTTTTTTTGAACGAATACGAATTGGCTGGAACAGGGGACACTCTCAATTTTTCGCTTTAATCCTTCTTCAACGAAGTCGAAAAAAAGTTTGTTAAAAAATTTTTGCTGCCGTTATAGACGTGCGCCTTTAAATACCGTACAGGTTTGAGTTTGCAATTCACAAAATTTCGAACATTAAAAATATAAGTTCGAAGACATATTTACATTTCTCTATTGCGAAATTAAAATTTCAATGCGAAATGCGTTTCCCAAAAAAACGACTATCGAAATTTTCGCTGCGATACTTTTAAATTCACTAAAAATAGTTTCGGTTAATAGAGTATATATTCAGAATTATTGTGGTGGATTGGAGAAAAAATCGAAAAATAATTTTAAAAAAGAACAAAATTAAAATAAATTATAGCGCACGCAAACCGCGACGCGTCTGGCGACATTGAATAATTACGGTAGTC